ATGAGAATTTGTTTTGAGACGTTTTGTTTTCCTCATTTAATAACCATCTCTGTTCTCTGTGTCTCAGAATGCGATGATGCGCCTCCTGGAGGACATCTTTGCCCTGGGGGAGTCTGTGTATGAGCATCCTGAGTCTGTGGCCGAAGCTGTGTGGAACTTGGTTGTGGACCAGTTTGACGAGCTCTTGGACAGGCTGAAGAACATCGAGCCAGAACTCTTTTAAATTCCTTTTCAGATTTCACCTCTCCTTACCTTCCCTACTATCTCTTTTTCACCATTAATATTAATGTTTTACTTAAATATATTTAATGTTAAGACTCCTTAAAGAGCCCATATCCTACATTTTTCCACTTTTAATATTTCTGTGCCAAAATTTCATTTCTGCATTACCATTTTCAAACCTCCCTTTGTCCAGTAGAATTAAACAGGCTTTTTTGTTACTTTGCCTTTAAGACAGATATATGTAAATGAACTGTCTTCAGATTGGCTTCTTCCTATTGTGCCTAGTTCAAAAAGCAGTCTGTCTGAAACACTTCTTATAACTTCAGCGTAAATGGGCGGGACTAAACTGCTGTAGGCTGAACAGGCACATGTATGTAAATGCGCTGTTTATTGTGAAATCGCAGATACGATGATTTAAAATCAGGCTGTTTTTTCACTGTAGTTTATATAAATGGACCGTCTGGACTGGGAAGTGAATGGTACGTTTTAAAACTAACTGTACTACATCAAACTCTTTCATTCAGTTATCATGATATGGGCCCTTTAAGACTGTTCACTGTAAATAAATGTATTATTAGTATTTTAATCAGTTTTGTATAAGAGCTGTTTTAGTTGTATTTGTGTGTTTTTGTTATATGAGGTAAGGCAAAGTAAGGTTCATTTCAGTTTGCTTTCTATTGTTGAGCGTTGTTTTATTACATGATATTAGCATTTTGTATTTTAAATGATGTTTGCTTTCTCTCTCCACTCTTTCACTGTTTCTTTGCAGGGTTTCCACTGGATCTGCAGTCGTCTTGTATGGTGTCTGATGTGTTGTGAGTCCTGTACAATTTAAAAGTCCTCTGATAAAAGGACTATGTATTAGATATTATTTAACCATTTAAGTCTATTTTTGTTTTTTTAGGTTTGAGCCAAAACACTGGTACATCAGAGTATTAGACAGTTTGATATTATAACACTGTCAGTGTAAACATTAAAAGTATTAAATGGCATTAATACTGAAAAAAATGAAGACTTTTGATAAATTCTCCAGTAAATATGTAGCATGTTTTATATGTATAATGTGGTGCCTCAGCTCTTTGTCTCTGTATTTGCAGTGGTTGCCGCTTGTCATTTGATGCTGCACGCTAAGGAACGCTGACCAGTGATGTCCTCCGTTTTATTCCACCATCTATTAGCGACACCAGTCAGTCCAGTAGGGCATCAACTCTGCTGGACTGACTGGTCTCCACCACCACCACCCGTAAGTAAATGATCCACTAAATCAACTTTAACACATTTTACTATATTCATTATTATAGAACTGTATGATGAGATGAGGAGGTCAAATACAGTCCACCTGATTCCACACTTTTGTCTTTTCTTCCTCTGTTTCTATACGTCGGTGTGATGGAGCCTCACCACTGCAGTTCACATTGAGCCAGGCAACAGGAAGCTTTATTGACGGCCATGAGTGACAAGGTAAAGCAACTCAGAGCACCATTTCATTTCTTTTTTTCTGTCATTTCCTAAATTTCTCCATATTTATTCTTTATAAACAAGTCTCCACACTCCATGTCATGTTCTGAAGTCAGTGTCTTTGAATTACTCTCCTTTTTTCAGCCTCAGAAGCTCTGGATCATAGTCAGCAGAAAGAGTGAGTGTTGTTGGTCAGCGTTTAGCCAGCAGTATACTCCAAACAGAAAAGTGTTTAAGGCCTCCCCCACCTGAGATTGGTTCTAATTACTGCATGGTTTGTTCTGACACCTCTCCCTGACTGTGACTGGTCCAAATTACTGCATCACTTGTTTTGAGACCACCCCCTAACTGTGATTGGTCCAAATTACTGCATCATTTGTTTTGAGACCTCCCCCTCACTGTGATTGTTGATTTTTCTTTTTTTTTAATCTGTTTTACAGGTAGAGACACAGAGAAACACTTGGAATCTGCATGAATCTCTTCACCTCTCCACTCAAATTCAGTGTAAGACTACAGTGGATGGCTGTACCAGCTGTATGTTTATGCATTTCTAAATCAGGTTACACCACATTTCTTTGCACCACTAGTTTTTAGGTTGATTTTATTTGGTAGTAAATATTTACACCTCGCCCTAAGCAAGTGTAAGTGTTGGGCAAACCAACAGAAACAACATAGGACATACAAAAAAGGATAAAATCATGAACTGACTTTGTGGTTAAATGAACTAAGCTAAAACACTGAATGCTGTGTGCTGTAATTTTACTCACAGCTCTAGTCTTTTCCCTGGTATTAGCTCCAAACATGAAGCTGACATCCAGAGCTCCAGTTTAGACTCAGCAGTTCAGACTGATGCTGCTGTTGTGCTGTCAGTCAGTCAGAAAATGTTCAGTTATTGTGAGGAAATATTAAAGAATAAACAAACGAACCATGACTATATAAGAGGTATTCTCTCAAACAAAAACTCCAACTTAATAATTTATTTTTTGCATATAAAAACAGTGATGGCTGGTTGATTTTTAAAGACAAACCTGATTAATTTAATTGATTTAAAACTGATTTTAGTTTTTTTTGTGTAGTTTGTAACCAAATTCTCTTTACCGCGACACAGTAAGACATGATAATAAATGTATAAATGTTTTTTCTTCACTTTTACTTTTTCTCACTTTTACTGTTGTCAGACTAAATACTTTAACGCAAATCATTAAAATAAATACAGAATTTACAAAATATAACATTTTGTAATTTTATCTCATTTCACCAACACATTGACAAACACTGAGTTTTTTCTTTTACCTTTTCGGGTCACTTAGTTTGCAACAAAAACATTAAAGAAACTGAACAGTTGATAGTTATATAAATGTTTATATATGTATCATTTAAATTTTATGCTGTACTATATGGAGCTTCAGCCTAGTTACTACATTATAATTGCATAATGATTGACACTCATATTCTTTGTATTCATTTCAATTGTGAAAGTAAACTTGTACACATTGTTGTCGTATCTAGTGGATTTTTTTATGTTTGAATTTTTATTATTATTCCTATGAAGTATCTTCTCTTGAATGCTATCAATTGTAGTAACTGTATTATAATCTCACTGAAGAATTCCTCCATCTAGCAGGCCAGTTTGGAGTACAGCAACAACAACCCACCCCTCAAATATACAATCGTTATGTTTACAATGCTTTTACATGTTTATAAGTCCTGAGACTCGACCTGTTTACTGAGGTACTTTGCAAATGCTTTTAATGACCTTTTATTTTGTCCAGCAGGTTTGGAGGACTGTAGATGCAGAAAAGGCTGCAGAGATCTTGTTGTGGAGATGCCCTTGTGGAGTTATGGAGACCCCTCCTTCTCCCTTTTCCTCAGTCCTCTCTCAGGCCTGCCTCCATGGATCAAAAGGACTGGGTCCAGTCTTATAGCTTAAAGCAGAAACCACTCACAACTGCAGCCCAAGTTCTCAGAGTTCACTCTCCTCATACAGTCATATGGTCTTTCTCATACTACACCGATGTTTTGAAGGTGTCAACTAGCAAACTTTAAATACACTCAGAAGTGTTCAGATGTCTGGAATTGCTGTTTTCAACAACATAATAAATAATAAAAGCTAACCTGGATGCAGACAAGTGTATAAAATGATTGTAAAATGAAAAACCTATACATATTAAGTTTAAGGTAATTAGTAGAATACTAAAAAACTGAAGTACAATGAAAAAATGGGACATCAAGAATATAAAAAAGTCATAAAAATTAATATTAAGATTTTATCACATTCAGAATTTTGAGATCAAGTTTCAATGCGGATAACAGCAAAAATGAATGTAAATAAATACTTATTGTATAATGAATTTTATTCACTTCTCGTTAACAGAATTCTTGAAATATTAAATAAAACATCTAAAAGTGCTTTTTGGTGAGTAGGTTGTATTTAAGATATACTTAAATGCACATTTGTACAAGTTATTATTGTACATGAATTAAAAATAAAGCTGCACTATGTAAAAAATTGAAAGAAGAACTAAAATAGGGTGTGCGTGTGCTGTTGCAAGTCACCCTGTAAAGCCTAAATAAATCGCTGGAAAGTCAAAGTTGGATTTCTCTGGAGTTTTTTGGACCACGTCAATTGTCTTTACATAGTAAAGTATAACTTATGTTTAAGTCTCAAAATTCAAAACTACACTGATGAAACGATGACAATTCACTTACATCCTTGGAAGACACGTCCTTCATCAAGTTTTGACTGAGTTCTCTTTCAATTCTCTTTCAACGCATTCGCAGATATCAGATTCATCCGCCCAGGGAAGGTGATTGATGCTGTGTACAATTACACATTTCCACCAGAGAGGTCTCCAAATCCTCAAAATGGAAGTCCCTAAAAGTGTAGCTTTAAATGGCAAATTATTCTAAACTTCTGAACTGCAGTTTTTAAATATTTATTTATTTGTTTATTTATTTAGGCTGTATTCATATGCTTTAGGCCTTAATTCATATAATGCATATAAGGGCCTAGATTTTTCAGCATCATTACTTCTGTCAAATACAGATCCAAATAGATGTTTATTATCCACAGTGAAATAACTTCCATAAAAACAATTCTAAAGCAGAAAAACATATAGAAGCTCTAAATTCAGACAGTTACAAAAGAGGCAGGTCTTTTACACCACTGATATGTGACTGCACACATACACATACTTAAGACATACTACTTAAGCTGATCATATTATTACCAACACAAAGACTAAAAGATGGTAGTGGAGTATTTTAAACTATGATATTGATTGACTAACACATAGATAAACATATGCAAGCCACAAACAAGGTTTCCAGCTTAGTAATTACAGCAGCAGGCAGAGCATGAAACACCCTCTTCTGCCAGTGTGAAGTGGCTGTTGCATGTCCATTCTGTTTGTCCAGTCACAGCCAGCTTCTGCTATTGACCAGCTTCAGGAGTTGATGTTCTTGTGTAGAGCCGAATGGACTTTTCTCAAGTTCTGTCTCACGCGGATGAACTCAAGAAGCTGAATCTCATCACGAATCTTCTCCTCCTGTTCCTTCTCCCTCTGTCCAATCAAATCACACAAGCACTGTAACACATCTGTACATTCAGAGGTTTTATCTAGTGTATGAACCAGTTTCATCACAGCAGCATTTTCTTCATGTTTTCCTTTACTTGCAGTTTCTCCTGAGAATGTTTAGGTCAAACTTGTGGTCTTTAACCATTCAATAAAACATTCAATACTTGTGTATATCATGAAACAACACAGACTACAGTTTAGACGTTTGGAGTCACCTGTGGTATTAATAATCACTATTATATTTGGATTATTAATATTGTTTTTCAGAACAACTAGAAGTTATTAAAATATAGGTCTACTCTCTTGTACATTATATTAGGACAGGTCACATCATGGATTTCCATGGATTTTCCTGATTTCCAAAGCTGTGTCCAAATCATTTTTTAGTTATACATTTTTTAAATTTGTCCACCAGGTTCTACATCACAACTTAAATGTTGAGTCTAACTGCTTACAATATGACAGCATGGAGCTGAAATATTAACTGGGTATACACATACAGTTGCATGCAAAAGTTTGAACACGCCTGGTCAAATATTACATTTTGTTGATTTTCTGAGTGAAAGGAAGTTAACAGATACACTTAAAATGGTATTTTATGCAGATTTTAGTGCACAGTTTCTATTTATTTGATGAGTTTAACACACTGGAAAAAAACAAAACACAAAACATGCTGTAACCTTTGCACAGGCTTAGAAAACAGATGTGCTATGATGGTTTAATAAGCTTTTTGAACATGAGGTATTTTACTTACAAGCACAATGTAAAGAATTAGTAAACTATAAATAGAAAGGCAGTGGATTTCCAAATGAACTTTTATAAGGTTTATAAGAGGTAATATATTCTTCCATTTCTGGTTGTTGGACGATACACAATGACGCATATATATATCACGCAACAAGTATCCTGCTTTGATAAAAGAAATACTGAATTAGCATGAATTCAGGCAAGTTTTTGCTTGACATTTGTTTTATTTATGGAAATACATGATACCTGCCAGTTGGTGTGAAATGATCTAATCATTTTTATACAGCTTCTGAGCAATTTCTTGTCAAGTTACGTTTTAAGGTTTGATCACCATTTTTTCAGTTTTTATAGAATCATCTACAACTCGTTTGTTATTCTGTAGTCATACACACTGATCAGCCATAACATTAAAACCACCTCCTTGTTTTACTCTCTTTGTGCATTTTATCAGCTCCACTTACCATATAGGAGCACTTTGCAGTTCTACAATTACAGACTGTAGTCCATCTGTTTCTCTACATACTTCATTGGCCCCCTTTCACCTTATTCTTAATGGTCAGGACCCCCACAGGACCACCACAGAGCAGGCATTATTTAGGAGGTGGATCATTCTCAGCACTGCAGTAACACTGACGTGGTGGTGGTGTGTTAGTGTGTGTTGTGGTGGTGCGAGTGGATCAGACACAGCAGTCCTGCTGGAGTTTTTAAACACTGTGTCCACTCACTGTCCACTCTATTAGACAATCCTACCTTGTCAGTCCACCTTGTAGATGTAAAGTCAGAGACGATAGCTCATCTGCTGCTGCACAGTTTATGCTGGTCATCCTCTAGGCCTTCATCAGTGGTCACAGGACGCTGTCCCCAGGACGCTGTTGCCTGGATAATTTTGGTTGGTGGACTCCAGCAGTGACACTGAGGTGTCTGATCCACTCAGACCAGTGCAACACACACTAACACACCACCACCACGTCAGTGTTACTGTAGTGCTAAGAATGGGACCACCACAGAGCATGCATTATTTGGGTGGTGGATCGTTCTCAGCACCGCAGTGACAATGTTCTGGCTGATGGGTGTAGAATGTTTTAATTTTTTACAGTGTACTAAAAGCCAATAGAACTGTTTTTATATTAAAAACAGTGATTCCAAACATCTGAAAAGTAGTGAAAGTGTCACATGACACAAACAGTCATGATTTGTTTAGAATTAGGACTGAAGCCGGTGCTAACCATCACCTCCTGGTGCTTCTGCTGGCGTTTGAGCAGGACCTGCTCCAGAGGGCTCCTGTCCCTCTCGCCCTCCTCTTTCTGTGCCTGCTCCCTCTTGCGCCTCTCCAGAACCGTCTGGAGCTCAGGCTTACAGCACACTACCAGCCCCCTGCCCTCCCCAAAGAGCCAAATCACAAGAGACAATCAGGCAAACTAGAAGCATGACAGAAAGAAAGACGAAAGTTGATGATGCTTAACATCCACAGTGAGTTAACCTATTTACATTAAAAGCTAACTCATTTCCATTACAAAATTAAAAGAAAGAGCATTATCAAATAAAGAAAGATCTTTATCTCTTCCTAAAAGAACTAGCAAAGGTGACATACAGTCAGGGTTGTGGTGATAATATGAGAATACTTTTAAAATACTTATATATACACCATCTTGAAACACCATCAGTGCTTATTTATTAACTATTTTAGAATCAGTGCAGGGCATGTAGCAATCATATATAGAATACTGAAGAGGATGTCTTTAATTAATGGCTTGTTTACAAACATCGAAGTTCCTACTAAAGTCTGAGTAGACTGGTAAACCAAAGTGATGATCAGTTATTAATCTCAGTGTAACTGAGCTCTGCTAAAGCCTGAGTAGACTGATAAATCAATGTGATGATCAGTGATTAATCTCAGTGTTACTGAGCTCTGCTAAAGCCTGAGTAGACTGATAAACCAATGTGATGATCAGTTATTAATCTCAGTGTAACTGAGCTCTGCTAAGCCTGAGTAGACTTTTTTTATTTTTCATGAACATGTTTCAAAAAACCCAAATTATTACATAAAGAAAACTGACATCCAGTAACAGCGAGGAACAATGTGTAATAAAGACAAATATTTTGAATGTGCCTTCCTGAGATTTATTGTAAATATATTCTAAATATGTTATTTTGTTATGTACTATAATAGAATATGTTACTGAATACATTTAGGACAGTGTATTCAGTATTTAGTCATCACTACTTTTTAAATTATTAATTATTCCAACTCTGTATATGGCACTGTCAGCTTCCTGTTGCTCCAAGCAGCCAAAACTCAAGAAACATATCAAAACAGGGATAACGATTATGTTTTTCCTTTGGTTGCTTTTAGGAAAAATCTGATTTACCTTCTTTCAAGCAGGCCTTTAGGCAGGAGGAGTTAGCAAGCTGTTGGACATAAAACCTATTTTTGCACCATGTATGCCTCTTACCATGCCTGAAAAACGCTCTCTGCCAAATCCTTAGAAAACCTCTGTGCTTGCTGGGTTTGAGGGTTGATCTGTTGGTTCAGATGTTCTGCGCATGATGTTTTTTTAAACCATCAATACATTTTTGGAGATTTCCAACAGAGGCCCACTGATGAATATGTTCATGTTTTGTTTGCTTTTATGTGTCGTGTCCAGAGGTTAGACTCAGTGCTCTGCTGCTACTGTTCTGACTCATTGGTTTCGGTCTACCAGTCTACCAAACTCCTCCCTGTCTCCCAGGCAGCTAGTAAGCTGGTATTTCCACATGGAACATGACCTGATGCTGTTTATGAACACAAGCATGACCAATGTGGCAAAGGCCCAGAAAACGTCCAGATCCACTTTTATACAGGCCTCACTGGTGGATCACATTGTATCGCAAGGAGCCTCAGACCTGCACCAGTGATGTTCTCAATATCAGTAATGCTAGTGTCCTAACTTGTTTGCTGTAGAAAAACAGAAAGATACTGGTGTATCTTTACAGGAATATCTTCTACTTTCTGAATTTAAAAAGTTCACATATGCCTAAAAACATGTTGTATTTTGAATTTTTAGCCATTTAGATCCCTTCACCACATATATTAAAGCCCTCTAGCGTTTTGCACATTTTTGACATAATTGGAAAAATGGGAATGGCTCCCTTTTAAACTGGCTCTGTTAGAAAAGTGGTGACTCAAGTCAGAAAGTGACGAGGGGACAGTGAGGAGCGGTTTTTTCAAATGGTACGCAGGTTAGCCTCAGTGAGCTAACTGGCTAGCCATGCAAACTTGCCACACAAAATGTATTTTAAAAGTCTGAACATAATGTGCATAAAATGTGTGAGGAATTGCTTAGCCTGGCTATAAACTCGGCATGGTGTAGTGCCTTTCTTAATATTGTTTTTTAGCCATGTAGACTTTAGCATGCTAACTAGCCAGGGAGCAGAGTCAGGTGATCAAGGTTGTACCAGTTGTCACGTATAACAGATAGATTTTGCAACCGAAAGCCCAGCAAATTAAATGTTATGGTTCCTAAACAGCTATTTCTGTCATTATTTTCAGGTTTGAAAAGGGAAATGCGTCAGGTCTCTGAGGGCTCATTTTTACTTGAGTTAATAAAGTAGACAAAGATAGCACCAGGGATTCTCCTGAGGGGAAATGACGAGGCCAAGTGGACTTGCTGGGGCTCCAGAGTGGCCCTACAGACCAGGGAGATTGCGAGTTTGACACCCAATGATGCCACAGCCATCCGTGTCTGGTAGTCCAAGAGAGCGTAACTGGCTGGGCCCTCTCTGGGTGGGTAAGATGTCCCTCCCTTTTTTCCCTTATCACAGTGCAATGGTAGCCAACGCAAGCATCTGTTAGCTAACATGACAGAATTGTCAGTAAGTGTTCGCCTCCAAGCGTGTTGAACTGTCTAATGACACTGTGTTAGCAGCAGTTTGAAAAGATGTGGTGGTGCTTCACACGTGTCAGAGGAAACGTGCTCGTCTTCATTCTCCCAGCTTGGTAAAAATATTGTGATGGAGGGACCTAGCTAGCAGCTGGAACTGTCCACAACTAAACTGATGAGAAAAAAAAAAACAACAGCAGCAACAAAAACAGATTCTGTATGGTTGCCAGTTTTTTTTCTTTTAATATCCATAGCAACATGGTCCATGATACTGGTTGTACGAGATGAGTTGCCTTTGACAGAACTGTTTGTCAGGCTTCTATTCTCAATGGCATCGGTATGCTGAACTGACTCTTAAGAGTACTGATAGTTACTTTACTGAATTACTTTACTTCAGCTCATTGTTTATTTGTAAGTAATGATTCAATGCAGAAAGCTTATATCAGAGCAGCATCATACTTAGTCCCAGACTGACTGGTTCTTTGGGGAAGCAGTCTGAAAAGTTTAAGCAAGTGAAGTAAACAGGTGTTTCCCAATTCCCTACATATTAAACGATGTTTTATACACAGGTCTGTTGTGGCCCATTCTTCAGTAATTACTATGAAGCTATTGTGTAAGTTGTGACAGTACATCAGGAGTGTAACTGCTATGAAAGCCCACATACAGGTCTCTAGAGTTTGAGGGATTAATTCAAGACTGGTAAGTTTACTGTGTGTGGAATTCATGAGTACACTGCTGTTAGTGATTTACAATAATCACAATTTGTTGCATTTAATAATTCTTAAACTAGTACTGTCATATTTTGAAAATTGAGTGAGTTTATAACTCATGACTTCATTTGCTGGTAGAAATTCATAATGCCCTTGTTTGACAGCACTTGTCTATCACTTATTTAACCCCTTGAATTGCATTTCCTGTAGCTACTGAATAATAAACCTTAGAATGTAATACGCCTGGGATTTTAAGAGGTAAATTCTCTAAAGACTAAGTGGAGCGTTGCTTTATTCTAGGCTAGTGCTTCTACTCTCTCTGTATGACATCACAGTGCTGTAAAGAAGAGCTATCCAGCAAGTCTTAATAGGGTGAATGTCTATCATTACAGTGGCTGACACAGCGTGGCAAGTAGGCTATCGCTCATGCGAGAGAGGGTGTACGATTGCAGCCCATGTGGTCGTGTGTAGCTGCCTGACACAAAAGACGAGAGAGAGAGAACGAGACTGTCATCAATTTTTCACAGAGCTCACTCCACTGGCTCAGCGATTTATAAAAAGGCGGGCAATTCCTTTTCGAATGGACTTCATGTGTCTCTTTCATCTACAGCATCAGTATAACTTGGTGTTTTGTTACATATGGAAAAGGCCTGATGCATTAACCCCTTAAAATCCCAGACTTATTACATAGTAAGGCTTATTATTCAGTGACTTCAGGGACTCCAATGCAAACTGGTTAAGCTATTCTTAGGTTATACAAGTGTGTAATTAAACTTTGGGCCTGCCGGTGGCCCCATGTAAGGGGTTAAACCTATGTGAACATAGGTAGTGCTCTTATGGTTCTTCAAAGGTTCTTTAGTAAAGACAATGGTTCTATATAGAACCATAAACACTTGAGATTGATGGATGCTTATGGTTCTATATAGCACCAAAAAGGTTTCCTCTATTGGTACAAGCTTGACATCGTAACAATAGCAGAACCCTTTTTGGTGCTAAATAGAATCCTTTTTTAGAAAGGTTTTATATAGAACCATATACAACACATTCTCCGTCAATCTGAAGAACCATTTCACCGTGCGAAGAACCCTTCAAGCATGCAAACTTTTTTTGGGTGTTCATGGTTCTACATAGAACCACTGTCTTTACTAAAGAACCCTTGAAGAATCACTTTTAAGAGTATGGTGCTCTTACTTCTTGTGGGCCAGCAGCAGCTCTCTGTGGAGTTCCTGGTGGCTTCTCGAGGCCTTCACTGGGTTGTTCAGGTTCCAGGGACTCTCGCCTGTGTTGTGCTTGTCTGCATTTTCTAGAAGAAAATTAAACTTGTGGAGTTTACTTTCAAGCTGCTTTTACAGAGAGTTCCCATTTCCATTACCATGCAGAATGACCATCAGACAATTATGTATTCTCAATTTACAAGTAGTTTCTTAATTTACACACAAAAACTGATTTGGCTGCATGAGTAAAGCTAGACCATATATATATATATATATATATATATATATATATATAGCATATATATATATATATATATATATATATAGCACAATACCTCTCCCAGCATTTTCCAGTTGATGGAAATGCATTGTAACTTCATATAAACTGTTTGCTCTCTATTTACTGTCCTTTTGCTTTTACCGCTTATATAGGCTGGCATTCAGTAAAGCCTTGTTATCTTGGCAGATCTACTTGTTTTTGTGATGTACGCATCAGATGAATTGTGCAGTTCACTAATGCAGCGGAGAATCTACTGATGTTTTGGTCATGTACTGTAGGTGTGGGCTGTACTGCTGTCCTAATACCAGTATAGATGCTTAATCTGCAGAAGTCACATTATCACCAGCAGTAACAAAACTTACTGTCATTCAATATTGTAAATAATTCCCATTCATAGTTCATTATACTAGAAGCGAGTTGAAAGTGCAGATTCTAAAGCTCAATCTGACTATATTTGTGCTTGTAAGTAGAAAAGTAGATTTTCTATTATAGATCAAATTTGAAGTCCCGGACCTGTTGATACAGAGTATAAATCAAATGTAAATGTTCATTAACTGTGTAACTTACTGTGTAATTGAATATATAACTACAAACTATAATGCACAACAGTAAGAGACCATTCATTCATGTGCTTCATTTCAGTTATTCATTGTTCAGCATCAGGATAAAAAAAAACATATTATAGTATAGTATATTATATAATATAGTATATAGAAAATATATATTTAACAGAAAATTGCACAGAAGCCTAACAATGAACTATCCATGATTTCATTAAAACGCGGTCATTGCAGCTTTTAAAAATATGGTTACTAAGCAGCCACCTTGTATTTTTGGCCATTTCTATTTAAAAAAAACAGCAACGCACATCTACTGTTTAACTCGTTCAGAAGATAAACACTAACTAGAAACCAAAATCTGGGTTTGGCTATGAATCACAATAAAGGTTAAAGATGAGGAAAATCATATAACATTTTCAGTGTTTAGTGTGTCCACTTTTTGCCTTTATTACAGCTTCTTTTCAAGAGACTTGCTTTCAGTTTGTCACAGAAATCTGCGACGAAAGCTTTAAGTGCTGTTTATTTGATAGCGACAGTTTTTTTGGTCTACCAGGTCTTGCAGGTGGTTGTTAGTAGTCTTATTTTCTCTTTTAATTATTTTTTCAACTTCAGTTTTGGAAACTCGTGTTTTTTTTTCACTTATTTTCCTTTGACTTTGTCCTTCCGTATGCAAGTGGAATATTTATAGCTCCTAATATAATCTAGAGGTGGGCGATATGGCAAAAATATAATATTACAATACTTCAAGAAATATAAACACATGAAATGTCATGATATTTATTTTTTAAATCTTATCAGTTGGAACAGAGAAAAAAGAACCAATGATGCTACATTAAAAAACTTTAAATACAATGATTTTTATTCAGTATTTGGCATATTGTGGTACACTAAATCTAGTTAAACAGGACTAATTTTGCTCTCTTTATAATGAAACATGTTGTTGGTCAGTTTTCTAAAAGTACTGACAACACCCATGATATGTTCAGAAAAGCATATTGTATTGTATTGTATTGTGATACATTATCATATTGCCCAGCCCTATTATAATCTCAGAAATATCTCCTTTAGCCATTTTAGATGCATTATTGTGCTTATTATCTGATGCTGAAAAATGAAATTACACTTATGGGCTGTTTTGATTGGAATTAAAATAAACGATATGGTGACTTTTCCACATGACTGTATATATAATGCAGAGCAAAGGTCAGGATCGAAGGCTACTGACCTCTGTTATGTGGAAACACAGGACTGTTGCTGAACGTGTTGTTGGACGTGCGGGTCCTGAGGTGTGCTGGTCTGGGTGAGTTGGGGATGCTGTGGGCCTGGCCGGGGCCGTCGCTGCCGGACAGAGCTCGTTTGAGATCGTGTGGGGACGGGGGCGTGGGCAGCGGGTGTGAGGCGGCCGCTCTCATGGCACAAGCTGCTTTCAGAGAGGCAAGCACCTGAGACTGGGCCCTCAGCCACAGCTCCTGCTGCATGCTGGGACACTGCGGGGGGTCAGGTATGTGCGTCAGTGTGTGAGTGAATGTTTTGGGGTCGTCAACGAAAGCAAAGAGAGAGCGAGAGGAGTGGAGAGATTGAGTTTCACCTAAGTGGAAATCTATAATTAATCTGCTGGTCAAATGCCTGCCAGAACCGCAAATGATTTATTTGTTATCTCAGGCAAATTCACAAGAGATTACCACACAGCAGAGTGACCGCACACAGCAAATCTGCTTATACAGAGTTTGATGAGTATTATATATGAGTGTGCAGTCGGATGCAGTAGTGTGGTGCCTCTGGTCAAATTACATGTTTAGTTGATTTTGTGGAAATAAGTGAACACATCCTCTACAGAGAATACACCTCTACACATTTTAATGCACAATTACTGTTTATTTGCAGAATTTAAGATATTGGGGAAAAAATAAAACATGCAAATTTGACACATTTTATATGTTATAATTTCTTCCAAGATGTTAAACTCAAATAAATTGAAGTTGTTCACTAAACTTCTTAATCTTAATACTTAAAATCTTAAAATCTTCCACTTAATATCGCTGTTGTCGGAAGAAAACCTCGTATTTCCATTTTTGATGTTTTTCAGTTTTTGACATAATTTGAAAATACCTGTTGCCCTTTACATTGTATGTAAATTTCATGATTAATGGACTAAAAGAAATGGCCCAAAATTACTTGGAAAACATTCTGGTTCCATTGACTTAGATTAAATGTAAAGTATGTTTTTTCCTTCTCCTATAAAGTCACCATTTTAAAAATAGACAACAGTGAGATATATCTATATCTATATCTATATCTATATATATATATATATATATATGTACAAACACTAAACCATCATGAAAATAAATGTATATTAAAATAAGTATGAATAAATTAAAAAGTAACAAAAATTCTTTTTCTTCTTGGTTTTTTTGTGCAAACAAGTAGTTGATATCTTGTACTTTGATAGTTTGAAGACTAGTTTGGTTACAGATTTCACCTCAACACCCACAGCCATCACATGGATATATTCAATTTTATCATCAACACACTTCATTTAACCTAATGAAATAAAATTTCCTGTATATTTACATGTAAGAAATTATTATAAGGTATGCACTAAATTTTCATATGAGTACATATATATGTATAGATGATAAAGTAAATAATCATGACGATACACATTACAAAGCCATAATGCACATGCATTTCTTTGCTTTGACTGCATAAGAAACAGCACAGTATAGTAACTGCATGAATATAAAAAGCTGCTTCACAGCATTGAGTTTCCAGCAGGTTAAGTGGCTTGCCTTCATTAAGGATTTCTGTTACTATTCACAAACCAACATGTGGTAAAAATCATGCATTTTAATCCCCCCTTCAAAGGCCAAACACACTTTCAGACCTCTGTTCAAATCTTGGCTTAAAGCAATCAAAATAAGGTACACATTTTGAACTCACCTCAAGTGTGTCAGCCCTCCATGAGCGAGTTCTCCTCTGAGCTACAGTGAGCAACAGATATCACGTTTACGCCACAGCACAACGGACACCTGAGAAAGAGGAGCGTTAATCTGGCCCTGCATCTAAAGCGCCTTTCCCTTTTCCTACCAGATGGGGGAAGCATCATTTTGCAGTGCCACCTCATAGATCAGCAGTCTACTAAACCAAACACAAGCAAAGCTGTTCAGATTTCATGTGCATTTTAGAGCTAGGCCAGGGTTTCCCAGTCCTAGCACAGGAGGCCCCCAGTAATATGGTAAAAATCTAGTTTGCACAATTTTTTTACCTTACCCCACATGTAGTCTTATCAGCCATGTTTAGTTTGCTTTACACTTACATTTATGACTTTTATCCAGAGTGAGGTACAATAGTGCTGTTTTACCTCAAAGATTGTATCCTAGCTAGCATGAATGTTAAAAAATACCAGCTAAGATACTGCCAGAACCAGAAGTCAGTGCTTCTTTAGTCTGCAATGGAGGCTAATCTAGCTAAAAAGTAATGGAAGAGTATACCTCATCAGTTAGCACTGCAAACTGTAGGCCCAACTCATTAGACATTTGTCTCAAATTGAGTTAAGCAATCTCAAATAGACCACCTTATAGGGGCTCCTAACTCTGTATGATTAGTTAGTCTCCAAACTAAAGGAACTTTGGACAACAACATGTCTTGGCTGATCTTCAGTCCAAGAGCAAGACCAAGAAACGCCTACCTAATTTAAAGGTTTTGGGCCTAGTGTCTATACAAGCTGCTGAACAAAACGACCCTAGACTAAATGGAGTTTTTTATAGTGAAACAGCACTGTAGTCCAAGAATAGGCTTAATCATATCCACAGTTTAAATTATGTAAAAGAGACAAAGACAAGTTAGTAAGTAATTTATAAATATTTTATTTAAATTTCAATGGAATTAGATACAGTATAGTGGTCACATCTATGAATGATTGCAGTAAAAACTAACCTACATACTGGTAATTGGTTTGTGACTTTAGCAGAGGCTTCTTGGCAATAGTAGAATAAAGTATGAGAAAATCATCCAGACAGGAGTAAAAGGTATGTTTTGCTGTCCTGTTAGTGCCTGTCCATTCTTTATAATCAGAGGGGATGTAATCAGAGCAGAAATACAGACATTCTGTACTCAAACAAAAGTATAAAAGTACATGTTTCTAGATGTACTTAAAGCAAAAAAGTAAAAATATGTATTTAAAAAATGTTCGTAATTCAATTTTTGAAATAGGGTGTTCTTTACTGCGTGTTAATGAGATGTGTTATTTATGTTAGACTTGTATGCATCATCTGCAAAACCATAGAATCGCCAGATTTTGTTTTGTAGAAATGTTTTTTGAACCAACCAGGTCAAACAGTGGAAAGTAAGGACATGGATGGGGTTCTTGATAGCTTTGGCAGCAGCCAATCACAGGTGACATGTAGAAATTTGCATCTCACTGAATCATCCTTCCTGGTTTCACACCCAGTAGGATTTCAATTAGCTAACAATTTGCCACCTGATGAGGTGCCTAAATTTACAGTAACAAGTAAGTGAGTAGAAAGCGAAGTTAAAGTAAAAAGTAAGTGATAGAAATGCTCAAGTAAAGTAGAGACACAAATTTTTACTTATTTTTACTTAGTTAAATTAAACAATATTGCATCAGTATGAACCTTAATATTTTAGAGCAGTGGTTCTCAAATCAGTCCTCAGGGACCCCAAGATTAATTCACATTTTTGCTCCAACCATTGGGACACAGTAAAAAATGGGGACCATCTGGGGGGTCCTTGAAGTATTGTTTGAGAACCACTGTTTTAGAGCAAGTGAGAAATCCAGGCAACATACATAAGCCTCTCACTGAATTAAAACCTTCTAAAATCTGTTCGGTCTGAAGAAAAAAAGGTGTTTTGGTTATTTTATGTACAGTTTTTATCCATCTGCTATGAGAAAAGGCTAAGAAAATGTAATAAACAATCACTGAAAAATTAGGTTGATTTTAAAAATAAACTTATAGACAAATTAACTGTGTTCAAAGCAACATAAACAGGTTTGAATTCAATATGAGGCTTGATCATCCTGATCATAAAAAAACTTAAAACTCCTTCCTAAAACTTGTGCGTACCTGTGGTACCAAAGTGCCACTAATATCTTGTGCGTTTAAAGCATTATACTCAAAATAACAAACACTAAACAAGTAAAAATGAAAGACCTTGACATCAATACCTAAAATGAACGATTATCTGTGAGAACTAATATACACTACTGTGCAAAATTAAGAGACCACTCAGAGTTCGGACCTCAACATCAGTGAAAGTGTTTGGGATTTGTTGGATCATGAGAAGCAGAAAATGCAACTAACTTCTAAAACTGAACTTTGAGTGTGTGTAAAAATATCTCAGTAGATTTTTGAAAACTGAAAGCAAGTGTCCTGAAAAGAATGGAAGCCGCAATAAAGTTTGGGCACATTAAATACTGAAAAAAATTATATTTTGTTGTTGAGGCTTTAGTGCCATGTTTTCTTTCCTGATGCAAAAAATTAATAACTTATACTTTAATGGTCTTTTTGACTGGAAATTAAATACATAAAGAGTGATCTCTGACTATTGCAAACTACTGTATGTAATTACTTGTCATCACATTCTTGTATCAACAGGGTGAAGTCTGCACTTTTTTTTGTTTGTTTCAATATTAAACAATGACAAATATATATATATATATATATATATATATATATATATATATATATATATATATATATATATATATATGTGTGTATATATATACATTGTGTGTAAATTTCATAATGAAAGGAACAAGAAAAATGGCCCCAAAATTACTTGGAAAAAGTCTGGTTACATTGACTTACATTAAAAGTGAAGTATGTTTTTTCCTTCTCCTGTAAAGTTACCATTGGAGATACAAGGTTTTGTTCTGACAGCAGTGATTATATGTGTGTGTGTGTGTGTGTGTGTGTATGTATGTGTACTATAAGGACATAGACACCTCACACCTATCTATGCTTGTGGTGTTATATCCCTTCCAAAACCCCTTGCAGCTGTAACTGTCTCCACTCTTCTAGGAAGTCCGAGAAGGCTTAAAAACAACATTTTGGAGTGTGTCTGTGGGAATCTGTGCCCACTCAGTCAAAAAAGCATTTGTGAGGTCAGGCTCTTATGTTGGACAAAAAAGGCCTGGCTCACAAATGTTCCAATTCATCCCAAAGGCGTTCAGTATCCTGTGACAGTGCCACATCACTGAGCTCTTCAGTACGGCCCATTCTACTGCCAATGTCTGTCTATGGACATTGCATGGCTATATGCTTGATTAGAACCTGTTAGAAATGGGTGGCTAAAACACCTGAACTTAATAATTTAGGAGGGGTGTCCACATACTTTTTGGGTGTATAGTATATATATGCTTTGGCTATGTCTGTTTAGATTTCTTTCATTTGGATATTTGTGCCATGGGCTGTTTCCAGAACACTCTTGAAAATAAAAGGGTTCTTTACGCGATACCACACAAGAATCATTTGCTTCCCTAAAAATGTTTTAATTGATGGTTACTTGGAGAACCTCTTTTGTAAATAAAATATGTAAGTGAGAACCTTTCTTTCACATAATGTACAGGAACCTTTACCAGAGAATAGAATTTTTACATTATGTGAAGGTTCTTTTCACCTTCAAATGGTGCGTCACATTCATAGTTCTCTTTTTCAAACAGCTCTCTAGGCAATCAAAAGCGGTTCATCAATGGCATCACTCAGAGAACCTATAGTGGCACCATTTTTTCAAGAGTGAACAAAAAGTTGAACTTTTTAGCCTGTTGCTGATTATTTAACCTCATCAAGCCATGAAGCTGAAAGGAAACATTAGTACCATACTGTTGAAAGTACTGTAAGAGAGTGAGCTCTGATAATGCACAGAACAAACTACAAGTTAACTAGATACCAGTCTCTAGATACATAACCTTTCACGTGTAAATGAAAATGAACAATTTCTCCAGTTTTTTCCCAGGTCCCTCAGAACATTCATAATACCTCAATGTCTCATAAATTGTACATAATGCAGTGCAAACTCTAAACAAACTAGTGGAACGAATATCGGGTAAAACCTCCATTAGCGGATGTGGGCCATCTCCTCCAGAAAGGGGGTCTTCATGCAGCCCGTGCAGAGCTGGTCCATCCAAAGTGGGGCTTCGTGCTGCAGGGGCGTGCGGCGAGGGTAGAAGGTGTAGGAGAGGTCATAGTTCAGCAGACAGCTGATGGAGGCCATGTAGAGGTCGGAGAAGCGGCAGAGGCGGCGAGAGAAGTAGGTGGGGTTGTGGTATGTGCGGAAGATGCTGCCGAACTGCGGGTTGAACAGGTTCTTGATCCTGGCGCTGGGAGAAGGAGATAAAGACATGAAGAAAGCAAGACCCACGTTTAGACTACTGCAGTTTAAGAGGTTAAAAAAAGACTATGGCATGCGCCCGTCCCCCGGCCTTGCTGCGGACCAGGAGGCAGGGTCTGGGCAGCGGAGTTCGAGACTCGAATCCCGCCTTTGTGTTTCTTTGTGTCCCTCTCTGGCGGCTGACGTCCTCCTCCCACCGTCACTCGCGTCCTTCTGTGGTGTAAAGGATTCCTGCGCCGTCCCCACCCCTTCACGGTTTTCCTCTTCCTGCCGTCCTCACCGGAGTTCCTGCCCTGCCTTCCTGCTGGCTCTCTGGGCCGTCAGTGGGGCCCGGGGGATGGGCGCATGCCATGAAGCCACACCACAAAGGCCAATAATATATGGACATTCAAACATCAACTTTATACTTGCTTGCTGAACATCTCATTTCAAAACATTGGGTTTGCATGGTGTGGGTTCCTCTACTCTCTTGAGAAGGCTTTATGCAAATTTTTGGAACATGTCTGAGAATTCGCTTCCATTCAGCCTCAAAGCATTAGTGCGATTAAGCACCATTGTTGGGTGATAAGGTCTAGCTTGCAGCTGGCATCCCAGGTCAATTCAAAAGTATTGGATGGGGCTGAAGTCTGGGCAGTCAAGTTCTTTCACACTTAACAAACCATTTATTTTTGAACCTCAAGGGAATTGTCATGCTGAAACATGCATGTTCCTATTTATAGAAATTATGCAGCCCGGCCCTAATAAAAAAAAACAACCCCAGATCATTATTCCTCCTCCGCCAAACTTTACAGTTGGCAACATGCATTTGGGCAAGCAGCGTCCTCCTGCATGTGTCAAATCTAGATTTTGTCTGTCAGACACAAGATGGCGAAGAGTGATTCATTGCATTGCATTTTGTGTGGCTCAGCCATGCAAACCCAATTCATAAAGATCCCGAAAAACAGTTGTGCTTATGATTCTGTAATTCTCCCAGAGGCTTTTTGGTACATGGTATTGAGATGATTTTAAACACTATGCACTTCAGCACTCAGTGGCAGCTGCAGCTGACGTTCCTCCTAAATGTTTCAACTTCACAATAACAGCACTTCTATATTACTAGCACGCTGCTTAATTTGAGCTCAAGATGGAAAAAAGTAATGTTTACCAATGTTGTTCTAGTAAGTGTTTTGTTACCACTTTCTGGTGGTAATAAAAATGTGCTTTAAAATATGTAACTGAGCCCTGTGCAAAACTGTTTCTTTATGACGAATTGTATAACATAAATTTGAATAACTTTGGTGACAACTGTATGAATTTGATCCACCATGTGAGCTGTAAAAAAAGTATAACCACTTAATAACTTGGCTGCACCAACCGTAGTTCTTCTCGCTCTTTCAGCCATTCCTGCAGCACAGCTCTGGAGTCAGGATCTCGATACATCTAAACAAGCAAGAGAAGAAATATATGCAACCATGTAAGATACTGTGTCACCTACACTTCCATAAAAAGATTCCCTTTTTAAAAAATGGTTTGATGTTGCACTTTTGGCTCCCAACCCTAGACTAAAGGTGATGTTTTGGCCAAACATCAAATATATACTTTCTCCATACCTCAATAATAGTCAGTTAGCCAAGACATGTTTGCTGTCTGACGTTTGCTACCTCAGTAGGCCGTCAAGGCTAATGTAGCTCACAAGCAATTAAAGCTAAAACCAACACGTTGTGCAAACTGATTCCAATACTTGGCAGCTACATGTCCATGTAGGCAAAACTAAAGAAGCACACTTTGATATTAATACATGCCAAAAGGGAAAAACTGTGTGAATGTAATTTCTGGCTGAATTATCGCTCAAGTCAAAAGTTAAGCCTAAGTTGTCCGCCTATGTTGTCCTCACTTGCATGCGTTCCAGCAGTCCAGTGAGGGCCTGCAGCCAGGTGAGACTCTGAGCGTACTGCTCCGTGTTCACTACTTTCGTCTCCAGCTCCAGCTCAGGAACGATGGCTCCTGTGCGCCAGCCATGACGCAGCATCAGGTCCTGCACAGAATAATGGCTTCAGTTTCTTCACTGCTGGATCCAATCTTGCTTTTAGACAGGCAAAGTCTATCTAAAAGCAAGACTTCAGTGCAATTTCAGCATGTCACCTCTGGGTACTGCCAGGGCAGAATGGGAAACCCAGACCACCAGAGGCACCACTATGCTGCCAGTATATGATGTCCTTTATCAGTGGCATCTTATGGGCCCTGGTGCAAAAAAATGTATGGATTTTTAATAAAATGACAACTAATTAGAAACATTAATATAAGTGGTTTGTTTATTGCTATCATGTCTCAAATAAGTTCTCTGGCAAGCCACTCCACTTACTAGCATCTAAAGTTAACCTAAATGTTTACATGGGCCCCAGTGCGATTCCCCTTCATCCTGCAGTAGTTATACCACAGTCCCTTATGTTTAAAGGCTATAAAAACAGCATCAGTAGTCGGCCAATCTGTTTACAAGGATGTGTTTCAATAGAGGAGAGGGGTTTGTCCCTGTAGAAAGGTATGTAAAACCAATGGAAGCTCCTAATTGTAGGTATAGTCTCTGCTTTTGTTGAGCCCCTGAGGCATTCTTAAATGAGGGAGCTCCTAACTGGACACCATGCTATGCATACAAGCTGCTGCATGCTGCCATTGTGTGTAGTAGTAGGCCTGTCACGATCATGACATTTTAGCTGACAACGAATTGCCATATAAATAACGGCAAATAACAATTTAATTGGCTTTTTTTCTCACTGTTTGCAGCCATTAAAGTACAAGCCTAAGGTGAGCAACATGGACGATCAGCTATCTTGCTTCTTCGCTGTCAAGTGATAGACAGCCCAAGCTCAAATAAACAAGCATTGCTCACTGCTGCTTCAGCACCAGTCAGAATTTTTTCTTGTCGCAATAAGTGCGTTTTCTGCTTTTCTTGAAAACACACCCAATTTCCACCATTGTGACGATTGTTGTGACGTAAACAATTGTGAAAGCTAACATCTGTGGAAAATAATCATGATCAGTTGAGAAAACTGCAGTCAGATAATTATACAATAATTAAGACACGCTTAACAATTGATGATAATGTTTTTAACCTACGTCCTAATTAGTCGATTTCTTTTTTTTGATATAAGGGAATGATATAGTGATGTCTAGGGTTGGGTTCAGGTGAAATGGCTAAAGATACATTTTTCTTTGCTTTAAGTAGTGTTAGGTGTTGAATGGCAGAATTTAGGGTTTTTTCTGGGGCGTCCGCTTTACACATGCTTGTGTATCCATTAGGAAGATATATCATGCAGCCTAATGATGTTCTTCTAACTTGTGCAGTCCAAAAGAAATTTCACTTGAGTATGAGGTGCTTCTTTTTGGAACATTACCGCTAGGTCGCTGTAGAGATGGTCTCCAAAGTACAGCACCTTGGACCCTCTCCAGCCTGTTAGTCGGAGGAAGTCAAAGAGGTTCCCCTGTAACGCACATATAAACCTTACTGTGTGATGATGAACACTAAAGCATGGAAAATGGAGGCCACTGTACAATCAGTAGGAAAAAGGAAAGCCAAATATGATGCAGAATGAATGAGGCTATAATAGTCAAACCTGTTTATAGACTTGACCCTTGTCTAAATTACTGATCTTATCCCACTGCAGGTCCCCTTTGCTGTCCAAACGTCTAAATGGTCTATTGAAAGATGAATGAGAGAATATAGTTACAGGCGTTCAACCCTGAACTTTATTCAAATTGATAGTGTAATATTAGAATAGAACAGAATACTGCTTATGTTGCTTGTGGTACACCAAAAAATATCTCAAAACATCTTAAAACGAGACACAGTGCTCTTCTCAGATCATTACTTGTGCGCAGAGGGAACTTACTTGGCACAGTCATTGAAGAAATGGGGCTTGTCTGCTTGCACGATGATGACATTGAAGAAATCTCTCCAGTCTTTGCCTACCATGTATCTCATCCCTTTGTCACTGACAACAAGACATCAAGACATCAGGAGGCAGAATTATATTATATTTTCACTTCATTCCTCAAAGCAAAGCACTTATGCTACAATCATACACTCAAAACAAGGGATTTCAACTTGATCTCATGACTGGAATATTCCAGTGTTTTTCAACCTGAGCTCTATCTACCGTTTCTATCTGAAAATACATATCAGCCCCCCAGTTAAAACAAAATCGGGTTCTTGTGCAGGGTATAATTACATGGTTTTGGGCTATCAGGCCATACAAGGAACATGTTTAAATATCTTGGTGCACTGCAGAATTCAGATTTTATGCAAGCTCATAAGTGTGAGTGTATCAAGGATTTTACAGTGACTTAGAACGTGGCTAATCCAATCACAGAACTGGTATTCTGATCCTTGATTTTGTTTTCTTTTTTTTTTTTGAACATTTAATCACGGTTTTCAGTCAAAAGAACATGTCTTATCCCTAATAAGTCTACCAATGCATAAATTAAGACAGACCACATTTATACACAGTTATAATGTAAGCCTGTTTGGCTTCCACGCATATTTTTCAGTTTAAAAGTTTAAATCTTCACATCAGAGGCCAGAGAGCAGGAACATTCCAGTCCTACTCACACAAAGCTGAAAGGGCTGTTTGTGATGAGGAACAGCTTCTTCCCATGACTAACTAGTCGATGTAGCACTGCGTATGTCTCCTCTCCTCTGAGAATATATTTTTCTGGAAGAAAAAAACAACATAGCAACAATACAACATAATGAACAAATATGACAACAAAGGCATATTTCATCAAAAAAATGCCAACATTTTTAATAATGAATGAAGTCTTTGGTCAGAACTACTCCTGTGTAGCCACATTAATGTTACTGGATAAAGGACTGATTTAATGAAAGGGTACAGAAAAATTATCGTGAAGTGGGCAACAGGATGAAAAAATACCTCAGAAGAGCAGGCCAAATCCTATAATCTCTAAGAGCTTTTCTTGTGAAATAAAACCCAAGTGAAAACCAGTCACCCATGGAGTTGAATCCTGCGGACAGCATTTTCCATTGTCTACCTAATAGATCTCACACTATGAAGATTCCAAAAACATTGAGGTCTACGCATGAGAATGGCAGATAAGCTGTCAAAAACAACCCTAAACTGGCATGTATCTCGGGCGTGTAGATTCAGGCATAGTATTAGCAGGTAAAACTTTTGTCAGTTAGCTAAAGACAAACCTTACCCAGATCCTCCATGATCCACTTGTACATGTAGCCTTTAATGTGCACCATGCCAATAGCCTCCTGAGAAAAAAAGAAAAAAATCCTGTTTTTTCCCACCCCTTCAGAGAAGTGGGCTGAATATAATTAGAAATACAAATGAATTAATTTACATGAAGACGCAACAATAACAATCAATAGATATAGATAGGAATACAATTTTACACACTGTCTAATTGTTACGATGGCAAAATACATAACAACTAAGCAAGTGTACCAAGCAAACCAAAACACACCCTCTCAGAAGGCCGCCTCTCTCAGCGGTAAAGCATGGGAAATTCTTTTGAAAGGAGTTAATGTTTTGTGAAATCAGTAATTTGGCCAAAAACCAGTTGGAACTTCATGTTACTCTGGAATTCCTCTTCAAGCTGAACAGGCTGCTACAATCCCACGGCCTAATCAGGGCTCCAGCTTGCTTGTTTACTGTTGCTTACTTGTTTACTACAGTAAGCTTTTATGTTTACCTAATTCCTTCCCAAGAATCCGACACAGGCAAATATCATAATTCACAGATAACAATTTAAATAGCCTGTAATGTTTTCTTTGTTTTCTCTCAGATCTCACTGAAAACTAGCTGCATGTCATTTCTAACAATTTACAGTGCTGTGCAAAAGTCAGAGAGCACACTTTCATTTTTTTTATTTTCAGCATCAAGTAAAAAGCAGAAACATACTTAGTAGAAGATTACACTGAAGCCTCAACAACTATTTCAGTATTTAGTGTGTCCACACTTTGCCTTCATTACAGCTTCCATACTTTTCAGGAGACTCACTTTCAGTTCTTTAAAGAAATAAGTAGGGATATTTTCCAGCACCTCCAAAGTTCAGTCCATAAAACCTTAATCTACATCATACTATTCTGGTGAAAATGTACTTATTTTTGTCTATGTCCTTTTCTCAGTAATGTGGAAGTACAGTGGAAGGATGGACAGAAACACCTGTGGATTTTTTCAGATATGAAGTAAGAGTGGAGCTTGATTTTCTCCTCTCTCTCAAAGATGAAAGTTTTAAGTACTGATGGGGACAGTTTTGTTGGTCTACCAGGTCTTCCAAGGTTGTTAAAAGTCTAATTTTCTCTGTATCTTTTCATCATTTTTTGTAAACGTTTTCACTTTACTTTCTTTTTCATCTTTGTTGCCCCTTCCTCATGCAAATGCATTACCTTATATGTAATCTCTACAGAAATATCTCCTTTAGCCATTTCAAAGGCATACGAGAAAGAAATCTGCATACAGCTGGTTTTGACATAGGAAGGATGGAAGAGTTGAAGCCCCAGTGGAGTGCACAAAGGTAAAGAGCGGACAAATTAAATATCTGATTTGACAGTGTTAGAGGCTTTTGTGTGATGTACTGTTAAAATATATGTTTCTTGCTTTTTCTGACACTGAAAAATGAATAACTTGTAGTTAATGGCAGTTATTGACTGAAAATTAAACAAATGAGACAGTGGTTTCCGACCTTTACACAGAACTGTATATGGTTCATGGATACAAACTAGAGTGTTGAGACCTGGCTTTTGTGAGTTCTTCACTTCAGCATTTGTGAAAACTGAAGCAAATACTGCATGTTTCATTGAATTTTCTTTCATGGAGCTACAAGCGAACTCTGCCGAAGTCCAATTCCACACAGTGCAGAGATAACACCTCAGTTTCCCTAATGGAGAAAAGCAGATCCGCTCTCTGTGGACCATGAAGCATCAGTGTAACCAGAGAACAGTCATGCTGAGCTCAGGGATCTCTTTACCACCACAGTGTAATGAGAAAAAGCCTTTGTTTCAAGTGCATCTGCAAGACACCCCTGTCTCCTTGCTCGAGAACAGGGAAATGTAAACCTGCACAGCGTAAAACACTTGCACTTACGAAATGACCCCTGATGGTGATAGAACACTCAATATCCAAAGCACAGAAACTGGAGCCCGCCTGCATGGTGAGTGACAGGAGGGGAACTCACCACTTAGAAAATGGTACAAAGGCTGGTCGAATCCCTTGCCAAATCCCACAAATCGAAATGAAAAGCTATGGACAATTCTAACTGATCCAGACCAAGAGAGTCAGAGTCCTAGGACAGATTGAATGTCACATAAATACTCTAACCAGTAATCAAGTGCAACCGAAGTAAGCATTTAATACATTACGTCTACAAAACCCCTGGAAGCCCACATTAACTTCTAATGTTCAAGTCTACTTTATGTGTTGCCTTTTGACCATCTCTTTCTGACAAGCCCAGGCACTGGTAGATGTGTCAGACTGGCAGGAGTTACACTTGTTTGTTTTTAGATTTTTGCCCAATACGTTTCTCTTCAGTGTTTCTACCAGTGCTTGTCCACTGTCTCACTCTCCCATACTGTACAACACCAAACAATTTTAGATTCTGTTTACACCTTGTATTAACATGCGTTTCATGTCTGAATCATATCTGGATAAACTTTGGCCAGATTCCATTTGCACTATTAACTAAAATGTGTTAACCAGATAAGATCTGATTGTACTTTTCCAGTGTAAAGAACACATTAGCACGTATGTCATTTCTGTTACACTTTTGTTATTTTTTTTCCTTGTTACTATAGAAGTCAACAAGCTTGGACTGGACACTTTCATTGGCCCAGAGTGCAAGTTATTTTATTGTTTATTCTCCCACCTGCTAGTCTGCATTCAGCAGACGCATATCTGCTATTGTATACAAATAACAAAAACACATTCCATTTTACACTAATGTTAAATGTGGTGAAGATCCGTCTCTGACCACCTCTGAATATGGTTTTAGTGATCCATTTGTAATCCGCTCACATGTCTTGGGAGTGTTTACACCTGGCTTTTCAGGCGGTCAAATGCAATCCGAACATGATTACTCAAATTACCCAAAATACATTTTAAAGCAAGGCATAAACAGGCCCTTAAAGTGTGAACATTAGCATGTGCTTCCTCCAATATACAATATATATTTTTGGTCTGCTGCTCACATGATGATGTAGAGCGTGTGAATGCACTTACACCGAACAAAAACTATTCAATGTTCTAACTTAACAAAGTACGGAACCTGTCTACCCTAATATTTTGAGTTCACTGAACTTCAATTAGGGCTGCATAGTTTGGTTCCCTTGGTGCAGATCAAAGCATAAAATTATACATTTTTTTTGCATTTTGGTTCTGGTTTGCTTAGCGTTCACACTGACATATTCAACATAAAATCAAAAGTAAAAGGTCACAACTGATGATGTACAACTGTCCATCAACTTTGTGAATCATGCTATTTTCTTTTCTATCTGGGCTCATTGGTTTTATGTCGTGTTATATCTGTCTTGTGATATTAGAGCAAAAAGCCGTGAAACTCCCTATATTACCATGTTTTTGCATGACGCAAAGCAGGGTGAAATCTGTGTCTCACACCCAGTGGCTTACTGCTTTTACAAAATGGAGAAACCTTGGAGCCTTAATAATATAATATAATTTGTTTGTAGTCAAATTGTTTGGACCGTGCCTTCAATGGGAGAGAATTCTGACAACTTGAGCTGGAGTTTTTTTGGCAGCTTCTAGAAGGCAGAACTGTGGTAGGACTGACATGGGACAGAGGGACAGGGAGAGGACGGAGTCGTGGTGGGGACGGCAAAAACTTTATCATGGGAAACAGGAGGCATTTATAAAGTGTTAGACTGGAAGGAGGCAGAGCGTCAGACTATGGTTCTCCCCCCAAATTTCAGTTATTCCATAACTCCACATTGAGTATATTACAATGGCTTAAAACATGCTTCAGCCTCATTTTGAAACTGAAACTGCTCGTTCTGTAGTTACCAATTCAGAGCTTTTGGAGAGATGATACATCACATGCATGTTTAAAACAGCATCAGAAACTCTTTTCCACATACTAAAGAAGTTCTGCAGAGAGGACGGCGGTTCATTCTGTCTTCGGTCTGTTTAGATGTCTTTGGTCTGTCATGCATTTATACTTCAAATGAACCCCACCAGAAGAAGATTTTGGTTCAACAATTGATTTGGCTGACTGGAGAAATATATGTGGACAACCCAGTCATGTTGTAGCAAGACACTCAGGTTGGGAGAGGGAATTTAAAATACTGCATCGGCTCTTTATTACCCCAGAATCTAGACACAAGATGAATCCAAACTTGTCCAAATTCTGTAATAAATGTCATACAGCAGTTGGATCTTTATTTCATTTGTGGGGTTGTCCACATACACCGAAGTTTTGGTTTGAGGTTATTAAGTTGATTGAGAAAATATTCAAATGTTCTCTTAATTTAGGGGACTAAGATTTGTGTGTTAGGGCTCAATGATTTTCCAGGTATACATTTGTTGCATATTCTTTTGTATTGTGCCAGAAAATGTATTTTATGTCTTTGGATTACTGACAAAGCACCTAATGTAATTCAGTGGCAGCAATCAGTAACAAGCATTATTCCGCTGGAGGCGTTCTCTTTAGCCCTGAAAAGCAAGCCATATTTATTTTTTAAAATATGGACCCCTTATTTGGACCATTTGGGCAACGAGAAAGCCCAAAAACTCATTTCTGGGCTCCAGGATATAGCTTGGAAAAAGTGCTAGGGGACTTGCAATATTTTCTATTTTTAACATGTGCTTCTCGTTCATAAATTAGTCCCACTAGGAAAGTTTATGTTTGATGGCAAATTGTTTATCTGCATGTGTGTGTATGAATGTATCTAGGATGTACATGTAGCTCCTACTGTGTGTTTTTTTCCTTCTTTCTCCTTAATTGTATGTTGTTTATAATGATTTTGTTAGGTATTTTATACAATAATATCTTTGTACCAGAGTTTTTTTTTGATGCGAACCAAGACTGACATGCTGAGGGGGGGTCTCGGTCCACTTATTTGGTGTGGACCAGAGTTTGGATGGCAGTGTTTTGACTTGCACTAACAAACTACACTAACAGAGCAATCGCAACAGTGTTCCTTTTAATTGAACCAAACCTGCGTAGTCCGAACACACCTTAATAAGTTAACAGAACGCAAAACTTTTTTAAGTTAAAACACTGAATCATTGCACTGACTGCCCATCTCTGTTTAGAATTGGTCAGCACCAATGTAGATGGACAAGAGAGAGGAACTAATTCATCCTTCCCTGTTGATATCAACTGCATATCAAATGTTAAGGGCCTATAATACTTCTCTTATTTGAAATAAAAGAGTTTGATGTAGCATGTAAGTGTAGCAAAAATGGCCTGGTTTATTCTAAGGACTAAAGAGCTGTTTGTAAAAGGTCATGCAAAAGTTAATTACAACTGTTTTTGGCAAATAAACCCACATAAACATCATAAGAGGACCTCAGGGAACAAAAGTACATGAGCAACGTAGAATTTGTGCCCTTGCTGTGTCCACATTACAAGCCTCATTGTTTAATTGAGATTTTTTGCTTATACCAGATCTTGATGGTTCATGTTCATGTGGGTGACATGTATCTGTCATTAATGTGAACAGCTCTCAACTATTCATTTTTAGAGCAAGATGAAGGTGACAAAAGGTTAGATGGTTGCTTTTACAACGGTTACCGGCACTCACTTCAAATTAGACGCTGCTGCCATGTTAACACTCAATGATGGAGTCAGAAAAAAAAACATATTCCAATCTGGCTGTTCTTGTTAAGGTTGCATGGCCACGACTTGGCTATGGACTGTGAAAAAAGGTTTCGATGTTTTAACTTAAAAAGTGACCGAGTTGCCTTAAAAAGTTGAGTTCTTCTAGCAAGTTAAAAGAACAACAATTTGGGATTTACATTCTGTTAACTTATTATTTCGGTGAACTAAAAAACATTAAGGCAGCCATATTACACATTTTTTATTTTAAAACATCGAATTGTTTTTTATAGTGTGGCAACCGTGTTCATAAGCTGTGCAGTGGTAACCATGTTTATAAGCTGTGCAATGGCAACAGTGGGCCTCATTTACCAACTGTTCTTAAGAAGAAATTTCTTCTTAAAACCCACTTACGCAATTTTCACGAAGATTCTGACATTCACCAACGTTTTGTTACTTAGGATTTATTCTTAGGTAAGAACAGAATCTACACACACTCAAGAGCACAAAGGTGCGAACAGCTCTGTGGTTTAAGAACGTGTCATGAATCTGACGCAGACTTTTTATTAGGACCCTTTTCTAGAACAAAATTAGGAAAAAACCTAGGAAGATATTGGCGAAAGAGGCCCAATGTTCATAAGCTGTGCAATGGCAATCGTGTTCGTTAGCAGTGCAATGGCAACAGTGTTTATAAGCAGTGCCATGACATCAGTGTTCATAAGCTGTGTCATGGCAACAGTGTTTGTTAGCAGTGCCATGGCAACAGTATTCATAAGCAGTGCCATGGCATCAGTGTTTGTAAGTTGTGTCGTGGCAACACAGAGTTCATAAGGTGTGCTGTGGAAATGAGCTATGAAAGGGCAACAAGGTTCATAAGCTGTGCAGTGGCAACAGCTTTCGTAAGCTATGGCATGGCAGTAAAACTATGCAGCTGTAATAGTGTTCATAAACTGTTCTGTGGCTACAGTGTTCATAAGCTATGCGGTAGCAATAGTGTTCATAAATTGTGACGTAGCTACAGTTTTCATGAACTATGCAATGGCAACAGTGTTCATGAGCTGTGATGTGGCTACAATGTTCATAAGCTACGCAGTAACAACAGTGCTCATAAACTATGTTGTGACAGCAGTGTTGACAAGCAGTGCCATGGCACGCGTGTAACTGGACTGGATCACTATAGACTTGATGTTGGGTCTTCACTGCAAGAATTAAGCTCTGGGGGTGAGACGCCACTATGTTTAGTGAAAGTTTCTGTCCACACTTACCGAGACATCTTTATACAAGTGCACAGGGTCGTACTCGATGTCATTGGAGATGAAGTAGTCGTTAGCAACCGCCAGAAGAGTCATCTCAGGTAGAGAGAAGACATCCATGAACTGCTTAACATTCGGACCCTAAAGACACATATTGATCTGTTGATTCCAAAATGCTTATCAAAATAAACAAGATCTCATCATAGATTCACCAACTCAATCATCTCAACCATCAAAATCTGTATCAAGACTGTGACCTCAGTCTTTGATCTTTTTCAGTTCAGTTACATAAACTTTATCCTTTATTTGATGATACACTGTAATTACACAACCAAAGTGCAACCACAACAATGACATAAGAGTAATCCAACCAACCGGCCACTGGTCAGGATTTTGAATTTCTTTAGAATTTCATTCGGGCTTTACTTGACCTCCTTTGACCTCCCCCCTGTTTCCACCACTGGCAGAGATGAAATCCAATTTAATAGACTCAAAATACACCAAAAATAATTATCCTGTCTCCCTGCAGGCAGGGACGCAGACTACAAAAACAGGAAAAGGTTAGAGAGGATGTCACGTTAGGGGGGCACTTTCATAAGAGTGGAAAGAATCTGAACACAGGACATAGCGTCAAACAATCTGCTGGATTAGTAGTGGGACACCTCCACAATTTTCCTACAAAATAACATCGTCTGACTTGATAAAACCTGACACTAAGCCCATGTAATCAACTGCAAACCAGTCATTGGTCAATTTGAATCTAATCCTAAATCAAATTCCTGTTTCCAAAATGCTGCTTGCATGCAAAGCCAAGGAGAGCCTTTTGCAGAGTTTGGAAGTTTGGAAATCCAGATAAAATATGCTGGCAGTAATTCAATGTCTGGCTTTACTACTGCTGCTGCAAAAAAAGTTGCAGAATTGCAGAAAAGTTAAGTTACTTCAAGGTTGAGAACTTTTTTTAAATACATTCTTTTATGCTTGAGATCAGACTCATACCACAGTCACACTTCTTAAAATTAATTTTTCAATGGACATTGAACTGGATGGATAACGCTAAATACTACAGCAATTACTGACCTTCCCATAGAAACCACTGACTTGGTTCAGGGGCACGTGGTGCGTTCCATCATACAGCCTGAGCACTTCTTCATCCGGCACTGGATTTAAACCCCTGCAGTAATGATTTTATGGTGAAGTACAATGCAAAACTAATTTGCAGGATGTACATTACAAAGCAGGGTTGAAGCCAAGGGTAAGCCTACCCAGACTGATCACAGGCCCACCCAATCAAATGGAGAAAGAATATGTATTAAGCTGCTGTTTTAACATAATGCAATTTGATTTGTTTTCGGTGAGTGCTGTCATTGTACTATGGCCACTACGAAATCATTGTGCTCTCCACATCATTCCTGAATGTGTAAGGTCTAATTAACCAATCCCAGAAACTGTCTAATTTTCACAGCCTACCAATCACTGCTTTGCAAATGATACCATCCACCATTGCCTCAAGCCTTCACATGTTTATTATCGCATCATTAGACCAATAGGTCTTACTAGCACACTCTATGCACCTTTGTTGCAGCCTTTGGCGAGGACTGCAACATTGTAAACTCAGCAGCCAATTACTCAAAAGTCCTTGAGATACAGGTGAGTAAAAATATGTTTTCTTATTAATTTGGCTTATCATAAAGTGCCATTATGCCTGTAAGCACTGTAGATCACCCTCGAAGTTTCTTGCATATTGCTGACATCACCAAAGTGGACTTTGAGGAGGGCCGCAGGGCTTAGGGCACCATTTGAGACTGGGTTGTAGCCTAGGATGATTATATTTAGGTTTTTTAACTTTGCTGTGTAGTTTTTCCTCATCTTTGTGCATTTCAGTTATCTGATTTTACCTCAACTGTCTTTACTGGGCAAAAGTTGTCCCTGTAAAATGTGGACACATGCTTTATAGTGAAAGGTGTTGCACTGTTGCTTGTGTTTATGTGAATACAGAGTTCTGGTTGATGTATACACAGTCTTGCTATTGTTTTGTAGTACCATAGGGGTGGAAGCACTGGAGTAGGTAGGGTGATGACTGCACTGCTGTCAGCATTAGGCTATAACCTAATGTTATGATACTGCGGGACATAGTGCATTTGGAAATATTATTTTCCACTTTTTCATAGGCCGACCCAAATATTTATATCTGCTTATGCCACTGCTACAAACACAGAGGAACAGCACTCACCTATACACTGTACCCAGCTGAATGTAATGGAAGGCATCTATCTTCATTAGAAGCCCCTGTGGAAACAACGAAGACTCTGACTTCAATTTAACACTCTTGCACGTTACTCATGGAGGTGGCTTTTCTTTGCTTGTTTTAACACAAACTAACCCAGTACCAACGTGTCCTACATTTTTGATTAAACGTTCCCCTGACCACTAATGCTGCTACTAGTATTACTGCTGCTTCTACTGGTATTACTACCACTACTACTATTACTACTACTAATAATAATAATATTTTTTTTGTTATTAATAATATTATTTTTTATAGTAATAAAAATATCACAGTAAGAATATAATTGCAAAACATTAAGCCACACGTTGGGTAAAAGGCCCATAGCCTACATTTTTACTGTAATATATGTTTCTCCCTGAGGTCCATTTATAACATGTATGTGGCCATTTATAACATTTGTTATGTCCCAAAACCAGTCATTTCTTTTTACATTGCAATTTTCCAAGCTCTTTTTATCCTTTAGAACTGAACACATTGTTAATAAAATAAACAAATCAAAATCCTGCATATAATACACAGAAGTCATCCAGAAACCTCTTCTAATTAGTGAATTCACTCACATAGCTTGTATAATCTCCCTAGGAAAGTACTGCTAACAGAATAGGAAGCTCTGGAGTAGCCACATATAAGGTCAACATGCCCAACGCCAAAGCATCAACCAGAGGGGTACAGAGTTCCCAGCAATGGTCTCTGGAGCTGTGGAATCTGACTCATCCCAAAGGACCCTCACCCCAGAGAACACAATTCTATTTGTGGAACAAACTACCTATTAATACTCTTGCTTTTAGAAGAAACACTGAATGAGTAGGTGTCTATAGACTTTTGGACTTATAATGTATGAGACATAAAAGACAAAATATTAGGAGTTCAGTGCCTATAATATCACAAAATACAAATGTAAACCCATAAAAATGAATAACAAAAAAGCTAAATTAAAAAGTAATAATAATAGAAATTAAACCTATATTTGCTTTTATTTGCTTACGCTCATCATATAGTTTGGAAGTGCAGTAAATTCTACGCACATGAAGTGTTTCAAATCACATTTTGAGACAAATCAAATTTTAAGCATTTTTCAGGGTGTGTTGCCTAACAAATTACATATCTGGGCTAACTAAGGCATTCTTGGTGACATTAAAGGAAACAAAGGAGATACAAAGAATGTAATATCTTTCACCTTTTGCCTTTTGAAAATGATTAGGGAGAACAGGACCTGATTGTTCACATTTTGGCTTTTGCTAAATAATTTTCAAAGTGTTTGAACAAAATTAACATTTTTTAATCTCCACATGCTACAAATGAAAACATAAACTCTGTTTCTAGCACCTGCTGTTTATGAACAGTAAAGCGGAAAAGGGCAAGAGTGCAAACATTACAACTTCCCCCACAGACGGGGATTAATTCTACCAGTCAGAGGGGCTAGCTGTACCAGCTGCTATAAAAGTCTGATAAGTAGATATTTAGCACAATTAATTCAATACAATTCTTCATACAATTGTTTGAACCAAATTAACTTTCTTGCCTAAATACATAAAAAATATCTGCTTTAAAATAAATATGATTAATGAAAAGAGACCCTACACTGGTACATCCAGCACCCGCCTGCGACCCAGGAGGATAAACGGCTTAGATGATGAATGAATGAATGAATGAATGAATGAATAAAGTAATCAGAAGCACGTTCCATTTAATTCTTGATGTACTGACTGTGTGGTATAGTACATTGACCTGTTTCAGCTTTATGTAAAAAAAAGCTGGGACATTTTGGGAGCTTTCTTTTCCAATCATATAAGCTTCTTACTGAGAGGGAAAGTGTGTACACTCACATACTACTTTTTGCCCATCTAAATGTAATCTCTAGAGCCACATTTCCAAGAAGCCATTTTCCCTCTTTGTACTTGTGTTTCCATCCTATTTCATCCTCGAGCATACATTATCTTCTTTTTATCCTCAGATTAGAGGAATTTTACATTGTTCATGAGTTTACCTTTTGAATGTCGTAGTGAAGGCCCCGTGCTGCGAAGTTGGGAAGGTAGTCATACTTACTGATGGCTTGTGGATACTATGAGACAAGAAAGAAATCAGAAGAAATTGGTAACTGATATGAAATCACTGCAGACAAAGAAGTACAACAGACAAAAGGCAAAGCATACAGTACTGTGCAAAAGTAAGAGACCACCGTTCATTCATTTATTTACTTTGTCAAAAACAGCCATTCAACTTCTTCATTTTTCAGCAGCAGAAAAAAGCTGAAAATATAGTGAACAGAAAATCACAGAGAAGCCTCAACAACCAAATATAATATTATTATTGTACAATTTTTTCAGTATTTAGTGTATCCCTCCTTTGCCTTTATTACAGCTTTCATTCTGTTCAAGAGACTTGCTTTTTTGGTTTTTAAAGAGAGATTTTTTCCACGCTTCCAAACAGGGGCAGATTTAATGTTTGTGAGACTCAAGGCAAAAGACAGGAATTTGCCTCCCAGGATGCAGTAAATTGATGAGTAATGAGATTACTTTCTCCAGGGAGCAAAAAGTAATATAATCCTATTACATTTTTCTGACAAGTATTTAGTAACTTATAATGGATTAATTGGCCCAACACTGGAGCTATCTATACTAACACTAACGGTAAAATTATATACTGAAATATCAGAAATAACAACTATTTTTAATTCATTTTAAACATCATTGAATGTGTTTGGGATGTATACACATATATATATATATATATATATATCAAACACATTCAATGATGTTCAGGGCAACAGTTTTGGTGGTCTACCAGCTTCCACGTGTTTGTTAGGAGTTTTTTCTGTATTTTACAATAATTTTTTGTACACCAGTTTTGAAAACTCCAGTTTAATATTATCCTGATTATCTTATATCTATTCTCCTTTGAAAGACCTCTGTAACATAAATCATTAATAGATATTTTCACTGAATGTGAAATGAATGAAGGGGGTGGGTGTCTCTGATTTTTGCACAGTACTGTATACTGTAAATTTATTTTTTGACCAGCTGTCAACTTCAAAAACGTTACCATTTTAAAATGCACACTACTATTATAAAATGTGTAACATTTTTAATAATATAAAACCAATATAGTTGCAAATAAATGTACAAAATTCTAATTCTAATACGCTAACCCAGTGTGATTTCACAGGTTTCAAATAATTAGTAGTACTGAGAAAGGAGTATAGCACTAAGAATGAAGTTATGAACAAAAATTATATCCAGAATCATATTTGAAAAGTGGTAGATCATTGGACCAATAATGAAAATGAACAGATAATCACAGTATATGTCTTGTCAGTTAATAAAAATCTTTGTTGAAATATGGATACATCTAAAAATAGCTGTCGTTATCTTGTTTATATTATTTCTATCTACATAGTATAAGTTATTGCAGTATACAAAACTAAAAAATATTTAACACGACAAACGAACTCAAATGTCTGAGTGGAAATGTATTGGGCTGATTATTTAACTGCTGTCCTCCACCTTAAAGTGTTCGATGAGGAAGTCTCGGGCAGTGGTGTAGATCATGGCATCCAGAGCACTGGAGTAGAGGGCAAGCGTGTAGTCATAGTCAAAGCCATAGATGTCCACTTCTGACAGACTGACTTCATTATTGGCGTAGATGGTAGATGAATTGAGCAGGTTACACACTCCTGGTGGGATCAGGTCTGGACAGAGTGGGAGAGAATAAATAGAAATTTAATAGAAGATTTTTTCAGGAGATTTGTAGAGGAAACAGACAAAAAAAAGGACAATTGTAAATCAAACAAAGAAACTACTGGTGTTCTCAGAACAATGGACTGACCACCATAGAGTCCAGACCTCAATATCATTGAATGTGTTCAGGATTACTTAGATCATGGTAAGCAGAAAATGTGACCAACTGCTAAGACTGAACTTCGGAGGTGTGGAAAAATATGCAGATTTCTTTGAAAAACTGAAAGCAAGATTCCTGAAAAGAATGGAAGCTGTAATAAAGAAAAGAGTGGACAGAGTAAATATTGACAATTATGGTAATACACTTAGTTGTTGTGACTTCTGTGTAATTTTCTGTTAAATAAGTCATATGTATCTCCAAAGTAGTAACTTTATAGGAGAGGGCAAAAGCATTCTTAACTTTGAATGCAAGTTAGTGAAAATAAATTTCTCACAGTTTAAAGGGCAGCTGCAGTGTTCAAATGATGTAGAAAAATAAAAATCTAATTATTTTTTAAACAGCAACAGTATGTTTTCTACTTTTCGACTACTGGAAATGAACAACTGAAAATAACCATGCATAATGGTGAATGGTGTGGTACTGGTTATGCACATGGTTTATTCAACATACACCTGAATATCAGTGAATTAAGACTAACATTCTGCACTTTAACCTCACAGTCAACAGATGATTTCAAATCCAATGTGCTGAAATACAGAATGAAAACAACAACAGTATCACGTCCAGTTGGACTGTACTGTAGTCACCAGTGTAAATACAAGCTGATTTTATGCTGCGTCTCTGCACAGTTCAAACAAAGTCTTCCATCAGATCAGTGACCACATGTAGACAGTAACAGGGCAGATGGTAAATATCAGTAAAGGAGCCAAAAAGTATGCTTTCTTCATGTCTCCAGTGGAAATGGATTTATAAATATAATTTTAAAGGTGACAGAAGCATGCAATCACGCCAGCACGTCATGCACACTTTAACAGTAGGAAGTAAAAGAAAACACGACGGTTGTAAAGGTTTTCAAAGGAAGTGTTGACTCAGTGTTTTTCTTTCTATTTGTTCTCCCTGTGCAATCATAAAAGCAGCGGTTCAGTAAACAGAGTGAGATTAAAAAGGGTCACCGGCTGTTGCCCAATCTGTTGCCAGACTCTGGGCCAGAACCAGGAATTGAAGAGAAGAGCAAAGTGGGACAGTGAGTGAGTGACTCAGAGATTGTCAGCAAAACAGCTGGGCTGAGGAGGCTCTCTCTCTCTCTCTCTCTCTCTCTCTCTCCATCTGAGCATCTTTACACAATAGAGAGAGTCTGTGAGGTTCATAACAAGGAGCTACTGCAGTTTCTGAAGTTCAGCTTCACTCATAATGCAACTTTGTATATGTGTATGTTTTGTCAGGTGAAAATGATTCCAAGACTTTTAAATGTTATTTGTATTATTTACGTCAGAGGTCCCCGACCTGTTTTTAGTACTTGCCGATACCATGTCCGATACCATACTGAGTAACCTCCTTAGAATTATTATTATTATTATTAGCATATGCTAGCATAAATGAAGGCAATGTACCTTAGTTCAATCTAGCTGATTTTAAACGACATGCATTAGCTAGCTATGCTACATTAGTTGCCTTTGATTAAGTAGTGTGGCTGTGGTGAAGAGTGGGTTTTGTTCCTCACCAGAAAAGTGCTTCTGTACAGCTGCAAATAAAGTATGTTTCATAGTTTTGATCCTCATTGGTCTCTTTCAGCATCAGTCTTTGTAGCTCAGTGACAGCAGGAATCACATCCGAGGCTAAACCGCAGAGTTTTACATCTGAAGTATTTTGTTTGAGTTGTAGTTGAATGTCCTGTAAAGCCAAACATACACTGTGTGATTTTAGAAATCATGTTCTTTGGTGACTTTGGTGACCGTACATTTGAACAGACCTTCATGTATGGACAAAGCCTACGATTTATGTACTCACGCTGTACGAAAACACTCCGTCCATGATCATGGTCCAAGATCAATTTCAAATAAAGCTGTTCCATTGAAAATAACATGGTGCCAAATACTGAGCAAACAGAAACTGATCAATGCTGCTAACACTGTGTACTGAAGGTAAAAACCAGGCTTGGACATATACAGTCTATCTACAGCCTATTTTACAAAAAGAATCACCATATTAGCACTTATAATGTCGGTATCAGTTCATTTTTATGAGTAGAAGTACGAGTAAACGAGCACAGTATTAGCTGGATACACGGCACCAGTATCAGTATCAATGCATCCCTAGTTTAGATACATATTATATTTAGGCACGGTTGGGCAAAAATCTGAATACACTGTCCTAAATGTATTCAGTAAAGTTCTCCATTACAGTACATAAAAAGTAACATGTTCAGAATACATTTACAATAGATTTACAACACATATACATTAGACTACTTTTTATTTCATTCACACTGATCCTCGCTGTTACTGGTTGGCAATTTTCTTCATGTAATTCTTCAGTTAAGATGTTTCATGAAAAATTCAATTATTCAAATGAGTACAAAAATGATTACAAATCTCTTAACATTATTTTGGCTCTCAGTGCCTGTGTTAGTCCACTGCTGCTCCCATAATTTTACTGCCCTTTTATGACCTATGACAACACTTTGCCATATCCCAATAAAAAACACCTTGCTAATTCAACTATAAAGTGGGTAACTATGTGATTTTCAGTTTATAACATGTATGTAAAAAGTCCAGTACGACACCAAAGCTCAGCTTATCACTCATGAACATGTTAACTACAGAGAAGACTCTGGTTCAGTTCTGGATGTTCAGGAACACTAATAACTGATCATCACATTAATTTATAAGGCTACTCAGGCTTTAGCAGAGCTCAGTAACACTGAGATTAATAACTGATCATCACATTGATTTATCAGTTTACTCAGGCTTTAGCAGAGCTCAGTAACACTGAGATTAATAACTGATCATCACATTGATTTATCAGTTTACTCAGGCTTCAGCAGAGCTCAGTAACACTGAGATTAATAACTGATCATCACATTGATTTATCAGTCTACTCAGGCTTTAGCAGAGCTCAGTAACACTGAGATTAATAACTGATCATCACATTGATTTATCAGTCTACTAAGGCTTCAGCAGAGCTCAGTAACACTGAGATTAATAACTGATCATCACATTGATTTATCAGTCTACTCAGGCTTTAGCAGAGCTCAGTAACACTGAGATTAATAACTGATCATCACAATGATTTATCAGTCTACTAAGGCTTTAGTAGAAACTTCAGTTTTTGAATAAATGAGTTCCACAAATGAAAAGTCAAAAGGTTTACATTGACTTGCTCTCAAAATATAAACATAACTAGTATGCATTTTGCCAGAACAATCAAAGAGTTTGATTTTTTTTTCTTTTTGGAGCTCAACAACAGTATATGTCATATTTAACATTATGCTTGGCTAAATGGCTATAACTATTCTAACAATTGTTTATGGTTTTAAAAAAAAACTGATGGGCAACAGCCCCCTAGTAGCACCACCATAGCCCACTGGGGGGCTGCAGGCCACAGGATGAAAACTACTGGGTTGTATGACCATCTTCACTGTTAGAGAGCTGTATAGACTAAATAAGATGTCCACATAACAAACTACTACATGACAGTAAAGAACAGAATACACACACCTGATAAGTCTATTTTAATGTACCAAAAACAATCCTAATTAATTTTTACATCACCATTTTCCAACCTCCCTTTATCTCTCAGAATTAATCAGGCTGTTTTGTTACTGCCTTTAAGACTGATGTAAACAGGTGGATACAAGTAAATGCGTTTGTTTTTGTGACACTGTAAAGCAATTAATTTAAAGTAGGCTGTTTTTGCAGCAGTATTCATTTTTACAAGACCACTTTCCAACCTTTCTTTAACCCTTAGAATCAAACAGGCTATTTTTGTCACTGTGCTTTCAAGAATGACACATGTAAATGTTCTTGGGCCTCAAAAAGCAGTTCAGGCCAAAACTCTCCTTACAACTTCAGGGGTTAATGGGATAAATATTAATCTGCTGGTTTTCCTGATAAAACCAATTATTTCAAAACAGGCTGTATAGATTGGGGAGTGAATTGCACATTTTGAAAGTTCAATAAAATAAAACTGGCAGTGATTAGTAGGCAGGCTATAAGATGATAAAGAATATGCAAATCCTCTTACTCTCTTACAGAAAGAAACAGAGCCTGATGGACAGGCACATTTATACGCATGTGCTTATATTTTTAAGGGCAACACAAATCAGAAATCATAACACACTTTTCCTACATACTGTGACATATTTCTGAGTGAAACATGGTATCAGGGAGGGTCTCTGAGCTAGCTGAGCGATTCTCTCTTTGAGAGATGGGGTGGAGGGAGGAGGACGTGAAACATTATATTGTTTGTAAATATTATTTTTAAATTTAAAAATCTTTTAAATGATATGATTTGATAAATCGTGCGTAATATGACCAGGGACATAAACTAACAAGGTAAAAATGGTCAATTGCAGTGACGTATTTTGTAATCTTTGAAAGGCTGTGTATGGTATGTTAGTGCTCAGTTAGATCTATTTTTAGATGTTAAGCCTTTTTTTTAACTCTGATTACACAAAGCCAAGCCCTGTCCAACAGTACAAGAGGTAAAGGACATTCTAATTGGACAGTCTTCACTTTTGGTTTAACTTCTTCAGTTTTACTTAATCCTGATTTCTGAAATATTCTCCTGAAAATCATTTCAAACAGGATTTCTCAATTTACCAGATAACTTAAGCCCAGAGTGAAGCCTGTCTAATAGGAGAAGGGGTAGGTAACATTCTTATTGGAATGTCGTTATTTTTAACTTAAATTATCCAGTTTGGTGAAAAATTCTGCTTTATGAATTATCCTCCTGGTCCTGGAGGTGCACTGCACTGCATAATGCAATGTTATCCCTGATATTAATAAAAGGCCTTTCTGAGTTCACCTGACCTGACCAGTGCTGTGGAGCAGGGAAACACTGAACTTGGCAGGGGTGACTGGATTGAGAAACACTGGTGTAAACAAAGCCCCAGCAGAAACATGCTTCATCATGCTCATCTCGAGGGCTTGTTTATGCAGCTCTACCTATTAATGTAGAAAGAAAATTTTATGTCCAGATTTTTCTTTCAGCTTTGAGGCAAATTTAGTTGCACTTTTAAACATAACAGAACGCAGAGCTACAACTGTGTTCTAGATTCTTAGCCTGGAATAATATCTGCCATAATACTAAAGGAGGTTCTACATAGAACTGGGCAATATGATGATATTTATCATTATCATGATAAATTACATCAGAATATGTCACAGTGTGTTTTCTGAGCATATCATCGATATCATCAATACTTAAAAATCACTTCCCAACTACATATTTGATCAAAAAGACAGCATAATTAGCCCTGTTTTACTGAATGTTAATTCCAGCACAGTGTGAATAATGTTGAATACAAGTTATTGATTCATAGTTTTTGACAGTACTTTTAAAATGTGGCACTATGTTGTCTGTTCTAATCAGATTTCAGGAAAAATAAATATTGTGACACATCATGAATCGTGAAAAACTTCCTTAAATATCATATTACATTTTGAAATATCGTCCACCTCTAGTTCTCCATGATTTCCACAAGAACACTCAATTAAGAAAGCAGTCCAGGCTAAAATATTCCTTATAACTTCAGTCTGAATGGGCGGGGCTAAACTCCTAACAGCTGTTTATATGTAAAAGCATGTGTTTTTGTGGTATCATAAAGCAATGAATTTAAAGTAGGCTGTTTTTGCAGCTTAGTTTCATAATTCATTATTCATTTTTACAAGACCGTTTTCTATGGAGCCCTGCTGGTGACATCCCACATAAATAACAATAATGCGTGGGAACGAGATAATTAAGTTGTGGAAACGACTTAGTAAGGCATGGGAACAAGATCATGCTTTATTAAGCTGTGGTCAAGCATTAATTATCTCATTCCCACACCTTACTAAGTTGTGGCCATGCGTTAGGATCTAGTTCCAACACCTTACTAAGTTGAGGCCACGACTTAATTATCTCATTCCCACGTCTTACTAATGCCGGCCTTACACCAAACGACTTTTCAAGCGATTTCACTGTCGCAGACAAATATCCATGTCGGAATAAAATCATGAGAGTCTTGTTAGAGTCGCGTCGCACTCCGGTCATCTCGATCGTTTGGTGTAAGGTGGTCAAGATGGCGGTCTTAAGTCAGTCTTTTTCTCGTCTTGATGCTGCGACAAAATCAACCGTGTTTAATATTATCGTAAGTTTTAAGTCTTGGCTCATGCAAATAGTGAGGTGCCAGGGGCGCGCGTGAGTGCTTGCAGGCGAGCGCAGGCGCGATAGGGGGAGCGAGAGAAAGAGAGAGAGAGAGAGAGAGAGAGAGAGAGAGAGCGAGCATGCGTGAGTGCCTGAAATCTCTGTAAAAACGGAAAATCTGCTCCACTTCAATACAATAATCATATTAACTTAAAATGTAAACTGTTAATATTAATATTATTAATATTTCGGGTTCACTGAGCCTGTAACACGTAAGGAAATGTGCAGAGGACTTTAAGAATGCCATTATTGAAGAATCAACAACGTTTTTTTTTTTCTGTTCTCTGTTACAGTGGTTTCTTACTTTGTTTGTTTGTTTGATTTTTATGGTTTAGTTCATGACACCCAATCAACAATGCTGAATCACTGCATGTTGTGTTGATGTGTAAATCTTTATATCAAATTAAAATCTTAACTGCACATTTTACAGGTTAATTAAAATTATGGGTGATGATCTGCCAGAATATACAGTTCTATAGTGAACTAATCTGAGCCCCAGATCTTTACACACCCAGCCAGCATATCTTCCCATCTGTACCACTATAGAGTGGAAGGAAAAGTGTTTATCTGCTTGTAAATTTCCACCAGGTGCATGATGGGGAATAATCTCAAAAATCTAGTTACAGTCTTGTAAATAGTGACACTGCAAGATTCCTAGTCTTTGCAAAATCATAGTCTGTGACTAAAAAACATGACACTGTCTTTAGATGTGAGAGGGTAATGTTCCAACCTACAGTGTAGCAATACAGAGTAGTATAAGTTACTACAATGTATTACACAGATATTAAAAGAACACTGTAACCCTAAGAAGGCAGTACTAGAGGAGTATTACAGTGCTGTATAATACGTAATAAAGTATTAGCAAGCACTAAACAAATCTTTTAGTTTCCTACACCGTTACTATAGATTTTTGGAAGGGTGTGAACACATAACTGCGGGACTTTTAACTTGTAGAAGCAGCAGCCTAATCATCACCAGTACCAAACCACAATACTCGTACCGTGAACCAACCGCTTCATTTCGTTGTACCGAGCCCACAGGTAGGACTTCCGCTCCACCTTCAGCGCCGTGGATGAGAAGGAGCGTCCGGACACGTTCAGCGACTCCTCGCTGCGCGCTTTGCCCCCTATTTGGTGTCTGGACCCCGTAGGCGAGGCTGGCGGCACTGCGGGCGGAGAGGCGCCTTTGCACAGTCCGTCTTTGCACTTCTGCTCCGCGCTGCACGCGGCGCAGGGCGCGAGGCGCTTACTGGAGAAGTTTCTGTCTTTTCTCGCGAGTGGCGGAGTCCTGCTGCCGCTCTGCCACAGCGCGCGCCCGAGCCCGAGCCCGCCAACTCTCTGCAGAGACATTTTACATGATTTCAGATCTTTATTTACACGTTTCTGCTGATAAAATCAGGGCAAACATGACGTCGTTCTCTCCGTTCCGCTTACTGAGTTCCCCTGACACAGCTACAGGTCTTTGGAGGATGGAGTAGAGGGCGTGTCGAAACGAGTGGGCGGGGCGAACGTTTGTTTCCTATTGGCCGTCAGTGCCATCAATCACACATTCCAGTATTGATTGGGACAATATTGATGGTGGTTTTTCCGTTTAAATTGCTTGTCCGGTGTTAAAAATATTTCAAATATACACTCACCGTGTTTCTACATTCACTGTCCATTTTATCAGCTCCACCTATCATATAGGAGCACTTTGTAGTTCTACAATTACAGACTGTAGTCCATCTGTTTCTCTGCATACTTTGTTAGCCCCCTTTTACCCTGTTCCTCAATGGCCAGGACCCCCAGGGGACCACCACAGAGCGGACAGTATTTGGGTGGTGGGTCATTCTCAGCACTACAGTGACACTGACGTGGTGGTGGCGTGTTAATGTGTGTTTTAAACACCTCAGTGTCACCACTGGACTGAGAATAGTCCGCCAATCAAAAATATCCTGCCAGCAGCGTCCTGTGACCACTGATGAAGGACTAGAGGATGACCAACACAAACTGTGCAGCAGTAGATGAGCTACTGTCTCTGACTTAACATCTACAAGGTGGACAAACAAAGTAGGTCGGTCTAATAGAGTGGACAGTGAGTGTTTAAAAACTCCAGCAGCGCTGCTGTGTCTGATCCACTCGTACCAGCACAACCCACACTAACACACCACCACGTCAGTGTTACTGCAGTGCTGAGAATGATCCACCACCCAAATAACACCTGCTCTGTGGTGGTCCTGTGGGGCTTCTGACCACTGACAACAGGGCGAAAAGGGGCCAAAAACATATGCAGAGAAACAGATGGACTACAGAAATTGTAGAACTACAAAGTGCACCTACATGGTAAGTGGAGCTGATAACAGGGACACTGGGTGTAGAAACAAAGAGGTGTACTTAAGGAAGTGGTCAGTCGGTGTATAAACACAATTTAATTTTTATAATTAATCTTTGTCAATTGTGTTACAGAAACATTCATGATGTCTAAAAACACAGCGAGAGCTTTTTGATAGATTTCTTGTATGAATGTTTCACAGGAAGAAAAGACTAACTCGGAGAAGTCCACGGTTAATGAAATATTTTATTTATGTTTATTTCTAATAAATTTCGATAAAATACTTACGGCTTCATGTATCACAAAAAGTTTGTGTCATTGTGTAACTCGTGAAACATTAAGTGATTTTAAAATAAAAAAACAAATAAATATTTGTAATTTTCTACATACAATGAAATTTGTGGTGGATGTTCAGTATAACAGACTGTGTGTCACTTATCAACATTCACACTTTGTTTGCCACTGCAATAGCAGAATGAATGACCCACTTACTGTCAACACTTTTTAAGCAAGATGCTGAATAATAACAGATTTAGCCAAGCATCAGTGTAAATCAGCCTAATCTAATGTTGACACCAGGGGTGGAGCTAGATCTTTTAGAATAGGGGGGTCAGGTAAGACCCAGAGATTTTATTGCTGTGTCACACTGATAAGAAAAAATAGCATTACTGTATTAAAATGACATAAAACATGTTGGTTTTTCTCTCTATATAATAAAATCTGTCCATTATTTCCACATGAACAAAATATTACATCAATACAAATACTCATCAAAGTAAATTCACAGACAAAACTGTTAATGTAACGTAGTTTGGTCATCCATGAGGATTTGATGTATTTGAATCATGTAAATTAAATTAATCACTTTTTTTCAGTGCGTGATGTTAACATTAAGAAATAAATATTTCATAGAGACAGGCCATGGCAGTTATTCATTTAGTTTGAATTAAATACAAGTTATATATGAGTCTGATGATTAGAAATCTAAGCAAACAGCACTGTATAATCTAACCTACAACACCTGCATGTATTCAAATGTAAAAATTTAAAATAGTGTGATAAACGATTATAGCTCATTTTTGATAGTTCAGTCATCTTACAATCGAATAGCCTATACATAATGTGGCTCACAGAGCAGCAATGCTGAAGGGACCCAGTGCTCATTTACTCGTCTGTTTGCTCAGCAAATCAGCCAATCAGAGCAAGATATGCTAATTTTTAAATGTGACGTTATCAGACTCACATAACTGACTGGTAACTACCCTAATGGCAGATTTTCACAATAAAGTATAACTGATGCTTTATTTATGATGACTGACTGTCTCACTTTCCTTAACTGGGGTGGCCAGAAGGACGGCCTTGCTTCAGTCCAGGGTGACGATGGCACTGGCTATTCTGACCACCCCTCTGGTTGATAATATTAAGTTACTAAAAAAGATGAACAGTGAGACACTATCGCCAGCCATTGTGATCAAACATGAGGGAATCCCAACGTTAATACATACACATCATTTCATGTTAACATGTCAAATGTTTGCATGTTAACACGTTTTAAACATGTTAATAAGTAGATATGGCATCTACTGGTGTGGCATTGTTGCTGAAATAACATAGGCTGCTGAACAAATAGACCAAATATTGGAAACTTCTTCATTTATTTTCTGATTACAAGAATAAATACACTGCATTACTGAACAGTTTAAAGCCTTTAAAAAAAATATATGGGTTCGATTCCCGGCCGGGTGACCAGGGTCATTTCTGTGTGGAGTTTGCCTGTTCTCCCCGTGTCTGCGTGGGTTTCCTCCGGGTACTCCGGTTTCCTCCCACAGTCCAAAAACATGCAGTCAGGCCAATTGGACGTGCTAAATTGCCCCTAGGTGTGAGTGTGTGTGTGAATGTGTATGTCTGTCTGTCTGCCCTCTGATGGACTGGCGACCTGTCCAGGGTGTATCCTGCCTTCCGCCCAATGACAGCTGGGATAGGCTCCAGCACCCCACCGCGACCCAGAAGGATAAGCGGTTTAGATGATGGATGGATGGATATATATATATATATACAGTGGTGTGAAAAAGTGTTTGCCCCCTTCCTGATTTCTTATTCTTTTGCATGTTTGTCACACTTAAATGTTTCAGATCTCCAAACAAATTTAAATATTAGACACAGATAACACAAGTAAACACAAAATGCAGCTTATAAATGAAGGTCTTTATTATTAAGGGAAAAAGAAATCCAAACCTACAGGGCCCTGTGTGAAAAAGTGATTGCCCCCCCCCCACAAATGGCGAAAACATGGAACAGTGGTGAACCTTCCCAGGAGTGGCCGGCCGACAAAAATTACCCCAAGAGCACAGCGACGACTCATCCAAGAGGTCACAAAAGACCTCACAACAACATCCAAAGAACTGCAGGCCTCACTTGCCTCAGTTAAGGTCGGTGTTCATGACTCCACGGTAAGAAAGAGACTGGGCAAAAATGGCCTGCATGGCAGAGTTCCAAGACGAAAACCACTACTGAGCAAAAAGAACATAAAGGCTCATCTCAGTTTTGCCAGAAAACATCTTGATGATCCCCAAGACTTTTGGGAGAATACTCTGTGGACTGATGAGATAAAAGTTGAATTTTTTGGAAGGTGTATGTCCCGTTACATCTGGCATAGAAGTAACACAGCATTTCAGAAAAGGAACATCATACCAACAGTAAAATATGGTGGTGGTAGTGTGATGGTCTGGGGCTGTTTTGCTGCTTCAGGACCTGGAAGACCTGCTGTGGTAAATGGAACCATGAATTCTGCTGTCTACCAAAAAATCCTGAAGGAGAATGTCCGGCCATCTGTTCGTGACCTCAAGCTGAAGCGCACTTGGGTTCTGCAGCAGGTCAATGATCCAAAACACACCAGCAAGTCCACCTCTGAATGGCTTAAGAAAGACTTTGGAGTGGCCTAGTCAATTAGCAGCATTAAAAGTAGCCATTTTTGTTTGAAAATTGGTCTAAAATAATCCTTTAAATAAATATTGTGACTGGCACTGCAGAGGGTAAAAGGAATATATCGCTGTTGTCGGAAGAAAACCTTGTATCTCCAAAATAATAACTTTACAGGAGAAGGAAAAAACCTACTTTGCTTTTAACGTAAGTCAATGGAACCAGACTTTTTCTAAGTCATTTTGGGTCGTTTATTTTGGTATATTCTTCGTGAAATTTACACACAATGTAAAGGACAACAGGCATTTTCAAATTATGTCAAAAACTGAAAAATGGAAAAATGGAGGTACGAGGTTTTCTTCCGACAGCAGCGATATATAAATAATTGATGTAGTTCTGTCCTTTATATGTATATGTGTGTAAAAGTAAATATGAACTTTAACCTACTCATTTTACTGCTTGTAATTTATGGCAATTGAAGGCTTTTTTGATAAACTCTGACTTCCTTTCACTTCTTGTTCTGTCTCTGTAAGTAAGGCCTAAACTTCATTAGGCCTTGTTAGGCATCACTGGCCCAAACTGCAGAAGGCCTCATTGTGTTTACTCCTGCTTCAGCCCTCAGATTGCCGCTTGTGGCTACATTTATTCTGTTTTTATTATCAATATATGATCTCATGCTCTGTGCCTCGTTTAGTTCAGACTATTACAGTTATAGTCTTTGTAGCATTTCATTTCCTGTATGGTAATTGATTAGTATTACTGTTCTGTAGGCTTAGGATACTTCTGCTCTAGAGGCTGTGACATTTTACTGTACAGTTAAATTTAGTTTTGTGATATTTTATATAAAGACATTGATGAAATGAATTGTTTGTAAAACACATGGTGCCAAGCCTATTTACACACACACACACACATTTTCTGAAACCGCTTATCCCTCTGGGTCACGGTGGGGGTGCTGGAACCTATCCCAGCAGTGCCTATTTACACATTTCCCGAGTTTAGAATTCATTCATGTACCTAAATCATTTCATGAACTATAAAATTTGCATTAATATTACATCATGATTACTTATATAGAATCATATAGAGTTTTTGTCAAAAAAAGAAATAAATTTAATTTAATGAAAACCAATGCAATTAAACTAATTGAAAAGTACTTTTGTTTCTGTGTGTTTAATGGTGATTGGTCAAGTTGTTAATTGGAAGAAAAAAGATGTAATAAAATAGTGACTAAACTTAACGAAAGCCACCATTTATTGCAAAAACATACATTTAGAAAATGTAAAAACTATGTAAGGCAGTACGGAACCATCAGGGCTTACCATAAATGATTTCTGAGGACTGTAAAAAATACATTGTAATGTTTTGTTCATTATTATTTAGTATAATAATGCTTATATGTAAACATTTTAAGGTAAAAATATTTTCACTGCCATTATCTTTGTGCCCTGCGATGGACTGGTGGCCTGTCCAGGGTTTACTGTCTTCCACCCAATGAACACTCGAATAGGCTCCAGCTCCCCTGACGACCCAAGAGGATAAGAGGCTTAGAGGATGACTGAATGAATGAATAAATGATCTTAGTGCAAATATATTATAATCACATATTAGTGGTTATTATATTAGTGTTTATTTTTTTTAAACCAGGTTTTGACATTTTTGGTCCACACTGAAGGCCTAGCTCTAAAAGTTATGGTCAGCACTAAGGTGATGCTGAAAGCCTTATGACACCACCCAGACACTGTTTATAGAAGTAATTCCTTCAGAATTTATCATCCAAAGATAAAAAAAAGAGACTTGCGTGGAAAAATGATAAAAAAGACAAATAAAAAGAAGCACAGAGAATAGAGTGTGAATGTGGAGTGCAGGTGTGGTTAAGTGGAGTGCACCACTGTGGTTAAGTTTTTAAAGTGGCTATGACTTTCAGCACTGCTATAAAACAGGGGTGTTTAATCTTATCCACTAAATCCTGATGTGGCTGCAGGTTTTCATTCCAAACAAACTGCAGCACATCTGATTCTCCTCCTAAAATCAGTTGGTCTCAGTCGTTAAACAAACATGTGAGATCCTGCTGTGCTGGAATGAAATATAGGCACTTTGCAATAAAATCACTCATTACTGTTTTTAGTGTCTGATATCTTCATGCAGTTTCCCAAAAATACATTTTAAAGTTTTGAAACATACTTCACAGGACTCAGGAACATGCTTTACTAAAATTAGATTACATAATTTGAAAAATAGATGCAAAAATATAATAAAATCATTAAAAAGACCCACAGACAGAAAACAAACCCACAACAACAGGGAGAGGCAGGACAGCCAAGGGCAGTGACAGTATCTCTCTTTTTCGGCTCTTTAAAAGATGCAAAAAATGTGTATTTCTTCAAAACTAGCTTGTTGAAGCCAGACTGTAAACTGAAGGGATCGTAGTGACAGCCTTACCTCAGGAAATCCTGTATGCTCCCTAAGCTCTTACACGATGCTGTTCTGGTGGTCTGTACATGTGGCGAATCTCCACGCTGCCAATGTGTCACTTGAATATGTTTGGGCCCAAACAAACCGGCTCACATTGTTTCCCAAACGCTAACATGTAACTGGAAGAAAGGAATAAAACATTAGTGTTTATATTTACAAATGATCACATCAACACTTCACCAAAAGACACTTTCCAGCTAAAACATCATATTTAACACTGAATTATTTTAATATAAACACAAACATCTGTCCCAAACTTTACCTACTCACTCAAACATCAGCATTTACTTAACATTTTCCAGAACACATTAATGAGAGTAACACTAAATGCTCACAGCAGGACCAGTAAAACTGAATGAGGTCTGTTGTTAATTCTTCAGCTAATTAGCCCAAACAACACCTGGCCATAAATTCTGCTGCACAATGAAATTAGACTCTTTTTACAAAGCGCTGTGGTTGTAGTTTTTCATCACAAAGCAGGCGCGCAACTTAAAAATAATCATTTGTGTGAAGACAAGCTAAATAAACGGGTGGTGTGCTTGATTAGAAAAACCTGCAGCAACTTCGGCCCTTCGTGGGTAAGAACGGCCGCCACTGTTCTTGCTAGCAAAGTGTGACGTAATTATTATGAATATATTATGAATATGCATGTGTGTCCGGATTTAAGGCCTCCCATTGGCAGAGACCTTGGAAAACAAGTGAAGGTGTTTTTTTGGTCATGTTATCATGAATAAACTTTACGTGTTAGCGCGCAAAATTTAATTAACATGTTAATATGCATATTTAAACATGTTTTGCTCCAAATGGCCTTTGGTAAGACAGGTTTTTATCAGGACACTGACTAAACGTTTTAAGTTATATTTAAGAATAGCTGCTGCACAAATGTTCGCGCCAACTGGAATATTATATTAACATGGTTAACATGACTTTACGTCATTATAGTGTTAACAGGGAAAAATGAAAAGAAGGAGGTGCTGGCGGTTTAGTTTCTGTAAAAACATATCGCATGCTGGCTGTTAGCATAGCGAGCTAAGCTACTTTCCTTTCACAACCCGAGATTCGCAGACGCAATGCGGCCACAGTACTTTGTGGGTTTGCTGTAGAGACCACTGTAAAGAATTCTGACTTGGTTAATGAAATCCTTTTATATTTCTGATACATTTGGATAAAACACTTACAGCTTCATGTATCACAAAAAGTTGGTGTTCCTCAGTGATTTTAAAATAATAATAATAAAAAACCAAGAATGCAATATTTGTAATTTTCTACATCTAATGTGGCTTTGAAACCATGGCAATGGATTTTTTAAAAGCTCATTTTAAAATGGTTTATTGATTTATTGATGGTGTTGGCTTTCATGATGTTCACACCCCGTTTGCATGAACAGCCCACACACTGTCAGCTTTGCTTTAAAGTAAGGCGCTTAAGAATATCAGACTCACTGCGCACCGTCTGTTTACACACGCAGCGTTCTAACCGTCATCGACTCATCAAACGAGACGCTCTAGTTAGGGAGCAGTGACGTCGCCGCTTGTTCCCGCCCACTGCACGCGCCCGGCGTTTCCCTACCTCAGGTATCAGAATCTCCTCAGCGGTTTACCACCGTAGATTTCTGCTCTCCGGGTTTTATAGCCATTTTAATTGTATTTGCTGGAGATTAACAGCTCATATAATGCAGCCACGGTACTTCGTAAGTTTGTAGTAAAGACCACTGTGAATCAGTCTGATCAGGTAAACTTCGCTACAGTGCAGCATTTCACAACAAAACACTCTGAATGACTGTTTTTCCGCTGCACATTCAACTCAAACAATTCAAATATGTAAAACCAAGAACTGACCCAACCAACAGAACTAGTTTCAGTTCTGCTACAGACAACCGGAATATTATTTTGACATGGGTAACTTAATTGTTGTGTAGGTTATTTTATGTCTCTCTAAAGTGTCTAATTCTCTATCTTATTAAAAGCTCATATTTTCCCTCTTGAGTGTGAAAATATGAGAAAAACTCATCATGTGGAGGTTAGCATAAAGTGTCGGTATTAACCTCCTAATACAGCAAATTATCTACAAATGGTTCTTAAACAGCAAATCAACACAACACACCATTCTAGTTTACAGTTTGGTCCTGCAGGACTGTTTGGTGACTTTATCTTCACCTGGAAGAGTAAAAAACCTGCTAAAATGTCATTGGCTTAAGTTGCAAGTACTACCAAAGACATAAGGTAACACCCTCAAGCACCATAAGGTCCTGTTGGTACCAATTTTGAGCAGGTACCAAAAAATCTGTAACTTTTAATACTAAACTGATGGCCGATGGAAAAAGTTCCGGTTTTCTGGTGCCAAAGATTCTGGTACTCTATCCAGTGGAAAAATGCTGTTTGTTTACATCACAACAAATGAATTATGTGCAAAGTTAGAAAAGTCTGTGAAACTGCCCTTTTAATTTATACTCAAGATCTGGGGAAAAAAATTAAAACAGCTAAACATCAATAAAACAGTACAACATAATGACCTTTCAATAACTTTATTCATATCCTACACTTATTTCACAAAAATGTCTGGGACTGGTGTATGAAAATTACATCTTTTTAAAGGAGATCAGTGACAATAAAATGTATCAAAGGGAACCAAAGGGTTAAAAAGGCTATAGAATTTAAAAGGTCTGAACAGGCAAGATTTTCATATTGAGGTAAGACATTATGAAGACCAAAGAACCTCTGTAGCTTACAATATACTTCTTCCATGGAGACCTTTCAATAGTGATTCTTTGTCAGGACAAGCAAAGTCTGCAAGGATAACAACACTGTCTTCACACAGTAACAATGCAGGCCAAGTACAACCACTCCACTCATGTGTTATTAGCATGCTGCTGACCAACTTGCAGGATGGCAAGCTAGCCAGTTTTAACATTTGCTGACAGTTAAATAACTACAAATAAGAAATCTCACAAATACATCCACAACCTCACCGCTCTGACAAGAGCAGTGAGGCCTATAAGTTGCTATGACCTACATTTTTGCCACAAATTATGTCAGTTACCAATAAATTGAAGAACAGGGCAATCAGTAACTGCACAGTAATGCACACAATTGACCTCAAAAAAACAACAACAAAAAAAAAAAACTAAACAATTAAATAAATTATTGCATCAAATACCTACAAAGTCTGTTTAGTCTAAAAACCAATGACGCGCACCACCCAAAACAAAAAAAAACAATAAGGCACTATTTTCAGATCCTATTTTCCCCCCATGATGTGTTCCCTTTAGCATAAACTAGTGCCATATTGCTTTGAGAAAATTTCAACATAGTTTTAATTAAATAAGTAAAAAGAACAAACATGGCTTTGTCCCATACTTGTAACAGAGCATTATTATTTGATATAACAGTGCTGTGTATTTAACCCTGTGCTGAAGATCAAAATTACTGGCAGTATCGTTGACTGGACAACCTTGATTGGTCATGTTTTATGCTTGGTCTGGTTAGCAGCAAGACCTCTACCTCTGCATAGACAACAGTTTCAGCTACTGATCACTTTGTATTAGCACCTCTCTCCACTGAATCTGAGGTACAGAAGATGAAACAGCTTTAAAGGGCAAAGCATCTACTGTCGTCGCAGGATACAAAAAGGTCATCTTTCAGCAAACACAGATGAACCCCAATCAACAGGTTTCGATACAGATGTCTGAAGGACAAAGCACTGGAGCAATGTTATTGTTAATGATGGCGTGAAAGTAGGGAATGTAGCATACAAATGTTATTCTGAACATAACAGCTTTCCTTAAATACCGTAGGACTGGTCAGTTCCAAATGTTGTCACACCATGGTTGTTCAAAATATAAAGCAGGTTCAATTTCCACCATCATACATAAGCCTATCTGAACATGGTAACAGTAGATGAAGACGTCACAGGAAAAGTCTTATCACGTGTGGTCAATTTTAAATTACACACTGATCTCTTAGAGTGATTTTTGGTTTCGTACAATGTCCATGAGAGACTGAAGGCAAGCTGCGAAACTTGCCTTCCTCCAGAAACCCCCATCATGAAATGAGATGAGGCTCCTTGCAGCTTTCAGTTCCTCAAAGCTGCACAACACATGAGCTGACTGACCAGAAAGCGAGAGGGGAAAAAGAAAATTAAGAGAGAAAAAGAATGAAAGTGACATGAGTAAAAAAAAACAAAAACAAAAACAAAGAAATTGACACAATGATAAGAGAGAAGCAGGTGAGAGAAAGGAATGAAAGAATAAACAAATCAACAAAAACAAAACAAAAAAAGATAAACTTTCAGTTAAAAAAAGAGAAAGGACAGATGAAGAGCGTAAGAAAAAGAGAAGCCCAATGTGTTGTGGTCTGTGATGAAGTGGATGGCAGGTCAGGTCTGGAGGGTTAAGGGTGGTTCTGAGCTGGGCATGAACACGGTCCACATACACTGGAGTAGGAGGAAGGGTGGTGGAGGACGAGCTTTCATCGCTGCAAAACAGGCCGAAAGACACAGTCAGTCACATGTAGTCATTCATACACTGGAAACAATGACTGCAAATACAGACAGTGATGAAGAAAGACCAATAAGACATATTCAGGGTATTAAGACAGGTGAACAGGTTCAGCTGCACATAAGGAAATAATGTATACATCAATAACTAAAAATAATATGAATAATATAAAAAATACACATGAGCGAAAGCAAGATTTTCAAGCACCTTGCACAACCTAAGTGTCAGATGATGGACATAGTGTTATCGAGTTCAGAAGGCATTGGGGTTTCTGAAAATGAAAAAAAAACATGAATAAATGCTGACATTTCCTGTGATTTCTTTTCCTTTCTGCTTCCAGGCTTCTTCAGTTTTTAAATAAAATTAGAAAGCAGACTGACTAATTTTCTTAATTTAATTAATGTTCACTTTGTGTATTTATCACAGTTGTTCCAACCTAATCTCTATTGTATGACTGATTAACAAATAATAATGCTTCAGCACCTGTCTGCTGGCTTCTATTATAAATGTGTTTGGAGATGTTCTTCATCGGTATACCAAGCACAGGGAAAGGCGGTATTGCCCATGGTCAATGACGGTACCACACAGATCAGGTTAAATACACCAGAGTATTTTTTTTTAAACTGATGACCAGTGCTGTTTACTTCTCCTGTGCTGTATCACCATCGGCAGTGGATGCTGGATTTCTGTAGAGCTTTGATTTGTAGAGATTTCTGTCTCACAGCAACGGTAAAAGGTTTCTAAGTTAATTTGTATGCAGTATGCTTGTTTATTTGACATGTTTATGTTCACGATTGTTGGAACGTTTCGATTCTGAACTTCGCCTAGTTTGTGCTGATCTGTGTGTTGTGTCAACACCTGCTTGACGTTTTTTGCGCACATCCTGCTGCCTTCCATTCTCAAGGTGTGGATTAGAAAACTCTGTGTTACTAAAACTGGAATTTGATCGATTTGCGACCCTAGAAGACGATGTTGCATTACTGGTAACTGAAGATTTTCGGCTCTTGCTGAAGTGACCGTATGAAGAAGTTTGACTATTAGAGGATGCTACACTCAAGCTCCTCTGAGGTGGTGGAGACTTGGATGAAGAGCTTGATGTTACAGCTGTACGCTGAAAGCGGTTTACACTAGTTGCCTCCATAGAACGTGATTTGGAGATGTTGGACTGCTTTTTGAGAACAGCATGCTCAGTGGATTTCAAATGAGATCTTAGATCATTCTCCTCCATTTTCACTCTGCTTTTTCTCTGTGATCTTATAGAAACAACCGTGTTGCATTTTGACACAAGATTTTCTGCTGAACGTGAAGAGGAAGGCGTGGGAGTGCTTGCTGGTAAAGACGCACGGCGCACCTTGATAAATGTATTATTACGACACGGTGCAGACACTCTGATGTTTTTTGCCTGTACATCGGCAACCTTAGGCTGCCCTGAGAGTATCGCGAAAGGCCCCAAACCACCTGTCGTATCGTCTAACGAGCGAGATGAAACGGATCCGCGGCTACGAACAAATGTTGCATCGCGAGGAAGACCGGCAGACACCAAACTCTGTGTGGAGGTAGATGGTAACGGCTCATTGGAAAAAGATGACGACGAGGAAGAGGAGGAATTGTGTCTTACAGGGCTGCCATGGAGGCTGCGCGAGAGTGCCCTAAAATGGCCACTCATGCTTTGAGGGCCAGAAGAGGACACCATCACGGGGCTGGCACGCGGGCTGCTCCTCATGGGACTCCGTGGAGCTCGGCCTGATTTGGTACCCAGCTGCTTCGTGCGGGAACGTCGTGGGCTGCCCCCGTTACTGTGGGGGAGCAAGGGAGCCTCCAAGTCCTCCAATCGTTGGGTCAAGGCCAGTTTCTGCTGGATGGCCATACGGAGGAGGGAGTTGAGCGTCTTCTTCTCATCCTCTGCAGCAGCCAGCTGCCTTTGCATCTCATCTAATTGAGTTACGTACTGGTCACATCTGAGGGAGAAAGAGAAGGGGCATAACAGAAAAAGGAATGTTTATCACTAAAAAAGACATTGGTATGCTTGAATAATTCAGAATTAGCTATCAGGTATTTCTTCTGAACCAGTTGGCAACAATACAAACAATAGACTACTAACTGCCAGAAGTGCTCATTGCTGTAAGTGCCCACTTGATGGCGCCATACACAAAATTTCTAACACAGATGTCTGGGATGAGACGTTCATGAATATCAGGGAAGTACTTTCCAAAACATGGAGTTTAATTTGCGACAAAGGATCAAGTCTACATACCCTGCCCTACTAGCAGCTTTTTAGGAGTGAAGTCCTAATGACGCGCAAAAAAGAAATAAAAGGCCCTGCAGCCAACACAGGTATAACTTCATTTCACTGAAGATGTTTGTGTGTACTATTTGAAGTGTGTCAGCCCACATAATGCAAGCCCAACTTGATTAAGGGGGTGCATATTCGATTACTAGAGTCACAATCTAATATTCTGCACAAGGCACTGTTTAATCTCTAAGTCCAGAACCAAACCTGTGCTGTTGTAACTAGCACATCAACTTCTTTTCTGAAATATATTTTTAGAATATATTTTTTCTGAGATAAATGGTTTTAAACAGTTTGTTAAAGTGCCTCTGCACAGTACTGTATATATATAGGACTTTTAACCCTGTATTTTGTTGGTTTACACAGTGTGTATATAATGCAGCCTTCAGTGTTTCTCTCTTACTCCCAGTGTTTCTCTCATTTACTCCCTTATTTACTCCATGCACAATTTGTCCTAGACATCCTCTAGTCCAGTGTTTCCCAACCTTAGAGGCTCACTGCATGGACTTTGAATCTGAACAAGCCACTCGAGGGTTGCATACAAAACTGCATAGTACTAGTACACATACTAACCTAATGCACTTCTAATAATCTGCCAGACTAATAGGTACTGTAGTAGGTGGTTTTGGATGCAGCCAAGGACTTCTGAAGATCATTAGCTGGAGTAGGTGAGTCTGACTGCGGCTGGAAGTAGACTTTACAGAAAGACAGAACTCCAGGAGCAGGGTTGGTGAACACTGTTTCAGAGCTTCACTGCTGTGCTGTTCTTTGAGCATATTATTTTCCCCTCTATCAGGCTAAGGAGCCAATGTCAGTTTGTCTGCGCGTCTTTCTGTCCACAAACTATCATGTCAATGTAAGATGGATGGTTTGACCCGCTGCCTGGCTCACTTCTTATCTAACATCTTTGTTAGTATTATAAAAGATGATGATTTAGACACTTTAAGCCTTTTTGCTACAATAGGTTGCACTACAGCCTAACAGCTAATTTTTTCCCCTCACGCTCTGGCAGGGAAATAACAGTGAACTGAAATGTTCTGTGACTGACAGAAGAAACCATAATCGCTAGCAAAAAATGGTTAAACATATGTTGAAAACTAAGATGTGTGTTGCATTAGAGTAATGTCATCTACTTAAATATAAACCACTAAAATGACCAAACTGTACTTCTCTCAGATATAGTCATTAATTATTTAAATAAGGTTTTAGTTAGCCTAATGACTGCAAAGCACTTATCTGATACCACAAATCTGCACACAGAGTACTCGAGCTGTAAGTTTCTCATTCTCCTCGAATAGCTTCTTGCTAAAATATTTCACAAGACTCTGTTCAGTAAACATTAGATGAATGAGTAATGTAACCAGGCATTCTTTTGGATTAAGTGAACAAAAATCCAGCCAGGACAACTTTACTAGTTACGTGTAGCAGACAGCCAACTTTATTCACTCTCTCCCCTCTCCTGACCCAAGCTGTATTCATGTAGCAGTCAAATTTAAAGCATGTTTTTTCCAAAATGGATTAATACAAAGACTAAATATTTTTAAGTGGACTGAAATACACTTAGGTGGATGTTAATATACCTGGGTGCACGGCCAAAGTATAATGTGTAGGAAAAACTCAGCAGTGACACTGAGGTGTTACAAAAACTCCAACAGCACTTCTGTGACTAATACACTTATACCAGCACCACATGTACCAACATGCCCCTACAATATTACTGCTCTGCTGAGAATAGTCCACCACCTAAATATCTGGTCAGAACTGGTCCTATGCTTGTTAGTAATTGTAAACTTATAAAACACATCTATTTAGTAGATATGATATATGACTATATGGCCAATGAATGCAGCTTGAAGGTACTACCCGACCAGAACCCGACTAGGACAGGCAAATGATGCATTTTAGGCTATGCTTGGGATGTTTGTTGATAAATTGTGCTCAGTAACAAATCAAAGTGCTGTAAAACTGTCTGCAATAAGCCATCTCTGTACCTGGGAGCAGGTTTGGATCAAGTTCGGGTTTTAAATTTACCAATACTAGTCAGGCCTGGTTGGGTCTCAAAGCCGCAGGTATGGTCAGGTTCAGCCTTTAATTTCATTACACTACTAGTACAAGGAAGGTGTATCTAACAGCCTGGCATCACCATGCATACATCTAATTTACTTATTCCTGTTACATAATAAGTCTTTTCCATCAGGACACTGTTCCGACATGATCTTCGAACCCTGACATTTGCATCCTGACCACAGAGGCAGGTGGCGTCATGTGCACAACAGGTCAAGAACCGTGCTTGTTAAGATGCACGTGAGAGTTGGGATTGTAATCTGATTATGTTGGTCTTTAGACAGAACCATGTGGGTGCCACGCCTGCCTAATCTCTGCTGCTTCCCAGGCTTCTCCCCACTTAAACTTCTCTGTTTTCCAACTCTGTCTCTCTCCTTCTGTTTGACGAGTGTGCAACAGCGTACATTTTTGTAGGCAATGGGAGTGCCCTGTACCTGCTTGCAAACATGACCCGTAACGAGGAGAAGGTAGCAGCGTCCTCCTTCAGTGCCTTCAGCTCGTTCCTCAGCTTCACCATGGTCTCAGACACCATGCTCTTCTCTGTTTCATACTTGGTCTTCAGGTTGCTCAAAGCCAACTCTGCTGTCTGAAAACAAAAGCATTATGATAAAGAGAAGAGCTCTATTCACAAGACTGCTATTCCCTAAACTGCTATGTTAGAAAACAACTGCATCAGCAATTATTGTAAAGCATTTAGGCTGAAATATATATGATTCAACCAAGTTATCTGCTAAGAAAAATAAGCAAAATAAGCAAGGAAAAAAATGCTGCAGCATTCTAAATGCACACTGCACTCAGAGGTGCATACAGAGGAGCTTACTTGCATGTGAAGGCTAATTAAGTAGATCACATATTAGCTAAATTAAATGAAAGGGCAAAAATATGCAACTGCGACTACTAAAGGATCTGTGCTCGAGAGTGGGCGCAGGAATTTGAGGATTAGTGTGTGAGACAAGGTCAGACATAGCTAGAGACCATTTTGGACAGTGATTTTATATGGCACCACACAAAATACAGATTTCAGACTGAAGAGACTAATCACTCTTACTGTGTAGATTTCAAACAACAGGTTTTAGTGCTGAAACTTGGTCTGTCAATTCAAAATTTCAAATATTCAATATATTCCATAAAAAATGCAAATTACAAAATACAGAAAAAGTTAGTTTGATTGTCTAAAGTACTGCTCATCAAATAGATATGACCTGGGGACAATTTCTTACAAAGCAAACGCAGGGCTGTGTGAAAGTTTTGCTCATCTTTGCAAGTAAGTAAATGTGTTATATGACACTTTCCTACTATGAAACGAGTGCCTTAGAGGGAGCGTTGGCAAGAATGCATTGTTACGGACGTAACTGAGAAGGCAGAGATAGCAAAGCCGGTTCTGGTACAGCATTTTCGGCAACTAAGCTAACTACTCTAGCTGATGTTAGCTAGGTCTGGAAACGGGGAAAATCTTATTTTCTAAAATATTGCAGTATCCACAGAGGGGAAGGACCAGCTCTAGTACTGGCTCATTAGTGCTTCTGAAGAGGCAGCTTCTGTTACTCATCTGACATCAAAAACCTTCCAATTTCCCAAAGCTATTTGTGAATAATGCAAAACGTTTTCATTCCTCTGCGTGTTGCTATTTTTTTGTGTGGTACAGTATTTCCAGCCTCCTAAGAGCTAAATATTAAGTCTACAGCCCTACGGTAACTTTGGCAAAAGCAGTTTTTTCCCCCCACCTCGTGCAATTAACCTAATATCTGTTTATTACCTCTTACGGATACTCAAATATCAAAATTCATCAGAATGCACATCCCTAGTTGATGCCAACAGTGTTTGAGGCTTTACTCTGTTACAGAATTGAATAATTTTTGTAGAATGGGCTGGGACTGGAGAAAACTTGCTCACAGGCTGGATTTGGCCCACAAGCCTCTTTGATGTTCCTGGGTTTAAAGCTATCTCTGCTGCGGCTCCTAACACATTTCAGGCCAGTTAGTCACAAAGATTACAGCTAGCAAACACACAGAACAACATGCCACTGCTGACAATACATAAAAGAAAAATAACAGACCAAATAAAAAATTTAAATACAGCACATAAAATAAAAATAATAAAATACCTAATTATCCCTAATTACAGATTTATACATACATATAAAAGACATTTTTAGACAACCATTATCCCTCTAAACTGAGCATCATTGGTGTCTGACACTGTGAGCTTTTGGGATGCTGGATATTGAGTGATTGAGACACAGCATCTTCTTACAAAAATAGAATTTTTCCTCATAAAAAAGGTTCTCAATTGATTGAACATATTCAAATGTTTGCCAAACAAATTTACATTCAGTTTTAACCAGAATAAGAGCACATGCTCCATTTATATTCTGATATAAACCACCGCCTATGCATCTCACATATTACAGGTTAAAAGTAAAGGTTAAAGCAATGATTAAAAGATAAAGCTCTTCTTAAATACAAAACTTTTACCCTTTAACCTTTCCTGCAACAAGAAAGCAACTAATTGTCAACATGCATTAGAACCAGTTCTAATGAAATGGGAAATCAATATTTATCTGTAGCCTAGTGCCTCCTTGGAGTTGTTCTTGATCAAAGTGCAGAGTACTGCTTCACATAAAACATTAACACAAAAGGCCCATGATCAGTGTCTGGATCAGTGAACAAAAGAGGAGGCTTGACAGGGCACCTTAACAAAGAGGACCATCCAGTGTAAAACCTGTAAAACAAGCTCTCTGAATTAGCTCAAGGCAATGACTTTCTGATCACCTCGGAGGCGGTGATGGAAAGCAAGCGTGCTTACTAAACGTTTTTTTTGTAAATCACGGTACACAAAAAAAGGGTTTCACATTTCAATGACCAATGAAAGTCAGTGAACAGGTTTGACAAATGGTGTGCCTAAAATTTCCATTTGAAACATTTCAGCATTGAGTACCTGCAGTATAGAGCCTGATTTTAGGGTGGTTTAGTTCCTGACCAAGAAGAGGCTAAAGCTACATTCATTCACATTACTGCTTAATACAGATTTCTTTTTTGCTTTGATCTTTCTCCCTTGATGGTTCACATTTGTTTGTAAGTGAACCATATCTGTCTTTAGTGTAAACACGTGGGCTCTGAAAGGCCTGTATGCATAGGTCTGGATCATCAACAACAAAAACATTAACAACCTGGCAGCACAAGCCTTTATCTCAGAGATCACTATCTGTTCATGATGAGGGGGAAAGGTGAACGAAGGCCAGGATGCAAAGATGCTTTAGTAGCGTTTACTGGCAGAAACTTAAGGTAAGCCGCTGCTGCAATGCTGCCAACACCAGATTTCAGTAATGTAGCGTTTAACACAGTGTCAAAGTCTGTTCAACTCGAATGTTAGCAGACATGCTCTGTACCTGCTTGTTTGCCTTCAGGACAGTCCTGAGTGTGGCGATCTGTTCTCTCTTGGTGCTTAAAAGAGATTTGAGCTTCAGCACCTCCTCAAGCAATGCCTCTGCATCACGGTCAGAGTCACTGCTTCTCCCAATTGCGCTGGAGGGCAAGGTGCCACGCTGCCTGCACAGGTCCACAGCCACCTGAAAATGATAAAACCCAGTCATTTTTAAGATGGTGAAAATTTGAGTCACTCACACTGCAGTAAGGTTGAACTGCAGTGGTATGACTGGCGTTAGAAAAGTATGGCAAAACACAATATTAGTGGATTTTTGAGATGGAGATTTATAAATGATTCCAGACTGATTCAAATTTTTCCGCTCAACTCCCCTAAAAGCTGCTTAACAGCTTTTCTAAAACCAGACGTTTTCCTATTAGGATTACATATCAAAGGATCCACCACTGAGATCCTCCCTTTGGGTCAAATTTACCATTAAGGGTGTAATTCAGGACACGCTTGATTAGGCAGTCCAAACAACAAGTTAAGTGACCAATAAGATTTCAAGCATTTAAAACAGAACTGCGTGCAAGAACCGGAAGCAAAAGTGTAACACTTTCAATATGGTAGTCGCATCAGTTATTAGTTGGTCAAAACCATAAATGATTTATTTACAATGTAAATTTTACATCTTACTTATGTGGAGGTGTAAACAAATAGGTTGTGTTTAACCTTGGCTGCATTTCAACAATGGCAGAGCATGCAGTGCCACACTGATGTGCGCTAGGGTGTAACAGTAGAAGCGTACTACAGGAAAAAAGGAAGCATACAATTTATAGTGTCTCTCACATACATATACACAAACAAAACACTAGAACAATGCTACCTATCTAGAACGTTCTAATTAGGGTCAGATACATTTAAGCTAAGCAAGTTATAAGCTAGCAACAACCTCATTAGACCTTCCTCTTACCTAGATATTGCCTTCCATTTGCCTTCGCTAAAGTGCACAACATGGAGGAAAATACCTTACTGCTACAAACTGCTAGGGAGGCACCAACATGCCTGGGAACTGTGGGCTGATATCCGATACTTTTCATGTACATTTTTGCCAGTGCCGATAAACATTTTTCACATAAAATGTAAAACCAGGACTAGATCAACATGGATTAGCATTACAGAGGAATACACTTTGTTGTAGAGGGTTACAAATGAAATATTAATAAAATGCAGACATTAGTGCAGTAGCCCACACAATTTAAACATTCTAATCTATTCTGGTCAGATCTAAATCATGATTTTTTTTTTTTAACAGCAAATATCTGCCAAAACCTATATGATTCTGATATCGTGCATTCCTACACATTGCAATTGCAATATGACTCTCAACAAACTAAAAACACTGATTGGCCTGCACTACTTGGACCAATATTATTCACATCTGTTGGATCATGTACATTCCTTGATGTCCAGAGAGAACATCTGACATTGTTCAGGACACTCACAACACAAAATAAAAACAATTCCGATTCATTAAAGTGCTCATTTGAAATTGAAGAAATTGCAATAGCCAATATAGTGATAATTGCAAATGACTGCAAAAGCCAATAAAGTGATAATGCTTAAAAGGAAACTATAAACAATTTTCCTATTATCCCAAAAAAAGTATCCAATCAACCAAGACGTGTTTGGTGCCCCACATTTGCTTCATTAGTTCTGCACTAGAGCTACAAGGTTAATGCAGTTTTGATTTTGGGTATCTACATACCCTGTTTCCTTGACTACATTAGGCATAAGGGAACAATTAGGTAAATTTAACAAACACTACCATTGCGCAGCCCTAAATTGAGATTTTTTTTTTTTTTAACCAACATTTAAAATACCTACCTGGAGGTGTTTAATCTGGACCCGAATAAGAGCTACCAGGTTCCGCACATTAGTGGGGTCCCTGAAGTCCAGTGTGGGCGACCCAGGACAGCTTCCACAGGTAGGGGAAGTATCTCCACTCGGTCCTCCGAGGTCTACCTCCACAGAGTGGGCTCCCTTCCCCAATGTCTCCCCCGACCGCCTCTGCTTCCGGAAAGCTCCGTGGTGGTGATGAGAGTGCGAATGGTGGTGTCTTCCACCTCGAGCTCCTTCACGATAGTAGTCCAGTGTGACTCGCCTGGGTGTGAGGTTGTTGCACACACACACGTGATGGTATAGACTGGCCAACTCCTCAGAAAATGCCAGAAGTTCCTCCTGCGTGGCGCTAAGGTGGCCCTCTGAGTCTGTGGCAACCCGCCGCGTAGCACCTATCTCCTTCTCCAGCTGCCCTATGCGCTCTTGGTCCTGCCGGCTTGCAGCAATGCACTGGCGGATTTTGTCGGCCAGCTCTTGCGCCTCTGCCCTCCAACGCTCCTTCTCCTGCTTGTAGCGCTCATCCAGAGCCTTGCAGCGCTCGCCGGCCTCCCTCAGCTCATCCCGCAGCTGCATCAGCTCCGCGTTGGCTGCTCTCATTCGGCACTCGAGCACTTCTGCACTTTTGGCGTCCAGCTCATAGAAGTCACCTCCGTTTTTTGCCTCCAGACCATTCTGGTGAGGGCCGGCAGCAAGGCCAGTCATGTCCCCTTGCCCGTCCGTTCTGGACTGGGAAACAGAGGAAGAGGTGCAACCCTGCAGGGCTTCCAAACGCTGGGAGAGTTGCTCTACCTTCACTTTATGCTCATCCAGAACCTCTTTAGACAGGGCCAGCTGCTCCTGGAGGTCTTGGACTGTACTGGCAAGAGTGGCTTTCTCTTTCTCCACCTGCAAAATGAATACAGATAGTGTCACAGTAACATAAGACTAACGTGACGAAAAAAATAAATCAACTAAAAATAACCATCTTTCATTTCCGAATTGTTAGACACATTCTCAGATGCAGACTAGAGATGCACTGATATAAGAAACCCGATACTTTTTCCATGCATGTGCCTGCCGATGCTGCTACATGAACATTTATAAAAAAAGAAGGGACTAGATCTATCTGGATTAGTATTACACAGAAATGTTTGCCTTATTTCTTTAGGGTTACAAATACAGTAAAATGGGGAAGTCATCAAATACAAGTTTTAAATCTCAGGTAAATTTAAGAAAACATTTTTTATAAGCAAATATCTGCTGATACTGTCATGATTCTGATATTATCGTGCATCCCTAATGCAGACATTGCAGAACCTCAACAACTCAGGAGTTTCATACTGCCAGAATCATCATTGGCAATTTGTTCAGAGCTGCATGTAATTAAAAAAAAAAAAAAGTAATTCGGCATTTAAAAACATGTAGTTCATAAGGGAACACATGCAAGGAGTACTAGAAATACAAAGAGAACCCTGCCAACGCAACTAATAAAGCTAACAATAATAGGGATACATAGGGATCAAAACAAAACATTATATATGCATTATATTCCCAGTAGAAGAAAAAACAAACAAACAAACAAACAAACAAACAAAAAACTTGAAAGATGAAAGCTGCTTTGGCAAGAACCATTTCGAAACACTGTCAAGGCTGATTTTTCAGGCCTTCATGTAATGAGATTTTGAACAGGATGTGGTTTTAAGCAGGAAGCAAGTTTCATGCCTCACATGGAGTCACTAGAAGTAATGTCATTTGATTTAAATAGAGCTTGGCTGAAGAATTTCAAACCAAGCTTCCAGGTGTTATGCATTTAAAAGAAGGGAAAAAAAAGACAACACTTTGATCTGATTTGAGGAGGAGGAGATGTCCTTGGGGCAGTACCCTTGCAGAAATTTGAATAAGTAAAGAGTCCAATTTGAGAAGTTACATTATTTGCACAAACCACAAAACTTTTTCCTGCATAGAGGATTTTCTGTGCAGCACAGGTCCATGGTAGAACAGAAGCATGTGTGTGAAGTGCAAGAGATAAAAAGTGCAGTTTGAATAAGCCAAGTCAAGAGATTAAGTGACACTCAGTACACCCACATAATTCAGCAAAGACCTTTCAAATAATGAACTCATCTTCTGAGCTCATTTGCTTACTGGAAGGTATTTAATGAAGCAGGATTTCTCAGGAAGCCAAAGAATAAAACTGGCAAAAGGATGACTTCAGTTACCCTGCGTTGTGAAATGTATATGAACCTCTAACAGTTTGGAATCATCGTTCATATGTTAGAAATAATGTTTTCAATAATGCACAAACAATTTGGTTGCAGAAAAATGTTTTAAATGTTTATAAGATCACCCTGTAATAATAGCATCAAGAATCCAGTTATATATATATATATATATATATATACACACACACACACACACACACACACACACACATATATATATATATACACACACACACACACACACATATATATATACACATATATACATATAAGTTGTTAATTTTTTTTATAACTTTGCTGTTCCCAAAACACTTAAAATATTACTCAAAATATTTCAAGTTTCTAGTTTACAATACTTAAATCCATTTCATATAACTTATTTAACAAAGTATTAACATGGCAAGTAATTCCAAACTTTTGAATGGTATCGTATATGATTGTATGGGTATGTATGCATCCTCCACAGACCTGCAGCAGCTGCTGTTTAAGCTTCTGGCTGTCAGACAGGTGTAGCTCGCTCAGCAGGTCAGCCACTAGCCCTGGAGCCTGAGGCCGGAGGAAGACGTCACTGCTCCTTGGAGTGGAGCACCGCTGCTTTTCACTTCCTTTGGAGTGGTTGTAGCCACTGTCCTGCTCCGCCTCCTCTTCTACTCCCGCCTCCTTGTCCCCCCCACCGTCCAAGCTGTCATCTAGTTGCAGGTCCAGGTGGACCACCGAGTCAAAGGGGTTGAGAGTTTGTGCAGCCAGTTCCCTCTTCAGACTGTTCTTCTGCTCGCGCTCCTCCTTCAGGGCCTCGAGGGCCTCATCCAGCTGTCGCTCTGCAATCTCCCTCAGCCGGCCGGCCTCCTCCAGCTGAGCCCGCAGCAACTCCTGCTCCTCCTCCTTCTGAGTCAGATCCACCTTCAGAGCCTCAAACTCCACCTGGGACCAGAGAGTGATCACAAGCAGGGGTGAGAAGTGTGGAGGCTTTCAATTAGATCAGTTCATTTTTACAATTTTACTGTAATAATTAGATAAAATGGGGAACAGGCCTGTTACAATTATATAACCGCCTTGTCGCTTCTGGTTGGCATAATTCATCTATAAATGGTTTATAAGCTCTGTATTATTAGGATACATTCCCACACTCAAAATGTGATCACACTGTTGATAATGCAGGCTATAATAAAAATTGCACCTCTTGCAATTAGAAAATTGCAAAATTGCAACGTCAAGATAAAAACGACGATTTTTCAGCCCCGTGATAAAGCACAGAATTTAAAGACATTGTATTTTCTAACGTGTACTGAACTGATTGTTTTTTTTGCCCTGATCCAACCAGTTCTACAGAGTGTTAGATTATAAATATGCTAACATATGCTAATATCCTTGGGTGGTGCACAGGCGTATTTGCAAGAGATTCACCTGAAAGAAACCTAGGCCTGTCACACTTATCACATAATTGCCTAATAGCGGTTACTTAAGAATATTCGCATTTATTAGATTTCAGTCACATCAGGCTGTAACAAACAGACTGTGACTTTAGGACATTGACACAAATAAAAGAAGAAATGTGTGTGTAAAACAAACAAACAAACAAACAAACAAACAAAAAAACAAATATATTGCCTACCATATTCAAATGACAAAAGAAAAATCGTATTGAGATACTTTTGTTTTTGGATATGAATTGCAATTATTGAGAATCACGGATCCCATGAAAACAAAGTGTTTTTTTAATTTGTTAGCGATGTAGCTAATTCTAGTGTTTCGGCACATGTGCTGGCAGAATAAGTTTTTCATTTGTGTCTTTTGGTTTACGAGAACATGTAGCTTTACTCAGTTCCTAGCTCGACAATTGTGTGAGTGTTCTCAGTACTGATTCAAGAGTGCAACCAGTAACCGCTGCTAATTAAACATAGCTAGACAGTAAGGTGGCTAATCAGCCAATATGGCCACTTTAGACTTGTATTAATAGTTGCAAATAATGAACAAGAGAAGACAGATAATTAATCACAATTATTTATGTAACAATCATTAGCTAAGATTTCATAATTGTGACAGCCCTAGGAAAACTTTTCCGTTATGCAGTCAAACTTGTGGAGGGCTACTGTCAAGAAACAGCTGAGACAGAGCTCTTACAATAGGAGCATTTGTATTGCCCTGGTCACATCTAGAAACACACACACACACACACACACACACATACAGTCACAAGACACCTCTCACCAAATCCCCTCAACAAAGGCTGACTTCATGCAGCAAAGATTGGGAGGCAGATTAGGGCAAGGTTCAGCTTCAGCACCTCACTGTTTCACAAGGCTAGAAAATAAAGACACACCTGGTTTTCTTTGAGAACAGAAACTTGTTTCTGCAGGGAGATGTTCTCCTCCTCCAGCTCACTGTTGTCCTGAAGCTGCTGCAGCTCCCGTACCTTATATTCCTTCAACTCCTCTCTCACATGAGTCTTCTCGGCGTCCAAACACTCACACTCCTACAGAGGGTAATAGGTAGAATAAAAGGTAATCAAAAGAAGCAAGTTAGTTTGAAAAATATTTGGCATATTAAGCCTACAATGAAGCTGACACTTTTATAAAACAATTATGCAAACTGAAAGGCTAAAATAAAGTTAATGTTATGTAGTGCAAGGCTTAAAGGAATACTCTACTAAAAAGTATGTATTACACCATGTGTAACCAACACCATATGTGCAAAAAAACACTGCTCTTTTAGCACTGGCTAGTCAGCTGCGACCTCCATCTCTCATTGAAACTGAAATTGAAACCAGGCCTGGTTTTGCGTTACAATACCTGCAACAGACCAAACCCTGCAAAAGAATCCATCATTAGGGGTCTGTTGTCAACCATTACTATGATCAGATCTTCAAAAGATTCCAGCAGAGGTTCTTTCGAAAGCAATTCATGTTTCTTTTACACATTAAAATTCCTGAATAGCTAATATGCCTGGCAGGCATTGCTGACAACCAAGGGGGTAAAACTGCTACAACTAAAATATATGGATGGTATCAATTTCAGCAAATAGACAGGGGTAACGGTAATGAACATGTGTAAGGAAATACTATGTTTTATATGGGACTGAAAAACTATCCTTTGCGTACCTTCTTCAGCTGCGCAGAGACGTTGGCCAGCCTCTCATTTTCAGCTGTAGTATTGGTCAGTGCCATACGAGCCTGCTTTAGCTCCAACTGCAGCTCCTCCATTCGTGTTGCCATGGCAGCCTCCTTACTGGCCGTCTCCTGTAGCAGGCTCTCCTCTCGACTCTCCCCATCTGCTGCAGCACGCTTTTGGCTGTTCACAGAATCAGCAAGGGCCTACACACATGCACATACACATGAATTAGATATGAAACATTGTTTAGTTGATTCGATGAACAAATGATTGACTGCTTTATTTGTACTGGATGAGCCATTTCAACTTAAACAGTTAGTATTTAGTAATGCAAAAACAGACGTGTTCAAACTCCAATATAAGGCGTATCACTTATATATAACATGCATATTCTTTTTTTTTTCTTTTGCACTTCTCTATTAGTGGGGAAAAACTGGCCTTTAAGATAAGCTTTACTGAAATTGATTTATTTGGAAGAAGCTGCCCACATACTCACCAAATAAACAAAGTAAACTGGGTATTGTGGCTTACTGAAGCGAGTAGAGTCCCCCTCCATACATTAACAATGCCACTCCTGTGACATCACATTCCTGCTCTGCTGGCAACCAAGAAATTGCATGTTGAGGCCCCTTTTGTACTTGGGCAAATACTAACAAATTTACACCAGGTTTTCCCACCACTATGCTCTGAATTACAATGAACTGGGCCTAGCTGGGTCATGTGCTATTAACGTGGTTTCATTCTTTTCTGAACATTTAGAGAAATTTGAGAGGAATGTGGTAATAACAGGTTAAGAGTGGTGACTTTAATCTATTTATAGGAAAGGGGAAAGTGTCTGCAAACACATTCACAATGTATGGGACTGCTGTTTTGCTATTAAAGACATAAAACAACCACTTCATTTACATGTAGTTCAAGAAATTGAAACACACACATAAGCACTTAATTTTTTTTCTGTTCTGGCTCGACTCCAGCACGCTGGATTTAAAACAAAACAGTGACTATGATTTTGGCATAATTAATGGCTAAATAATAAAGTCATTCAGAATGAGTTTGATGCCTCTAAAAGAAAGTTACTGCATGAAATGGTTTTGGATATGCTGCCTGATGTCTGAAACATTGATTTATTATATGTTTTGCGATAAAATTTTGCCATTATACATAATTTGGGAGAGGGAGAAATACATGCAAGGCATTGTTAGACAATATAGGCCCCAAAGAAAAGTAACGACCATTATACCACCATCAACTTTACATACAAAAAAAAAAAATCAGAAAGCACATGTAGGTTCACTGGTGGTTTTATAAAATGTTTATTATAAACATATTTATAACGTTTATATCTGTGTTGTAGACATTTCTCTTCTGGTTCCTATCGCCATCACTATAAAAAACACCAGAGCTGGTAAGTTTCTCTACAAAGAACCATTTCACATCAAACCACTCTTAAACACTTTGTTTACATCTCAACCGCTGAATTATGCAGAAACCTGAAAACATTGGTGGAATTCCGCTTTAAACTGCAGAATGCCTGATATAATTCGAGGATATTTATACACCAAGTGAAGCATATTAGGAACACATCCCTTTTTATACACACCCACTTCAGGGAACCGTAAGTTATTTGATAATTGGCTGCTCAGTCGTTTCTTGGCCATCTGTGTTGGTGCATCATTAGTTCATGCACAAGAGAGCTAATAAAAGCTCCAGAGTTGATTCTCAGTGGAGCATTTGCATGAGGGTGCATTGGTGTTGTCTCTTAGCGGGCAGACCAAAGAAGTGTCAATGCCAGTAAAGCAGTAAGTGTCAATGCCAGTAAACCATCATGAGACTAAATTATTAGAAGGAATCAATCAGAGACACAGCCAAAATATATGGTGTGTCAAAATCTATGTTTTCAATGTTGTTTAGAACTATGCGCTCTCAAGCTTTGCAAATAACAATCTTGCGGACCACTGAGGACCACAGTAGTAGATCTATTCCTACATGAAGAAAACGTGCTGAACAGATCAAAAGCTGTACCTTAAAAGTAGACATTTTGAGAATGACCTCAGTGGGTTCAGTGCATGATCCAAACTGATAAGAGCAGAAAGAGAGATTTCAGAGACAGCTGAGGCAGGAATATACAGGCCATCAAAACTACGGGGACACTTTCTTGTGGGCCAAGCTCTGTGCACTTGTCCAATCACACAATCCATCTATAAGCCCCTCCCTCACCTCTAAAATACAATTCCTCTTTTATCTTCTGTATACATGTAAACCAAAGAATTAAAAGTCATCTGAGCAAGACACAGCAAAAAGCAACATAAAAGACAAAAATAAACTAACAAAAAAATAAAAACAGTATACTTTATAGATGCATGGAGCATGCTATATGGATAGAATGATAAAGCACATTAACTTGTTTTCAGACTGTTAATAATTACTTATTAGCATGAAAAGCTCTCTAGCTAGCAGCCATGCTGTTAAGGAAAAGGGATATTCGCTCATGTATGAAAAAGGGTTGCACAAGCATAAAAAGCTTATTGACAAATTCCCACCTACCAGCTCTCCCTAATGCACAATACTACCAAGCCAGTCTAACGGCACCTCTCTGTACACATGCCTTCAATTGGGTAACATTACACTGAGTGATGGAGGAAGAGGACAGGCCATCTTCAGGGTCCGCTTTGAACTCTTAGACTCCTGGTTGGGTGTGGCATCAAACTCGTGATCTCCTAACAACATGACAAATCTAGAACTGAAAATGGCTGGGAAGAGGCCTAACATCTGGTGAAATTTACAGGTCGCAGACTTTAGGTAACTGTCAGGAATAGCAACATGCTGAATTTAAGACCACTCAATTGTGTGGTCAATCAATAGTTCACCCAAATGTGATGTAAATACCATGGAATTAAAGCTGACAATCTGCACCTGAAACACAAAGCCACCATTTCATTTCAAATACAATGTGCTGGATGGAGTACGGAGCCAACAGAACACAACTGTCACTGTCCTATTACTTACGCACATCTTTCTGGCTTAAGGTCGCACTGTTCCAAGTCTTTTAAAACAAGCATGCTGTCTTTCTACCACGCTTTAATGCACGCAGAGTCTCGCAGACATATTTCATCCTACCACACTCACCTACTTTCTAGATTTCATGCTCTGCTAATCAGAGTTACAGACTGAGCGAGAGACGACCCCGGTCATCTCACCGCTGGCAGTTTAAGTATTTATGTACGTATTCATAAATCATTCACCCTTTCATAGATGCTACAAAGCATTCATGTTGTGCATTAGTTGTTGGAAGCCAAGGATGGTAAACAGTAGAACACATACACCGCAAAATGACCTAAATCTCTTGATACTTTGGAAAAAAAAGACAAACAGAGATTCTGGAGGGGGCAGATTTCTGTAATAAATCGGATAACACTGAAGCTTTATAGTGAAACATGCAATTAAGGTTTAAAGCTTGGCTGGACTTGGCTTTGCACCCCAGAATGACTAGCATTAATATGTTTTAGGCTGACTAAACCTTGGCTCGTACCAATTTTTTTTTAAATCCTGGGCCTGCTTTGTTTATTTTTACTCACCTGATTTAGTACAGTATTAGCACTGCAGATTTGAGGTGAATTATGATGCTAAAATAGAGATATAAAAAAACAACAACAACAACAAATAAAAAAAAACATTCTGGGCATATATTCCACCGGAAACCACAGCATCGATGCTGAATCATTTTTAAAATGTTTAATTTTGTGAACATTTTAAATGCCATATGAAATGCCTTTATTACAGACAGCTGGACGATTAATTACATAGCATCGTTCATTGGGGAGGCAAGGGAACAACCCAAAAATTCCAGTCGCTGCCCAACCCTAACTGTCCCCCCTATATATGGCATCAAGCTAATTTTAGGAGGTTAGGAATTCAATGGACCAAATTGTTTGATGGCATCTGAAGTGTTGCTGAAGGGACAAATTGTTCAAAATTGGAACATATAACCAGGCTGACGCTCATTCCTGCTCCAGACAAAGCACTGCTTTGAGTAGCCACTTTCACTGTCATCACCTACCTCCTCACAAGGGCTCTGACTCAAGCAGTGACTCAAGGGAAAGAACAAGATATGGCCTCCTTATTTCAGTCTTAGTACTGCTGATTAGCTGATTTTCTTAGAGAATCATTAATTAGTACAACATGGTTATCATCAATACTCAATGGGTTTGCAAGCATTTCAAATACAACGTGCTGGATGGAGTACGGAGCCAAAACAACAAAACTGTCACTGTCCTATTACTTACGCACTAAATTTACCAGTCTTTCTGGCTTAAGGTCACACTGTTCTATAGGGGTGAGAAAGCATATTTGAGCCAGCCCTGCAACACAGTACGACCACACTGAGGTCATGATTTGTGAACATGCTTCAGAAAAGGCTCTCTAGGACATTTCTCCCCTTCACTGCCACCCAACGCAGCCTTCAGACAGTCAAAAAAAAAAATCACTTCTGGTTAAGATTTTTGTCTCTGTGAGTGAAACCCATTATGCAATCACACGTCATTTCAAATGCTACGTTTCTCTGTGACAAATAGAGAAGCACCCAGCACTGTTTTTGGCTCTGTTTTCAGTGCAGTCCTTCAGGAAAAGCTCTGAGCAAGGGCAGTGTAGGGGCTGACAGTGGCTGGAATAGCGTCACCACAAATGAAAGACGGTACTGTTCCCACATGTAACACAGTCTTTCTCTACTGAGGTTCTATCCTTACTATCAAAACATGGCAACAGTTTCTTCATGCATCGACATCCATTTGAAACAGGGATGTTGCCACTTTTTGGCACAAACCTTTTACCTCCAAAATGGTAGTTTTACAGGAGAAGAAAAAATAACTTTATATAAGTTTAAATGTAAAGAGACATATTTGTTAATATTTTGATTTTCAAAATATTAACAAATGTCTAACCTTTATTTGAAGTACAATGATTGAAAGAAAAAACAATAACAAATTTCATCAAGAAATACAATTTTTAAAAAAAATAAAACTATGTGTGCCACAATTGTTGGCACCCCTAGAAAGCCTTATGAGTGTAATCTAAGTGAAGTATATTCACACGCATATTTTATGTTTTAAAAGTTCCTCTGAGAGATCAGGAACACTTAAATGGTCAGCCATGACAAAATTCACGGTTCCTTCCAAAAGTGTAGTTATCTCTGGCATTAAAATTAACAAGAATTAGTGTAAATGTAAAGACCAGTATGAGAATGAAATTACATTCTTACGTCAATCCTCATAATTCTTATTTCATTTTTAAGCTTTGCATTATTAATGTACTCAAGGGGCTCTAAATGCACATTCAGATGAAGTGAACCTCACAAAAAGGGTAAACTACTTGTGCCACAGCAGAGAGAAAATAGCATCATTCTCAATGCTTGTTCACACACTTGGCTCTGCAGCACAAAAACATTTAAGGACTTCCCTATGGCGTAAGGAAAACTCCACTCAGCAAGAGAAACACTACACTCAAGCCAAGAACGGCACTTGTCTGGGAACTTCCCCAAGCTACAAATCGCTCAATTTCCTAGCCATCATGCTGTGTATGTGTACTGACCTCACGGAGCTGCTGCACCTCCAGTTTAAGGGCCTCATGCTCCTCTTCCAGCTGGCTGTGTCTGCTCTTCAGCGCTGCGCTCTCCTCCAGCACAGCCAGGCCGTACCGAGCAGCTTGGAGCTTCTCTTCGTTGGCCTCCTGGAGCTCAGCTGTCAGCCTCTCCACCTCAGCCTGGAGGCTGATTCCTCCTCCTGCCACCTCCACATCTTCCTCCTCCAGCATCCTGCTTCACACCTCCTTACGTGTCACTCCACAGCACAGAACACAACCCCTAACCCCTCATAACCCTGCCAGGAGAGAGGGAAGGTTTACAATCAGGCTCATGTACAATCAGAGTAATCATCTTAAAAAGTTAGACCCTCGTTGCTACAAAATACCCAGTCAATAAGCAATGAAACGAAAGATAAACTAATTTCTGACCACAAAGGACCATGTCATTTTATTAAGAGATTAGCCAACCAACAAAGCTTACATTCTGTAAAGCTGTCCCCTCCCTACGGCCCTGCAGAATGGGATTTAGATTAGCAGCTTAGAAGACTTTGGTCACTTTCACTGGGATTTTCTCAATGGACAGCAAACAGTACTGCATCCAGGAAGCTTTAACTAGAGGTTATGGTCATATAGCTACATATGATCATTTGAAGAGAAGTATCTCGTAAGCCCGTAATGATCATTAGAAAGAGCGTCACATTTTATATTCCTAGTCAAACCTAACAATAAACAATGTTCTTAAAACACATCACAGTTTCAGTTAGGCAGATACTTATAAGTTAGTGTCTGGCCAGCTAACAAAACAATGACACAATAGGGAAGGTTCTCTGCTTATGAAAACAAAAGATGAAAATAGAGATATACAGTGCATTGGCTTCCTCTAGAAATGAGAAGTAACGTTATCCAGTTAACCTAGATTACATAGAAAATGTTATCTGAATGAAGCTGGTAAATTTAGAAGAGACTCTGCGGCTGCTTGTCATTGGAAAACCGCGCCGTTTAATTTTGCTAACTAGCTAACGGACTTGCCCTTAGCAAGGAAGCTAATCGAAGTATCATTTGCTAACTCAGTCTGATGAACTGCTCTCTGCCAGCCAGCAATTCACACTGTTAGTAACGTTAGCTAACTAGCTGGGCACGACAAGTGAAATGAGACGGTAAGATGACCGCCAACCTCCAGTGATAATTAAGCTTTAAACAACACTGAATATCAACACAGAAGCTAGTCACACAATAACTGCAATTTCACACCAAATAGAGGCTACTTTCAACTGTCAGCAAATCTCGCAAGAGGTTATAGTCACTCGCAGCACCAGAAGCAGAATGAGCAGCTAGCTAGATAGCTATTTAATTAACGCTAGTAAGCTAACGTTAGCTAGGTTAACATAGCTGATGCTGCAAGTTAACCCAGCTAGCATGTACTGTCTCTTACCTGTTTTAAACTGTGTCTGAAGGGGACCATACGGTGTTTCAGGACCTATTTAGCGGGTGGAAATATTACAGGCACATTGGCGGTCCTGATAAGCAGCCAGTGTTTCTGAAAGGCAACGAACTGTGAAGACACAGCGCTGGCTGGAGATGTTCTGTTAACAGAGACAGGCGGTTCCTCCTTGCGCGCCGCAGTGAGGTTGAATAGTCGCCGCCCCTTCGGCTCCTCACGCTTCCTTTCACAACGTAAGAGCCCTCAGCTCTCAGGCTTTGTCCACTGACACAAAAGTCTGTAAAAGCTTAGTTTTTTATTATTTTTTACCAGGTCATAATTAATGTTTATATGAGCATTTTCTAACTTCTCTTTGTCCCTTAGAATTAAACAGCCTTATTTGTTATTGTTCCTCTTTAAGACTGATATAATGAGCTCTGTTCTGATTGGCTGCCCTGTACTTTGCCACATTCAAAAAGCACCCTGGGTTGAAACTCTCCTTATAACTTCAAAATGAATGACCGCAAAGCCCCACAACTACTTTGCCGAAGCACATTTCGCATTTATTACAGCAATAAGTCTTTGTAAATAAGTCTTTACACGTGGACTAATTTTATCCCACTCTTCCTTGCAAAACAGCTCAAACCGTCTACGGCAAAGATCTTCCTTTTTGAAACCATCCCTTGGTTGACTTGGATGTGGGGTTTGGATCATGACTATGCTGGAAAGTGCCAGTCCTCTTCATCTTCATATATAAGCTGTTTACATCTTGCATTAATATGTGTTCTGGGTTAGTAGCGTATCTTGATAAACTTATACTGGATTCCATTCACACTTTTCACTAAAATGCATCCCCAGTTTGACCACAAGATTGGATTGTGCTTTTTGTCCATGTAAAAGCACATCAACACATACATCGTTGCCATTTTACTTTTGTTTAATTTTTTTCTTGCTACGATTGGACAAACTTGGCGTGGACACTTCTATCGGCCTGGAGTGCATGAAGGCACTTTTTTGAGGCTACCTTCAGCCTTGCACATCCTCTGTCTTTCATTTCAATGCTTATTTTCTCACCATGCTTGGCAGACACATTTCCTCTCCATTTACACTAGTGCTGGATCCTTCTCTGACAAACCTCGGAATGTGGTTTGAGTGATCTGATCATAATCTGCTCACAATGCATCCTAGAAGTGTTTACACCTGGCTTTCCCTGCAGTCAAGTGAAATTCAAACTTGATCCAGTCACCCAAAATGCATGATAATGCAAAGTGTAAACAGGTCCTAACAGAGGCCAACAGGTTTTGTGCCAAAATATCCTAACCTCTGGATCTAATCAGCCCAGAGAAGCAGCCACAAAATATGTTGCTCCCACCACCATGCTTCACAGGAGGTTTTTTAGTTAATGAACTGTTGCTGCTGCACCATCTTTTAGATTTCAGGCCAAAACATCAAACTTTGTCTCATCAGATGTTTTTTGGACAAGTTATAGATTTTTTTTTTTTGGTGAAAAATGGCTTCCATTTTCTGCTCTGCACAGTCCATTCCAGACATCCGCAGGACAAAGAAGATTATTGTCAAGGAATGCCCAGTACCTCCTAGAAATTCCTCCAAATTTATTTATTTATTTTTTTTGAGGATTTTCCTGACCATGGCAATGTCCCTGTGGTGCCACATTTTTTCTAGTCATTGATGTAAGTCTTCAGAGTGCTGTATGTGTATTCAGTGTTTTAGATATTCTTCTATATTGTTCTACTGTTATGATGTACCTTTTGCAATCTTGAAACCATTAGAAACAGCTACAGGAAAAGATGATTTTTATTCATGATTAATCAGAATTACTTTCATTGATGGCAGGTGTATGCTGATTGTTTGTGGACATCATTTTAAATGTGATTTATTAACTCTAACAACAGCTACATCCCATGTTATAAAAGAGTTAGAAAAATTCTGTTTTCTACAATATGGGCCCTTTCAGTACCACGATGACAGGTATATTTATCAGACCCTTATTTATTATGTACATAAAGACCCGCAATAAAAAAACCCATTAAATACAGACAACTTCAAACCAGCTTGTCCAGTTTAGTTGGCTAAACAGATTGCAATCAGCTGTTTTGTTAGTTTTTGCATCAAAGGAAGAGCCCAAAGAGAAAGCTAGCATATTCTTAATTTTGCATACAACTTTAATTTAGAAATTTGTCTGACAAAGCAGGAAAATTGTGGCCTCATCACACACAACTAATATAAACACAAGACTGACAATAATACAAAAACTCTATAAGATATATACAGTGTAGATTAGCACATACATGATACAAGTTTGATTGACTTCTCAAAGCTTTATAATCACCATAATAATGTACATTTTGAATACTAATTATTATTGATTTTTATTATAGTGACTGTTCTCTGAGAATGGCTTGACTTGTGTGGCTGAAATTCACACCACCAAGTGGTTGCTGATGGTAAGTGCATCCAGCCTGGTCACCATCATCCAAAACACACTGACATTATAACGTGTGCAGAGCTGAAGTGAACAAGGGGGGAAAAAAATTAACCATCGCAAAAATTTTAACAACAAAACAAGGTTCAGGATGTGATGCTAAAAACGATATGTGGTGTTCCCATGAAAGCTAGCAGAAAAAGGGAGAGAGAAAGAGACTGGGGTTCACCCTTCTATGTGGGAAACTCTGTGCTAGGCATCCACACAGCCCCTGAGGTCAAAATTCAGAGGTTGCGGGGAGTTGGCTGCCTCTGGGAACCACCCTTACAAGCAGGTCAAGGAGGTCAGTGTCAAACCAGATAGATGGACAGTGATACAAAAAAACAAACAATTCATGTTACAGGCATAAGCAATGCATCCAGTGACGCACTCTCAAAGAGATTTACACAAGTTACATTGACAAGAAACAAAGAATAATGTGGTACCAGGTCATATCAAAACATTTTCCTTTTTGTATTTATTTTTTTCACATGATTTGAAACACACCAGCTGCCCTTTATGTGGTATGAACATTTCATGATGAATGAACTAATATAAATGGTTCAAAATTACTTGGAATAAAATCTCAGTACTTTTTAGATTAACATACAAAAAAATTAAATAATTTTTTCTTTAAAACCTTTTGGAGATACAAAATTTGACTAAACAGGCATCCAGGGCTAAAACTAGCATTCAGTATGCTATTTGTTACACTATGTAGTATTCTATAGTGTAGCATTGCAACCCTCTGAATCTAAGGTTTTACACAATTCTCAATTTTATATAGTTTTTGTGTTTTTGTCCATCAGTGTTCTTCAACTACAATTCCCAGCATGCATTATGTATATATATCACAAAATCATTGGAAATCTCTTCAGTGCTCAACACATCCGGACAGCTAGCCACTTACCTAGAGGCTAAAGGTGCTAGCTACCATTAGCAATTGATAATCAAATGTGATGATCAAATTGTTTTCTTCATTAAAGTAAAAATTTACCACTTGTAATCTTTCAAAGTTTACTTTCATTTTCAAGATACATCATTAGATGGGGGTTAATTGACCCAAGTGTATGTGCCATGAGATATTCATACCCCAGGAAAACCAACAACACAAACAAATACTGAATTAATTCATGGACCAGAGAGCTCAGCTTGCTGGTTTGACAGAGGGGTCATGGTGGCCCAGGCACATGGGAATGGTTTAAGAACTGATCTTGGACCTGGTGCGGTGGCCTTTAGGGTCCAGGACTGACGTTAGCAATGGTATCTGAACATCAACAGGACTGGTCTGGTCTAGGGTTGCTCTGATACTGTGGGAACTAGAACTTTCTCTTAAGCTCTGACAGGCATAAAGGCCCATGGGGTGTACAGAAGTTACCCTAACAATGCGGGTCAATTAGTTGTTGTTACCACTGTGTTTCCACGTCTTCAGAGTTGTGGTTGTGGTAACAATCGCAAAGTTCACTACTTCACTACAGTTCAGGAGATTTTATAGCTTTATTATAGTTTTAGTTATTTATATAGTAATTTAAAAATACAGGTCTTGAATAATGTCGATAGCGTAAATATAGAATTTATGTTCCTATTTAAACAGAAAGGTTATAAACCTCAGATAAAAAGCCTGCTAGCTACTGTTTGTGGATGTGTACATAGCATTAACTATTGTTTCCCCCAGCCCTCCCACCCTGGTTGAGATGCAAGTGATCCCAGATGCCAAGTGTGGTCATTTTTGAGCACAAAACTGCAAATGTGAACCCCCCAGAAAACCCTGAGGGGCGTATTTGCAATACAGTTTAAAAATGTTAAACCTGTTTTGAACGTTATTTTTTTTCTTTTTTAATACTGTATTGAAAACATTACATCCTTACTAGCTAGTTTATCTATCTAGTGAACATAACGACATAACAGGCAAGGCTCTCTCCTAATGATGACAAATTGAAAACAAACATAAATCAAAACCTCTGTCAGACATTAAGGCCCATAGGCCCACAGACGTTAGCATAAGCCACATTATAAGCCACATTACTCACAAGGCAAGGTCTTCATGGTTATGTTTGTTGCAACAGTTGAAAAGTTCCCTACAACAGTACAACTGTGTAGCATGCAAACCGCAATTCAGCCACAAGACCAAGTCAAATACCAACAAAGTAAAATGTGGAATGCAGTGAAGAGGCAAAAGAGCTCAAGTCAGATTAAGAAATAATCATGTTAATGTTGTAATAAATCAGACCATAATGGGTTCCACTGAGTGGTCTGGATTAGGTACAAGTCCAAGTTTGTGGAGTAAGTCTAATGCACATACCACATTTGAAGGCCATGTGTTTGTGTTTATATGATTCACTGCGAAAGACTGATATTTGCACATCTTCAAACTCTACTGCATTTCCCTTGCGGTGTCACCATCTGTCCAGACGACATTAATACCTTAGAACTGCCTTAAAACGCACCACAAATGTCCCATACTCAGACTCATGGCTTCTAAAGTCTCATAAATCATTTTGAGACAAAAAGCTAGGGTTTCTTGTCTATTATTGCAGTCTAAATATACTCCTGGAGGTGTTGAGTTTGAATAAACAGATAGGGATATAAGCCTAAAAGCAAATGCTTTTTTCACTGGTTCCTATTAAAGTAAAGGACAAGAGCAAACAGATGTGAGCTACATGGTTCATTAGCTTATATCTGCTCACATCTGCTATTCAGACGGAAGTACAGATAAGGAGAGAAGAGTGAAATGGAGAAGAAAGGAAGCAAAGAGAAGTGGGAACAAAATCTCCCTATATACACAGCAGGCTTTATTCTGGAATCCAGCTAGTGTGGTTTTATTTAATCGCTGTTACAGTAACTCTGTGGGTTCTGTTGAGAGTTGTGGCGCACCAAATAGCTTTAAGCTGCATACCCTGTTATTTTCCAGCAGCTTGAGCTCCTTTAAGTTTAACTTTAAGCTTTAAGTTTAACTTTAAGCTTTAAGTTTAACGGTGCAAAACAAGTGGATTTTGTAAGAATTCTGTTCAGTAATAATTTAACGCATTTACTGTTTAATATAGTCACTTGTCTTATTAATATATCTTGCTGTTTTATATTAGGAATTAGGGGTGCGGGAAAAACTCGATTCTTAGATGCATCGCGATGCGGACGTGAACGATTCTGAATCGATTCATAAATGTCAAAAATCGATTTTCTAAATATTTAATTTATAACGTAATGTTGACGGAACGCAAAAGGCGGAACTGGAAGTGGGTAAGTGCAGCGCCGGACTGTCTGTGGCGGCACATAACAAAAACACAACTGGATGAGTGAGAAATCCGACCGGCAGCCTCTGCATTAAAGCCAGGTTAGGTCAGGAGTCACAACACAAATGATAAGAAGGGCCATTTTGTCTTTTTAACAAAAATCAAACCACCTTGGGAGCCACAACATTTAATGTCCAGTATGTTTCAGTATGTGTTAATGTCCTAGTCTGGGCTAAACAATATAAACGAATATTTACTTTGCTCTGCTTTAAACTTCAGCTATAGCCGCTTTCCTCCCAACTCCGCCAGAAAACTTTTCTTCAAAACTAGAAGAGTTTCTTGTAAAATGTCTCAGCGTCCGGCTGTTTTACGAGGCTGATGTCGCTTCTCATTCGCTTCTCGTTCTAATTTTCCCGTTCCACCATAAATTCCGCCTTAGGCGCCGAATGTAACTGAGGCACCATTTAAGGTGGAACGGGAAAATTCAAAGAGAAGCGAGTTCATTTTCGCAACGTTTTAGAGAAAGACAGTCTCTCAGCAGATTTAACCAACCGCGCTGCTTATAAATGCGAATAAGTCCTCCCAATGTTCGTCTTAATCTCTGTTTTTTCGTTCGCTGCTAGCGAGGCCAGACCTCGGTGCTATGTGACCTGCTGTCTGCTGTCTGTTCTCGGTCGTTGAGAACCAGGGCTTTCGCGCTATGCTGCACACTTTGGAGCCGAGCTTTGGAGCACGTGCTGCGTGGACACCCATTACCACTGGGTCTTATTTCAGGGTAACAGCGCATTTTATCGCAGATGAGTGGCAGCAGCGTCTCTGAATGAGAGCCTTCTAGTTCACTTGCCACATCACTTCCATTTGATTTATTAATAAAAGATATTTTAGATATTTAAAGCAAGGTATTTGTAATGATCCAAAATGCATTTACATTATGGATCATTACAAATACTTTGCTTTAAAACTACCAAGTCCTCAGACAGTAGGAAGATAGAGATCCTGTATAGAGAAATGCATCGATAATCGTTTTATAATCGCATCGCAGCCCTCTGAATCGTAATCGAATCGAATCGTGAGGTGCCTAGAGATTCCCACCCCTATTAGGAATGCACAATGATATCAGAATCATAGTGGTATTGACAAACATTTGGTTAAAAATTATGGTTACCGGATGTTAAGATATTTCTAACTGATTCAATTTGATGACATATTTATTGCATTCAGAAAGTGCAGAATGTTGACATGACATTGGGTTACTGCGCTAAAATATATGCATTTTATTGCATTTGTAACCATCTACATATCTCTCTGTAATGCTTCCCAATTTACACATTTTTGACTCGTTTTTTCCAAAAATATAAATTCCAAATTTAGTTGTGCCCAGTTCTACCCACTAGTTAGGCCTGCTGAAATCATACATTACTACCAGAACTAGGAGGGTGAAGTCTAGCATGTTTCCTCAGAGTCACGTGAAGCCAGCCACAGCTCAATTGGACAGCTCAACTTGAAGGAGGAGAACGTTAACTGCCAGTTCTGTTATGTCAGCTAACAGACGGGTGCACTGGCTAGCACTGTGCTGAGTGATGGGTGGGAGTGATGGAGGGCCAACGCTTAACCACCCAGAGAGAGCGAGGCTAATTATGCTCTCTTGGACTCCCTGCAAAGGATAGCTGTAAAGATGCTAGGGCCAGGGCTTAGACGGTTGCACCACAAAGGAGCCCCCCCAATTTCTACCCACAATTCCTATATCAGTGCACCCCCATTTTGTAGATAACAATAACTTACACACCATACACTTAAATATTATAAACAAGATAATAAAGGTACTTTCAGATAGGGAAGCGCGATCGGAAGACTGCCAGATTTTTGCTTTGGCAATCGGACAATTTATTATTTTGATTTTTGGCTGATCTGTGTGCAGTTTTATGTGCTGTAAATGTAACCATGTAAGTGTATTGTATTGTAGCATAATTATGCATGAATCATGTCACTAAACAGCCAGTTGCTTTTTACATTCAGTGAAGCAGTTTATTTGATTCCCATTATTAATTTTAATTTTTCATTTATGAATTTTAAAATAGCAGTTCATAAATAAATTTTAACATTAAAGAACGAGTACTTATGTTGATAAACTTGGCTAATAAAAGGACTGAAAATGTGCTTGTATGTTTTATGCTTTCAGTTAGCCCACACAATGTGAGTTTCAGGGAAAAAAGACTGAAAATTGGCCAATTTGGCTGTAAGGAAATCAGAATTATAAAAATTTGTGATCAATGCCTCTCTACTTTTAGAAAATTTTATATTCTCAGAACTTTGAAAACAAGAAGTTGTTATTAAATGAAAATATTATAATTATCTATTTACAATAATTTTCTGTCGAGTCATCTACTTTAAAATTTGATCTCCTTTAAAATATGATGCAATCTGGATGGTAATTTAATTTCAACTTCATTCCTAATGTTGTACAGGCTTCTCAGTTATCTTCAACAGCTCAGTTCATCACTCTGGACAAGCTTCCTAGCTTCCTACAAATTATTCAATACCTGTGTAGATAATGTGTGGCACAAAAAAGATCATTAGTATATTATATAGTATTTTATAGATTTATATGCAACCAAATTGGTTTCATGGAAAACATAGTGTTTAGGCTTTTCAACAGTAATGTATATATTTATATGCTTGTCTATTGCAAAAGTTCTATTAAAGTATTAAGTAACTGAATAAATATCTTTCAGTGGTATGATCAACTCTTTGCAAAGCCTTACACATAAAACAGCATGTAATGGTCTCCCAAAAGTCAAAGGTCCTGGGAGCACTTAATCCGGAAAGGGTCAGGGTGACCGAGAAAGAGTGAGAGAGCTAGAGAGAGATGGCGAGAGAGATTGGGAAACTGAGAGTGTTGCAATAAGGTACTGCGTCAATCATACGGTCATAGTTTATGTCAGAGAAACACTATAAAAACTGATGAAAAAGGACAGTGTCTCAGTCAAGCGCTGTACACGACAGAGGCAGCTGAAGCAGTGCAGAGGAGAGAGGGCAGAGATCTCACATCCCTGTTTCTGTTAAGTATCTATCCTCCCAGAATTTCAGTGGTCAGCTGCACCTGGAGCAATGAAAGTGCATTTGCTGGTCCTTCTGCTGTCGCTGTGTGTGAGTGTGCAGGCCTTACGGAGGTATGGAAACACTTCCTGTGATCTCTAAATTCTAACAGTGCCATGCCAAATGTATATTGTGAAGAAAGAATAGTGTGGTGTTTAGACAGTGCTGCAGGGTTTTTATGTGTTTATTGCTTGTAAAGCCATTTAAAAATTCTTATCATCAAACCCTCTCAAATTGTGCTAGAGTGTTATATTACAAATGATAGGCAATGCCTGTAATTATTCTAAATCACAAATTAGTCATTAATCATTAGAAATACATGACCAAGTTGACTAAACTGCAATGTACCAAGTGAACTAAATAGGTTAGCATGGATCCAACAACTGTCTAAAAGGGTGATAGGTACTAATGGTTTTATCTTTCTGTAATATATTAAACAGGAATTCTAGCGATGTTTCAAAACTTCTGCACAAGATGTAAACAGTCATTTGGAGTGATTTCAAAAGAAATCTGCCGTTCTAGAGAAATTTAAAAAAAGTTAGAATTGCTCACAGTGATGGTGACAGTAACCAGACATCCGAAGCATTTAATGCCTCTACAAGCTACATCACAGAAAGCTACTGTGTGAAATTGTTATGATGATGTCACCTCATGCATGAGACATTGTTTAGTGATAAGTTTGAAGATTTTGGCCTAAAATTTATATTTTTAAATGCATTTATGGTGGAGAGTTACATGCAAGGCATTAGAAGGTAAAATGGTACTCAAAAAAGACACATGTAAATTAATTCCCTGGTCTTTTTTGATAGCAAATAAAATGTCTGTACTTGCACTGAAGTACATCTCTTTAATAACCCAACATTGTATACTGTCACTGTCAGAACACTGAATTTCAATTTTTCTCCTTTTTTTAATGTATAATGTGAAAATGGAAGCTACCGTTTACACTGTGTACAAATGTTATGATAAACAGACCAATAGAAACCAATAGAAATGGTCCACAATGACTTAGAATAGCATCTTGTTACATTAAAAGTTAAAAACATTTTTTCCTTTAAAGTTATGCTTATGAGTGGGAGAAACAAGGTTACTGTTTTGGCAGGACGATTTGATTTTGGACAGGTTGATTTATGATCAGCGTAGTTACATCCTGTGGACAATGACCATGATGTTTTATCTGTGGTAGTTATTAATACATTTTATCCACTTCATTTACTTCTCTAAGATGTTATATGGAATTATATGGAATATATCGCTGTTGTCGGAAGTAAACCTTGGATCTCTATTTTTTACGTTTTTCAGTTTTTGACAATTTGAAAATGCCTGTTGCCCTTTACATTGTATGTAAATCTCATGATTAATGAATTAAAAGGCCCAAAATCACTTGGAAAAACATCTGGTTCCATTGACTTACATGAAAAGTAAAGTAGGTTTTTTTCCTTCTCCTGTAAAGTTATCATTTTGGAGATACAAGGTTTTCTTCCGACAACAGCGATATGGAATTAAGAAGAGAGATATTTGTTGGTCGTCATGATAACTGATATGATTGACAGGAGTGAGTGTACCACACTGTCCGTTTTGACTACAGTTTTCAAATTCATATCTCTCCATACTGCCTCAATTTCCCCATTTGACATTATATTTGTTGCAAATTTAGGCAAGAAATGTACTTACCATTTGGATCATTCTAAGATCAAACTGACTCAATTTCATGAGACATTTTCTCAGGCAGATTAAAACTAACATGCCTGAGCTTTGAGTGGCAGGCTTAAAATGACCTCTCACCCCAAACACAGCACTTATGACCCCTTTCCCTACATCTGTGTTTCTCGGTTCCTAGAGGCCCACAGCCTTATATTTTTAGTGTTTTCCCTGCTCCCGACACACCTGATCAAACTAAACAGCTCATTAACATCCCATTATTAAGTTAAAGTTGGTGTGTTAGAAGAAGAAGAAAAAGCATGAAAACACGCAGGACCAGGGTTGAGAAACACTGCCCTACATGACACATCAGAGGGAGTGAATTAACACCACTGGCCAGAGGTGTCCAATCTTATCTGCAAAGTGTTGGTGTGGCTGCAGATTTTAATTCCAGACAAGCAACAGCACATCTGGTTTCACTTTTAATCAACTGGTGTCAGTGTTCAAGCTACTGATTGCGTGTTCTCCTGCTTCGTTGGATTGAAAACTTGCAGCTACACCAGCCCTTTGCGGATAAGACTGCCATAGGCTTTACAAATGTTATGCTTGTTTCTTGCCTCATAGGGTCACCTTGAAAAAAATGCCCTCCATTCGAGACACTCTTAAGGAGATAGGCTTCACACCAGCACAAGTGTTTGCCGAACTTGCGCAGAAACTGGACATTATCAGCCCATCCCCTAGCAATGGAACAGCCCCAACCCCTCTAACCAACTATCTAGATGTGAGAAGCAAAAAATTACTGTCATTTTAATCAGTGTTTGGTAGAGCTGAACAATATTCTGTCCTACTGACATCTTCTCTAATCTCTCCCAGACTCAGTACTTTGGGGAGATCAGTATTGGTTCACCAGCTCAGATGTTCAACGTTGTGTTTGATACGGGTTCTGCCAACCTTTGGGTGCCGTCACATATGTGTTCTCCACTATACACCGCCTGCTGTGAGTAATTTAAATACCACACACACACGTTTTGTTCAGAACTACTATTACGGTCTCCTCTAACCTCTTCTTTCACATAGTCACTCATAACAGATACGATGCCTCCAAATCTCACACATACGTTAACAATGGAACAGGATTCTCCATCCAATACGCTTCTGGAAATGTTAGGGGATTTCTCAGTGAGGATATAGTAGTGGTGAGTACAAAAGACCTAATTGTGTAAATATACAGTAAACGTTATAAATCAGACCAGCAAATTAAAAATGATGCCAGTACCTTCTTCCCAATAAACTCTTCTAAAGTCAGTTACATATCTTGGCAATCTAGGCTCATAACAGATACACGAACAAGAATTCCAACTGCATGTGAACACATGGCAATAAATTCCTTCAATCTCTGATCAGCAAACCTGTAATCATTTGGTCTCTGATACCAATATCCACAGGTGGGTGGTCTCCCAGTGGTGCAAGTGTTTGCAGAGGCCACAGCCCTTCCAGCCATTCCTTTTATCTTCGCAAAGTTTGACGGGGTACTGGGAATGGGCTATCCGAATGTGGCCATTGATGGCATCACACCAGTGTTTGATCGCATCATGTCTCAGCATGTACTGAAAGAGGAAGTTTTCTCTGTGTATTACAGCAGGTCAGTTGAATGTCAAGGCAGGTAACAAAGCTATAATCTAAATGGGGCACAAATGCATAAGTATATTTTATTTTCCTTTTATGGTAACAACCCTACTGCTTGTCCAGGAACAAGAGTCTTTGGTTATTATATTGTATACTTGCTGCATGTGCTTTATTAACACAGTATGACAAAGGTCATCAATTCCAGTCCAGACTGTGCACAGTTTGGTGATTTCCCTACCCAAACACATCTAGTAAAACTGGCAATCAACGGATGAATTCAAGGGGAACGAAAATTACTTAATCGTTCAATGGTTTCGATGTAAACAAAATCATTCAGTGAAGTTTGGTGTGAAATGTGCCTTTCTAAAGAAATTTAAATTGTACACCATTATAGTACTAGGAACCAGACATCTGTATGTCTACACTACAAATATCACCATCTTATCTGCTATCCAAAATGACCAGTGACCGTACATGTCTTATAAGGTTTTATATGTCACGTTGATAATGGTAAACAGTGCTTAATACGAAAAAATATGTTTTTGGGTACTACTTTTTCGTTACAACACCCTGCATGTACCTCTCAGCTTTGCCCGTGTTTCGTATTGCTTGGGTAGGCAGGGCTGTGTCGCATGCTTGCTACTGACACCACCAATTTCCTTTCGCCCTGGCTTGTTCTGCATCGGCACCAGCGGGTTCACTCTCTCTCTCTCTCTCCCTTTTATCTCTGTCTTCTTTAAACCGCTGCAACTCCTTCATGTATTCCGGTTCAAACTGATATGACTCTATGACATTTTGGAAAGAGACCTCCTCGAAGTCTTCCGCATACTCTGCCATCTTCCAAAATAGGTAAGAAAACCGTAAAAATAAACTGTAAACAAAAGCTGCTGCTGGTGTTAGCAGTGTTGAATGCCTGCAACTACAGGCGAGTAACAACAAAAGCATGTTAGGTTGCGCTCACTGATCTGAGTTCAGAATGCAGTTTTGAGAGGAAACATGGAAGTGATCCTGGAGTAAAAGTTTATATTAAAAATACATTTTAGGCCAAAACTTATAACAAAACTATCACAAAACAATGTGTCGGGTATCAAGTATTGCATTCAGAAACATTTTGTGTAATAACTTAACGGGGCGTAGCTTTTAGAGCCAATAAGTGCTTAGGACATCTGGTTCCTAGTACTATAATGGTAAACAATTCTGTCTCTGTAAATTTCTCTGGAAAGGCACGTTTCCCACCGAAACTCTCTGAATGGTTTTGTTCACATCTAAACCATTAAATGATTAAGTAATTTTGCAAAATCGGTGGAGATCCCCACTAAATCAGGTGCGTTTGAGCTGGAAAATCAGCAAACATTCAGGTCTAGAACTGACAACCTGTGCATTATGAATTTTGATCCTGAAAATACTGGAATCTAAAGGGCACATTTAACATAAGGTGATTTCAAAAGTGCAATTTATTGATGTTATTATATTTCTTATATTTTGTGTGTACCAGGGACCCCCAGCGCATTCCAGGGGGAGAGCTGGTGTTGGGGGGCACAGATCCAAATTACTACACAGGCTCCTTCAATTACATTCCCACCAAAGGGAAGGGCAAGTGGGAGGTCATCATGAAGGGGTAAGAACGTTTTTGCCCACAATGAGAACATCAGATATCATTTTATACAGACATACACACAGAAACTAGGTGTAATCTGTTCATAATTCATAATCTATATTTGGCACCAGCTCTAGTGTGATTAATATACACAATACGTATGTACCAAATTCATTACATATGAAAAAAGTATCAATTATTTTAACACTTTCAAACTACAACAATTCATAACAAATTCATAACCAATATGCTACAGTTACTGGAAAGGTAAGAGGTAGGTCTGATAATCCTATTTTTAATGCATGGGCAGAATTTAAACCATAAAAAATTACAATAAAAAATTATGCAACCATTTAAAGAAATGTTGAAAATCTGTCTCCCTTGCAGTGTGTCTGTGGGGGCAGACATGTTATTCTGTACCGAAGGCTGTACGGCTGTGATTGACACAGGTTCCTCCTTCATAACTGGCCCTGCCTCCTCGGTCTCCATCCTGATGAAAACTATTGGTGCTGTTGAGCTGGCAGAGGGTGAAGTAAGTTCTGTGCACTTTACAAAATGCAGGAGAGCAGTCCAGGAGAGTTTCTCCATACTGCCCATAAGCAAAATAATGTGTGTGAGTGTGCATTCATTGTTTAAATGTTCAAATATCAAGAAGGATAACGCTCCAGGAAAGTTGTGTAGTAACTGTGCAGTAGTTGAAATTTGTAGTTATTGCTGCCACGCACAGATGAATATTCAGTCACAACATTTACTAATAAACACTCAACGGCTGCTGTGCATCATTTGAGCAATAATCAATATTTATGGCAGAGCTGCCATTTGGAAACCACTTGCAACCACAACCAATGACAAAAACCACACAATAAGCACAAATTTTGGACCTTAAAGCAGTTTACTCTTTTTGTACATCTGGATGTTTTTTGCTTCTGAGAAAACCAAAGGAACTCTTTATCCCAAACTGCCTGCTCCCAACTGATGTATCTGTACTTTTTTCTTCATTCTAGAAGAATCTTCCAATATCGCTGAAAGAAATTGTTCAAACATTGACATGCCAAGCTGATCTGGAAACAAAAGAAAACCCAGCCTCTTAGTACTATTGATTTGCATCATTTTGCATATGAGGCATTATTTTTTCTCCTGCTTTTTTATGCATAGCAGAAATAAGACTAAATCAAACAAAGTGAAGAAAGTGCCAATGGAGGCTTTCATTTTGTTTTTGAAACTTTGATTAAAATTACAGTCGTATGCATTTTGATGATCCAAAAAACTTCAACTGAAGTTGGCTCTTTTTGCAGCGATTGAGATGATGAATGTAGATGACTTGTCGTGCCAGGCCAAAAGAACGCAACCTTTATGAACCCACTGAATCATTCAGTAGAGCCTTCATGGCTAAATCCCCAGGCAGCCAGCTAACAACAAAGCACAGCATAAAATTGTTATTTCACGCTTCACAAGACCATCGGAAAAATCCCATGGAGTTTTGTAGTACGGACCATAGCTGTGAAGGCACACAAAATCTGTTGTGAAACCAAACAGAGGAACATTAAAGATCTTCCCTGTTTTGTGTACTGTTCTATAACACTATTGGAAAAGGCATTTTTATTACCATTTTTTACCATCATGTTTAGTCTTAAGTTTAGTCATGTTTAGTCTCTCTTTGAGAGCTCAAAGACTTAATATGAAGTATTTTGGTTAATTTTCTCGAACAAGAAGGACAGACAGCGTTGGAGCTTCTTTTTCGGAAGTATCATGAGTATCATGTTTTAGCATTAACCTAGCTTGCTCTTCAACAACACATTTTTCAGTTCGACACACTGACCAAGATTAGTTCATGGTTTGTTACTTTACATACACATTTTGTGTAAGGCTTATCCTTAACTCAGTCTTTGTCTCTCCTTCAGTATACCGTGAACTGTGACCTGGTCATGTCCTTGCCCAGTGTGGCCTTTCACCTTGGTGGTCAGGAGTATCGTCTCACACAGGAAGACTACATTCTCTGGGTATCTCTATCTCAATATTTTATCTGTGAATGCAAATCAAATATTTCTGGGTACTGAGAAAAATGCGTAAATGAATTATCAGTACAAATAACAGCTTAAAGGCAGAGTATATGATTCTGGAGAATGAGCACTGATATTTGAAGTCATCAGCAAAACAAATGCTCCCCTCCCAGCACTGGTTTAGCAAACTTGTCTTTTTAGGTCTTCGTGGCTATAAAACCCTTTGCAAATGTTATACACACAAATACCATGATATAACGTTCCATATATCAACCATGCAGCAAGGTAACTAACATTTGCTATGTTGTGGGTTAGCAAACTATGGCTACAATTGCTGTTGTGAAACTAACCAGTTGCTATCAAAAACATTAGCAAATGGGACAAAACAATTGTTGGTTCTGTGAAATAGCAACAACAAGTTAAGGTTGCCCACCTGTCAAGCAGAAATAGGGCAACCTCCTCATCCCTTTTCATGCTGTTCAGCTCTCAATGAAACTGAATTTTTCTGTTCCACATTAAATGGTGCATCAGTTACATTTAGGCTCCTCAGCTTCTTGTTCAACTTTTCCTGTTCCACCTTAAATAAGGCAGCAGTTACATTCAGGTGACAGAATGGAACTGCTGCACCATTTAAGGTGGAACTAGAAAATGTGAATAGGAGACCAACTTCAGACTTGTCAGCTTTCAGAGGTCTCTCCACCGTTGAAATGCCCATGCCATGAGTACATAGCCCCTCTCTCGTGAGCACCCCTGTTGCTGATTTGCTGGAATAGTGTTGTGTAACTCGCTCCCGACCACTTTATTTGCTTTCCATTTACAGAGCAAGGGCTGTGTACAAACACTGGATTTTTTCCAGCATGCACACAGAACGGACATCTAGCGGACCATGAGGAGATATTCACTGAATTTGAAAAAAGAGTATTGGTTTTAAATCATATTCTGCACCTTTACAAACAACATGCCTCATTAACCGGTATCTTCCTAAGCTTTTTCTTAAATTTGTTCTTGAGAAAAGTCCAAAGAAAAAGTGCTCTTGAGTGTGTGTCAATTCTGTTCTTACCTGAGAACAAATTCCAAATGAGAAAACATTGGTGAATGAAAAATCTTCATAAAAACTGCTTAAGTTGGTTTTAAGAAGAAATTTCTTCTTAAGAACAGTTGGGGAATGAAGCCCACTATTTTTCAATAAGCAAATGCAAGGATTTCAGGCATTACACCTACTTACGGTCAAAAACCACAACAGAATGCTGAGCTTCAAATCCTCAGATGTCACCGTATGGGCTTGAGAATACTTATATTGTTTGCTGTGCAACCATAAATGCAAGTTAAAATTGTACTTCACACAGGAGAAGCCATACATCAACACAGTCCAGAAATGTTGCCGACATGTATTGCTATCTAAAAAAAGTCGACCTTTCAGGCTGTTTATGGAAATAATGCATGCCATGTTCTCTGCCACAGAAGAAAAGGACCATCCAAACTGTTACCAACGTTAATGTTAAAAGCCAGGGTCTGGTATGTCAGTTGCATGCACTTCTGTGAAGGCACTGTTAACGCTATAAAATATATACACATTTTGCAGCAACATATGTTGCCTTCAAGACAACATCTTTTCAGGGATGTCCATTTCAACCTGACAATGGCAAGCCACATTCTGCCTGTGTTACTACAGCATGGTGCATAATTAGAGAGTGCAGGCGCTAGACTGGCCTTAAAATGGCCATATAATGTAAGAATGGCAAAAAGTCCCGCTTTCAAAACTGCATCATCTGGTGTCTTCAGTCAGAAAATGATCATGGAATAAGTAAAGTAAAAGCTGTTAAAAGGAAATATAATGGTAAACATACTCTTGTGCTTTTTTTAAATGTTACAGAGAGCATATTTTAAATAAGCTTATAATTACAAAAACAGTTCATAAGGTGAAACATCAAATTTTGTGTTTTTAAACTGTTCAGTTTACTTCTCGTACTTCTTGTTCAATAATAACTGCTCGCTATTTTTATTAACTTTTTACATTCTGTCCCAACTTTTTTGGAACTGTGATTGAACTGTGAAGTCAAAGTCTTTTTTAAATGTTTTGAACTCTGACTTTCTAATAATTCAGTAGAATGATACATAACAAAACTTGTAACAATCATATTTACATCTGTATGCTTCTTCTACACTCATCCTCCTCCCCTTTTATTTTCCAATCTACAGCAATCACAGTTTGGAGAGGACATCTGCACTGTGACATTCAGAGGGCTGGACATACCACCTCCTACTGGTCCTGTTTGGATATTGGGAGCTAACTTCATTGCCCGATACTACACAGAGTTCGACCGTAGGAACAACCGCATAGGCTTTGCTCAAGCAGTGTGACAACTGCCAGGACCTACCAGAAAATTCCTGCTACCACACCACATGCATGTTACTACCACAGATTACAGTAATTTTCATCTAAAATCCATTGTGGTAACCCACAATTCCAATTCAGATAATGCCTGAACTGATGTGACACATGTTGACAATTACTGCTGAACTTGCCTCTTTCTCCTGTAATGATCAGCTATGTTTTAACTGTTAATGATAGACATAGAATAGTTATAGATCAGCTGTTATGGGGGACCCATTGAATGTCTCGGCATTATATGACTGAAATGACTAAAGTAAAAGTTTATCCCAAAAAGAAAACACCTGGGCCTTTTTATGTTCTAATATATGTTGTGAATCCACAAATTTAGTATGCAACTAACTTGCTATAATCAATCAAATAAAGCATGAGGATCACTCCGGCCTGGAAGAAGTAGGAAAATGATTTTTCTAAAGATTCTGGTTTTGGACACCTAATCTCCTGCCTAACCATGTCCCCCTCAAGGTTACCATCAGAGTTCATTTGCACTGACATAATGTTTTCTTTATCTGGGAATCAGGATGATGTTTTAGATATGTCCTACATTAATTAAGCTCCTTTTCCTTTGGATAGTACAGGAGTGCAGGACACAATTTAAGACATCCATCTGGGTCTAAATCCACTGTAGCACAATGACCTCCATTAAGGATGGTTACCCGAGAATCCCTAAACTTTAGATGTTTGAGGCAGCTGGGCTCTGTACTACTGATCATATTCCCATGACATTGCCCCACTAAAATGTGAAGTAAGTCTTGCAGTTCTGAGCACTTACAGAACTAATAAAACACTTGAAAACCTGGCTGAATGATCTTCCCACTAGTTGTCATGTTTCCAGTCATATGGAGATCTGCAAAGACAGAACATTCTGGGCTCCAGCCCCTAGCTGATAGTATCCAAAAGCACTTGACTGACGGCACCCAAAACTGCATCAGCTGTTTTGCTCAACTAGGAGAAATATATCCTTTGGAAATTCCCAATTGGCAGAGTATGAAAAAAATAAGTTTAGAGAGGCTCACATCAATGAAAATTCACATGGCTGAATGAAAATCAAGCTGGCTTGTTCTATCTTCCTCTTAAAGGGGGATTTTAGGCTATTTCTATTGTCAACAGCTTCTTAGTGACATACTGTCTAGGAAGTGAGGGTGCTAGTACAAACCCTCGACAGACTCCAACTTCACTTTGAGCTTGATAGGAAGGCCTTATTCTAAGGATTTATATTATGAATGGACATTTGCTACTTTGAAGAGTGCTGTGCTTAATCAAAACTTCAGAATCAAAATGCAGGCTTGCTTTTAACATGTCTCTTATTTAATATTCTATTTCAGCTTCTTTCTCGAAATCATGTTTTTTGTTTATATTGTTATGGTCTCTTTGATCAGTTACATTTAATCTGGTTAGCGTTTGAACATCACATTTACAGAATGTTAGCACAAAATAGGCTCTGGTGTATGAATAAAGAGTGTTTAATTAACCAATCAATTTGATTCATCATTCAATTGGCTGTATATAAAAGGTGTATATCATTACATGTCATTATGTCTTGTGTTGACAACTATCGTAGCTTTGGAAAATTCACACTTAAGAGAGTTTGTGTTCATATGTGTGCTGCGTGTGTGTGGTCCTTCAGGAATGAGAACCAGTCAAACACAAGTATGAGAAAAATGATCCATAAAACTAACAACCGTCTAATTATACAGAAAAAAACATCTCTGAGGTTGAAAGATCAACGTGTACACATGGCACACTGTCAGAAATGATTCAACACTCGTGTAAAATACAACCACGTCCAACAATATGGGCTCATGATACAAACTGGTTTCGCTTGGCACAGGAAGTGCCTGCAGTCCCCAGACCCCTTGTACTACGTAACACAAGCACTCTGTTTATCAATAAGACCAGCTCAGTTGTCATTATCACTGCTGTGCCAACTCCTCAGAACACTATCCTATTCCAAACCATCAATTCATGCCAAGCCACAGGAAAAATGAAAAACACTTTAATTAACAACAATAAAAATATTTGTTCGTTTCAAGGTAAGATAGTTATAGTGTGTGCCTCAGGAACTTACAAAACCTTAGACACAACGTTCCAGCAGAAAAGGAACATCTTAATTTAGTGCTGACATCCATCATAATAGAAAAATATATGACACTTGCTGTTTCTTATTTTTTAAAATGTTTTTCTTCCTTTTTTTCCCCACTCTGTATGTGTTTGGCTATAGACTTGCTATCACACAATGTTCGCATTAAGAAAGGTTATGAAACGGAATGCGAGATCTGAACTCCCGCTGTCACAGTCATGGCAAAGACGCCGACTCACAGTGGGAGCTACAGCTTTTATCATCCTCGGCCACTTCGGCCTCCCCCAAATCCTTCTCTGTTTTCTTGATGATTATTCATATTTATTGTTAGCATAGCTTGAGAAAGGTGTGTTATAGCTTGATGTCATTTCATCTACAGTAGGTGGAACACAAGAAACGCTGTGGTGTTACGTTTATTAAATCAGCATCTGGGACATATTCTGCCTGGTTGTAAAGCAAGGCGGACCAGGGCTTTCCTAACTTTTATGGCATGGGATCCCTTTACAGAGTGGCAGACCACAAAAAGTTTTTAAATAAAGATTAAAAAAAAAAATTAAAAAAAGAAATTTCCTTTTTCCCCACTACTTTGTTGTTAATACAGGTAATGACATTCCAAGTAAATAAATGAACAAACTGCATCTACAATGAAAAAACTACATCTACAATCTACATTCTTTTTGGACTTTTTGGAACAGCACTTAACAGGTCTATGTAGATGAGAAATAGGCAACATAATAGAAAAAGAAGAACCTTTCAATTTTAACTATGACAGAAGTTGTTAAGATGTAGTACTGAACACTGAACATTCCTGCTGCAGATATCACTGCTTATTTTTCATCAGTAATTAAGTGACCTACTATAACAGCAGTAATCTATCAAAGTCATCAGTGCAGTGCTGCTTGAAAGTTTGGGAACCCTTCATTATTTTGTGCATTTCTACACAAATGTGACGTAAAATATGATTAGACGAGGTCCTGAAAGTAGAGCCCACATACTTTTGCCAACAAATATATTTAAAGACGCTCTACATGATTCTGGAGAATGACTGCTGATATTTGAACTCATGACACGAACTGCCGAGGCAAACAATGCTTTTTTAGATCTTTGTGACCATAAAACCCTTCGCAGATGGTGTACAGAGAAATACCGTAATATAACATTACAGCGAACAACGACACAGTAAGTAACATTAACGTTAGCTGTTCTGGTTTAGCAAACTGTTGCCCAGCGGTTCTGGGTTAGCAAACTGCAGAGGAGGGAACAAGTCACTAAGTTGCAAGTAACAAGTAAGTTTCAAGTCTTGACACTCAAGGCCCGAGTCAAGTCCCAAGTCAAGATAGTCGAGTCTCGATTCAAGTCCCAAGACAGTACAGGCGAGTCTCAAGTCGAGTCCCAAGTCAACAGTCATGACAGCCATGAACACTCAAATAACCCTTTGCATGACCACAGCAAAATTGATGGTGAATGTATGAAGCCAAAACTGACTTTGAAACCAGCAGCTTTATTGTCAAATTATCTGTTCCACCTTAAATGGTGCAGCAGTTACGCTCTGGCACCCGACTGCTGCACCATGTAAAGTGGAATGAAAAATTCCAATATGAAGTGAGTTTCTCAAGCAAGAGTTTAAGGGTTAAGGGTTTTCAGCTTATGGAGGTGAACTTGAACTCTAAATGCTTTACTCGTCTTCCAAAATAAAATCAACCAAGTATAAGCACAGTGACAGACATCTGACAATGTTGTTATATATTCAATTTACTGTAGGAAACGAATCCATTCCCAGGAAAAGGAAGTGGCTGGGTAGAGTCCCACCTGCAATCAGACTCTCCACGTTTCTTCCACTTTGGGTTTTGAGTCTTTCCGAGTCATGATGCTCAAGTCTGAGTCAGAGTCCGAGTCACTGATGTTGAAGTCAAAGTCGAATCGCAAGTTTTTCTAATTCAAGTCTAAAGTCATCAAATTCATGACTCACGTTCACACATCTGGCAAACCGGTTAGCCTTGCTGCTGTTGCTATCACAAACATCAGCAAACACGACAAAACAATACTGACCTATTGGTTCTGTGAAACAGCGAAAATAAGTAAATGTTCCCCACCTGTCAAGCAGGAGCAGCCTTCTCATCCCTTTTTATGTCTTTCAACTCTCAATGAAGCTTAAGTCAGCTTCTTTTTCGCCAGCGTCTTGTTCGAAGACTATAGTCTGGCGCCTTAGCTTCTTGTTTGAATTTTCCCATTCCAACTTAAGTGGTACATGCACAAAGCTGTGTTGGTGGTCACTATCTGGGGAGGGCAAAACAAAACGTGGGGAGGGACAACATTTTCACAGGACAGGACTAACATACGTATAGCCGGACCGGCTATGAAAACAAAAAAAACAGGGGAGCTCAGATTACAACACACACACAGGGGGTGTGACTTCATTTGCTTCTCATCACACCATTACTCCACTATGTCTTTTCATAGAAAATAGTTGTTTGCTGCTATATTAATGTTTAAAGTGTCATATATATATATATATATATATATATATATATATATATATATAAAACCTTTAATGTTAGCTCAATAATGAATGAAAAACTAAAACTACATGTTTTTGTGTTATTTGGTTAAGTGGGTTCTTTTTATCTATTGTTGAGTTATACAAAGATCTAATCATATATTAGGTCACATCATTGTAGAAATTCACAAAATGGTAAAGGGTTCACAAACTTTCAAGCAGCACTGTGAGTCTCCTTGAAATGCAACATAGCAGTTGCACCGGCTCTAACTCCCTTGGTCAGCTGCACCAGACGACCCTGCGGTCTCTGGGCCTGGTTCTTTAAAACAAGCTGCTTTTGAGCTGCTACTGTTAGGGTGAAGGACTGTAATATTAATTAATAATACCAAATTCCAGCAGTGTCTGGTGGTTGTAGAAAGAACATGTAAATGGGTTGTGTGAAAGAACATTTTGCACCATTTTTGCCAGGCCCAGAGAAGCCTCTGTGTGCTTGTGTGTACACACCATAGGTTTATCTATATTTTGTTCATTTCTGTTTATACTATTTTGCATAATAAAAATGTACTTTGCTCTCGGGCTGCAACTAACAATTTCCATAATCGATTATTCACTTCATTATGGCTTTGATTACCTGATCAGTTGTGGGGTTTAGTGGAGGGGCAGCCAGTGGTCTGTCAATAACTAAGTATTCTCATTACATACAATGTTTTGTTCAACAAGTTAAAAGTACAAGGATTATTCCTTCTTTTACAGAAGACTCTTCTAAACATAAAACACCTACCATATGTTCTAAACCATAATTTTATCAAGATTCAACAATGCCACAAAATGCTTTCCACTGCCCTCAAAAATGCAGTGTGAAAGGCGCAGAAACAAAAAAACAACCTATGAACAAATTTTATATGGCAGTCCATGCACTATTATGGAGGTAGTCTGATTCTACAAGAACTCCGCATTGCTATTCAAATAATTTCTCTGTGCTTGATGAAGCAAAGACAAATTAGTCTGTTTGTGTGCTCGGTAACAGCATGTACTCAATTATCTAGCCCACAGAAGCAGCCTGCTTATCAGCCATGTGCGACATGCATGGCCATAAAGCACACTCACCACTCAAAACACCATGCGCTGCAAAACAACATAAATAAATGTAAATCGAAAGAGAATGCAAAGATTTGCAAATCTCATAGACCCATATTTTTTTACAACAGAACATTGAACACATATCAGATTTTGAAAGTGAGACATTTTACCATTTTATAAAAAACATTAACTCATTTAGAACTTAATGGTAGCAAGGCATCTAAAAAAAAATTGGGACGGGGCAACAAAAGGCTGGAAATGTAAGTGATACTAATAAAAAACAGCTGGAGGAGCAATTTGCAACTAACTCACATGACTGGGTATTAAAATAGCATTTTAGAGAGACAGAGTCTCTCAGAAACAAAGATGAGCAGAGGTTCACCAATCTGCGAAAAACTGCGTCTAAAAATTGTGGAACAATTTCAGAAAAATGTTCCTCAATGTAAAATTGCGAAGACTTTGTATTCCACCATCTGCAGTACATAATATCATCATCAAAAGATTCAGAGAATCTGGAGAATTTTTCATGAAATAGTAAAATGTCCCACTTTCAACATCTGATATATCTTCTACTGTGAATAAAATATGGGTCTATGAGATTTGCAAATCATTGCATTCTATTCTATATAGAACCATGAACACTCAAAGAACCTTTTGTGTGATTAAAGTGTTCTTGGCATAGTGAAAGCCTTCTTCAGATTGATAGAAAATGTGCTGTAGATGGTTCTATATAGAACCTTTTTGAAAAGGTTTCTATACAGCACCAA